AAGTGAGAGTGTATACCCCTTCCAGACAGCATTGTTACTGCTAATACACACATCTGCAGAGCTGGATTGGCTCCTAGTGCTGGTTCTCTCTTGGTCTAAGTGTTATTGCAGAAGGATGATATGAAGACAAATTCAAAAACTTACATTAGCTGAGCTTAAAAATATATTTTTCAAATACAATGCTGATTTTTTTTTATACCTGGAATTCAGCTTTAAGAGGGCAAAAAAGTTTTAATATCGACATATTCACAAGGGTTAGAACATATTTATTGAGAACAGGAGGTAAACACCATATTATGCAAATGAGGGATGCAGGCTAAAAACTGTATTTTTGTTACTCACCATAAAATCCCTTTCTTGGGAGTTCATTGATGGACACAGTTTCCTTATTCTGGATCACAGGGTTACAGCACCACCTACAGGAGTAGGACACTAGGCAGAAAATTAAACTCGGCTATGGGCCTATGGGTCCTAGCTGGTGTAAAACCCATCTCTGCTATAGGCCAACCAGTTAGTAACAAGCAGTACAACCACAGAGGGGTGGGTGCTGTGTCCATGAACTAACTCAGAGAAAGGGATCTTATGGTAACAAAAAAAAAAAATCTAATTTTCTCTTTCGTTCATTGACGAACACAGATTCCTTATTCTCAGCAACAGGGATGTCCCAAAGCAGTGCCAATAGATGAGGGGTGAGAGAAACCAAAGCAAAAATAGTCTAACAGGAGTTCAAACAGGAGCCCAGACAAAAGGGCTACTCCCCCAAGAGGGAACAAAAAACCTCAAACAGCCACCTGCAATATCTTACTGCCTAAACAAGCATCTGAAGATGCCAAAACATCCACCTTGTAGAACTGAAAGCGAAGGTGTGCACAGATGACCAAAGTAGCCACCTTACAAATTTGGGACACAAACGCCTGATGTTGGAAGGCCCAAGAGGTACTAATCGACTTAGTAGTGGCCATTACGGAAGAGGAGAAACCTGACACTTATTGGTATAGGCCTAAATCAGCATTTGCCTAATACACCTAAAATGGTGGCAGAAAATGCCGCCAGACTCTCTCACAAAAAGAATCTTGACTTCTGAAAGGACTCTGTCGGGGACAAATTCTTCCAAATTGCCCGAACCACAACTAAGGCGTGCAACGCAAACTCCTTAGGATGCAAGGAATGACGTGTGGTTTGTCGCGGCCAACCCAGTGCTTGGCTAAAGGTCGGTGCGCTCTCATTGGCCAGACTGGGTTGACCACTGGATCTAGATTATTCAGCCTGGCTATTGACTGCATATCTCTGCAGGAAATCTCCCAGAAAAAGGAGAAAAGGTATAAAAGCTATGAAACCAAAGGTCCTAGCAGGGAACTAGGTCCTTACTCCTGAAACATTAGGCAGAAAACAAATGGTTGGCCTATAGCAGAGAGGGTGTTTATACCCATAGACATTGCTAAATTTCTTTTTCTGCCTAGTGTTTCCCTCCTGTAGGTGGCACTATAACCATATGGTCAAGTATAAGGAAGCTGTGTTCATCAATGAACAAAAGAGAAATCCTATTTCTGTGCAACAAAAAAGGTTTGGCAACAAGCAATCAAAGGATCAATAGTAAGTCACTGATCAGATAAAATGTGTTTGAAAAGGATTATTGTCTCCAAGCAATCAATGGCAGAACCTGGATTTCCCATTGCAGAATTTGAGTGAATGGCAATGAACATTACCTGCACATATGCTTTATAAATGTCTCACATCCTCAGCATCTGGCAGCAAATACCTGGAAGTTAATGACCAATTAAGTGTGGAGTTGTAAATATGCCCCTTTGCTTACCTTCTGGTTTTCCACAAAATTCTATTCCAGAGTCATGCAAATGTTATGATAAAAAAGTAAAACAAACTTCAGTATAATTTTCAATTTTATTTATAACAATATTCTGTGTTATTTAAGTTGTAAAGTAATCCAGCAAAAATTATTAAAACTCTTTTTTTTGTAACCCTGCCTCCCTCAAATCAGCCCAATAAAACATTTTGAAATGAGTGCTTTCCAGATTTAACAAATAAAAAAATACTGTATGTGAACATAACATATCTTTTAGCACATCTGAGAAAATAAAATGAGAAAAAAAAATAGATTTCCTGGATGTGACTGAAAAAAAAGCATTTCTTACAAAGGCCATTGGCTGAGTTGAATTTGGAAGGGTGTGCTGGTGTATCACATGGAATGTGTTCCTGTTCTAAAAAAAATAAAAAAATTAAGCTTTTGTGCTAAAAATAATCTTGAACATTTCCATTCCATGAAGTATGATGAGCGACAACGGTGGAATATTACTTAACATTGTAAGGCTTATAGTGCAACATTGTTTTGAACAAAGAGAAACATGTTCTATGCTGTCCATGATCTAATATGGCTGGGTTTTTCATGGTCTAGAATTCAATGAAACTACAAAACCCATTTTAACCATATATTTATTTAATATCAAATTCTGCTGAAGCACTCACTTGACTTTAGGTGTGCATTTTATTTTTATGTGTTTAGAGTAATAGCCTCTCTTTTTGAATATTACATTTTGTATTATGGAAATGGCTTATATTACTGTGTTTTCAGATTAGTGAAAAGCTTCTTGTTGTAATGGATTTTGCCCTCAAATACCTGACCCATCTTCTGTCTGGTGGTAGAAAAGGTGGAGAGCAACTACAGCATACTAATACACTAAACTATGTGTGCACAATGCCAAAGTGCTTTCTTATGAAGGGTTTATACCTTCATATACATAAATATCCATAGCACAATTTCTCCCTGTAATACTGTGCTGCTCTATGTGCAAATTCAACAACGTATAGTGAAGAATTAATTAGAACATTGTGCTAAAGCAGAATCACTTAAACGCGTCAGTATTAATGTGACCCTGTCCTCACACTGCCACCCAAACCTGACCAGGATATCTGTCCAATCTCCCATAACTTCCAGCAAGGCCAAGTTTTCAGAAGTAATATTCTGCTGTAGCTACAAAGGATAATATTTGTAGGGGAAATATGTTGAAAAAAAAAAAAAAAAAAGAGGAAAGGTGATGTAAACTCATGACACAACAAGGCAGCTGAAGGCAGGTAAACCCCCTACACTGTCAGTACAACTTTGTGCTGCAAGGCCACAAGGCAGGAAAAAAAATAGTGATCACACAAATAACTAATAGACATTTACTTCTATCACACCTGCCATGCACACAGGCAAAGTAGCCATTTTGTCAGCTGAAGGCAGCTATTTAATAAGGGCAACAGTAAGATGAGATGTAAAAATTTAATAAAAAACCTCACAGTGCTTCAGTTTAAAAAATACACATGGTGTATTATGATAAAAAAGCGCTGTGATTTTCTGAATAAAGTTTTATTTCCAAGTTATTGTGCAAATTAGGCAATTTCCAAACCTCCCATTAGCTATTTTTTTTGTACCGTTGTTGTGTTTTTTGTTTTTTTTTTACTTCAGTGATAAAATGACTCTCCACCCAACCTAACTGACAGATACACTTAAAGGTTGCAACGCTACAGACACAAACTATTCTTAAAAATAATTTAAGATAACCTGTTAAGGTGCACCTACTTTGCTCCTGTGAGCTATCCATAACCAAAGTGTTCTATGTGAAGGCTTGTGGGCTTGAAATAAAGTCTTATATCACAATTAAGACATTAATAATAAAAAAAAAAATAAAAAAAAATAAAAGGGGGTTTAGTGAGAAGAGTGTTACAAAGGTGAATGCATCATTGAAGGTTGAAAAACAAAAACAGTCAGGTTTTCTTTAAACATTTTAGCTTGGAAACATACATAAATGAAAATAAAAACACCTGGGCACATTCATTTTTGGAGATTACATAGCATTGCTTTAAAATACACAATCATTTCAATCTCCCCGTCATCCATCCCTCTTCTTTTCTGGATTCTGAGGGAAAAAAGCAAACATTTTCTTCTAGACTTGTATAGTACTGAAGATGACTGCAGCAGAACCAAAGTAACAGAATACAAAAGCCCTTAAACGCTATAAACTTGAAGCTACTGGAAGCAAAATACAGTTTTTTATGTTTTTTTTTTTTTTTTAGCTAAAACACATTCATTGGATGGGGGAGTTGTTCCTCCAGCTAGAAAAGGGATTGTTTTTCTGGTTCTCCAGTAAGCAGGCACAGTAAGATTTGTAGAAGAAGCTCCTCAGGTGTTGGGGAAGATGCATGGACCCTGTTGCCCGTATTGGGAGTTTTTGTGGTTATGACTTCAGACGTGAGGCTTTCCAATTTCCTGCATGACATACATGTGGGTAACAGCTCCTGGTCCACTTGCGGCAGTGAAGGTGTTCAAAGTCACTTTGCACAAAACCAGTAACACCCAGGAATTATACTTCTCTCTCTCCAAAAGGCTCAGCCTGAAAAATGGCACTGCTCTCTCTTCTTCACATCGTTAAAAAAAAATTAAAATTTGTAAAATGATTGTTATTTACGGTATGCTGTAGCTAAAAACATAAAGCAAATAACGAAAAAAAAAAAAAAAGAAAACAGAAAGTAATGGAAAGAGCTCGCCTGGCACGTTTTGCTCCATTTACTTTGTACCATTCTGATAATTCTTGAAGTGAATAAAATAACGTAACAGTCTTGTTTAAAAGGCCAGCCCTTGAAAATATAAAAGCACCCCCTCTTGTTGATGTATAATTTGTCTTCTTTGCTATACAAGCTGCCTTTCCTTTTTATCTTCTGTAGCATCTCTCTTCAACTCTCCTGTCTGCAGTGTGCCACTTTATGTTTATTGCAGAGCCCCATTACAGGCAGGTTCCGAGCATGTATGGGCAAGGAGCTGAAGGATTTCAGACAGGTTCCAGAAAATAATGGCAAGGAAAAAATATATTTATAATACTGAGATCAATATAAAAGTAGTCCTTCATTTATACACTTTATACACCGTTAGGTTGTGTGTGTGTTTTCGCCATAATTATTAAAAGTTTTTTTTATCTATTTTTTCTCTTTTTACTAAAATTTCATCCCTATGCCAGTGGGTCTGAGAAATCATCCTCTCCTCCACGAGGCAGCAGTTCTCGCTTCTCATCCGTGCTTGCTAGAGAATTTCGGCTGTTGTGTGCTCCCATGTACAATGTGGCATAGACTGGGTTAGTGAAGTTTGTTGGCTGGAAGGAGAGAAAGGGATTTTGAGAAAACATATTCTAGCAATCATTTATTTCTTGTCTAATCAGTCACGTAATACTCAGTGCTTTTCTGCTGGTAAATTGATTTAAAGAGATACTGTCACTTTGCCCATTCAGATCAAAGTAACAGTTTTTCCAATATGCCACCCTACCCAGCAAGTTATTCAACCAAATCTGCACTCTTCTTGGTATAGGAGGGAGCATGAGACCTTCCCCATGTGACTGTGCTTGGGCCTAAGTGGCGCCACGGATGTAAAGTTACAATAAATGTTCAAGCAAATAAACCTAGATTGCTCATCAAAAGAACTTATTTCAACACAAAATCTAAATAATTTTGGCCAAAAAATGAAAAAACAAAACTTCCTGGAAAAGACTCTGAAGCTTGCAAAAGGAGAATGGGATGAGAGAGGCTAAGGAAAAGAAGCAGCATCAACAAAGCAATGAATCTAAGCCTGAAAGAGGTTAGAGGAGTTATGGACTAAGAGGCCTGACATATCAATCCATGAGGTCATGAAGATCTGACTAGCCAGCAATAGTTAATGTAGGAGCACTTAGACAGCCAACAAAATTTTGGGTAATTTTACCTTATCTGGGTCTAAAGTGAAGTCTGCATCGATCAATTCTCCCACATCATCGTCTGGCTCGCCTTCATACATTTTGTAGGTTGGGTTGCCGATCTCTACATTCATTGCTCCGTTGGTCATTCGCTGGTGCTGGAAACCTTTGGCCCTGTGAAAACATTTCCTATCACTAATTGAAGAGAAGTCTACAGAAATATTATAGCTGATGGTATATAGTAGACAATATAAGAGAGTCTCTAACAGCAGATTTTAAAGGTGGAACCTCTGCATAGTGGCCTCCTAGAAATATGCTCATAATGGGTATAAATATTACTTAGTTTACAGTACAGAGACTATACTGAGTTTTACTGTATCTGTAGTAAATATTGCATTCTTCACAAGAAAGGGGTAAATAAGAATACTACTGCTGTATACAAACATTACATACAGTACCTCACAATACAGGGAATACACAGTAGTATGATTGTAGCCAAGGTAAATAGTCTACTCCACAATACAGAGGTACCCAGCAGTGTTATTTTATCTGGAGTATATACTGCAAACCTTATAATATAGGGAAGTCTCCAAATATTACTGCAATGTGTGGGATATAAAACACATCCTTTGCAACACAGGTGTATCAAATGCTGATACTGTGGCAGCTCTAAATGCTGCACCACTCATAATACAATAATTCTCATAGTATTATAACGTCATTAAATACCATAAATTTGATCATACAAGAGGTGTCAAGAAATATTTTCACTAGTGTGATTAATACTTATCTTACACCACAAGGAGAATCACAAGTACTATTAATGTATTGTAGCTAATGGTACAAACAGTATGTAAGAAATATTTTATCACATTTATTTTTTACATTCACAAACATACACAGCCATTGCAGGAGATCACTAATGTCATTTATAAATTAGTTGTTTTTACCCGCTCATCCTGTGTCTGTACCAGGCAAATATTCCAATTCCAAGAAGGAGCAGTAACAGTATTACCACAATTGGAATTACAATGGAAGTAGCCTCTGCAGAAAATACAACAAATAGAGAAAGCATTAGTCACTGCATTAAGAATTAGGTGTAGATGAAATAAGATTTCTTTTTGTTTCTTACTTAAAGTGTTACTAAATTCAAATAAAAAAAAAAATAAAAATAAAACAACAAAACATGTTATACTCACCTGCTTTGTGCAGTGGCATTGCACAGAGTGCCCCCTATCCTCCTCTTCTTGGGTCCCCTGAAGGCGTTCTTGGCTCCTCCTCCTCTTCGTGTGTTCCCATGGCAAGCTGTTTGCTATGGGGACACACAGTGTCTGCTCACTCTCGAGCTGTGTGTCTATGGAGCCACACCCCATAGACACACGCTGCGTGATGTAGCCCCACTTCCCACTCACTGCATTTGACTGATAGCAGCAGGAGTTAACAGCTCCCGATGCTGCTCAGGTGCTGTGTGAATAGGAAAAGAGGGGAGAGGAGATGGAGCCATGCACAGGGCTTATCTCTTCTCTCCTCTTATCCCCTTCACACAGGGAAGGGCGAGGACAGAGGAATATATAAAAACTTTTTTTTTCCTTAATGCAAAGAATGCATTAAGGTAAAAAAATGTTTTTTAGCTTTTCTATCACTTTAACTGTGTTTTTTATGAGCAGACAATTAAGGGTGATTAAAGTGACCCTGTCACTACAGAGTTAAAGTAAAATAAAGCCAGCATGTAAATGAGGATGCTTACGTAGTTAAACTTCCAGCGGACAGTGTGTTAAAATTATGCCATGATGCTAATCATCCACTGCAGGTATATGGTACATCCAGGTGTGTTGAATGCCTGCTCCTTTTGCTTCACACTATGATTCCTTCCACCCACTGGTAAGCATGAAGCAAGAGGAGCAGGTATTCACACACACTGAAGTATCAAATATCTACAGCGGCCAGAGATCATAAATGTGTGCATCTAAATTTTAACACACAGGCGGCTGGAAAGCCATGTATATGGCATCTTCTTTTACTGGCTAGCGTTATATTACTTTAGACTCTGTAGTGACTGGGTCACCTTAAAGATCACCACCTAAAATGTAGTGATCCCGAATCTGTGTTGTTATTACCATGATGACACAGTCTGTGTGGCTGCCATTCACTTGCCTCTAATTTTCCCAGTATTTCATGGGAGTCAGAATTGAACCAAAACAAAGGGTTGCTACAAAAAGATAGATTAAACTAACATATAAAGTGCAGAATCTGCTTTTTAACTTAATTTCACAAACTGCTTAAAACTACTAATAAGAGTGATGTTTTCAAAGATTATTTTATCTCATTGTGTAGACAATATCTCCCAATATACTGTATATGCACCTATAAATATCAACATGTAAGGCAAAGATTCACCAGAGCCATTACTAAAAATGACCCACCAGACCCATGCCTCTCTTAACCCAGCACAATCCTTACCACATACCCACCAGCTATGGAATGTTTGGAGGAATCACCATGCAAATATCAGAGTACACATTTTATTCCCACACTTACGAACACTATACACATATTAACTTTTTTCTTTAGTGAAACATGGTGATCTCAATTTCCCTAATACCCTATAGGAAACATAAAATTTTCATATCATGCCCCTGTATCCATAGATCTTTGTATCCCTCATATGCCCATCAGTGACAAACAGTGGAGTCTAAATGAATATTTTACAATAAACACTATTTCTGAAATGGACTCGATTACTGTGTGGACAGCACACAAACCTTTTGTAAGGAGACTTCTCATGGCTCCAGAGAAGAAACAAAAACTGACTAAAGTAAATGACCTCCACAGCAATATCCACACCCTAGAACTACCATATAAAACACAGACTCCTGCTTCTTTCTACTGATGCAGAGAAGGCCTTTGATTGTCTTGACTGGAGTTTCCTGGGTGAAGTTTTTAAGCATACAGGATTGTGAGTCAATGATTTCTCTTATTATGGCTATGTACTCAAAACCAACATAAGGCAAATGGTATTTTATGTGACTCCTTTCTGATACACAACTGTACCAGACATGGTTCCCCCCACCACCACCACTGACTTTGATCCTAACACTAGAACCCCTATTACATAGAATTAGTAAAAACCCAGGCAGCTAAGGCATGACAATGGGAGAGAATAATCATAAAATCCTGCCTATGTTTACTTATGTTAATTATTTTCATTACCAAAGCAATCTTCACTCTTTCCAGTGGGGCCAGCACATGCTGCAGCACATAGTGCGCAGAAGTCGCCAACTGTCTACAGAGTCAATAGCTAAAGACATCCAAACTTTGTGTGCCCTTCAGATTAGCACAGTGCGTAGAGAGCTTCATGGGTTTCCATGGCTGAGCAGCTGCATCAAAGCCTTACATCACCAAGTGCAATGCAAAGCATCTGATGCAGTGGTGTAAAGCGCACCGTCACTGGACTCTAGAACAGTGAAGACGTGTTCCTTGGAGTGATGAATCCTGCTTCTCTGTCTCGCAATCAGATGGATGTGTCTGGGTTTGATGGTTTCCAGGAGAACAGTACTTTCCTAATTACATTTTGCCAAGTGTAAAGTTTGGTGGAGGGGGGATTATGGTGTGGGGTTGTTTTTCAGAGGTTGGGCTTGGCCCCTTAGTTCCACTGAAGAGAACTCTTAAGGCGTCGTCATACCAAGACATTTTGGACAATTTCATGCCCCCTTGTGGGAACAGTTTGGGGATGGCCCCTTCCTGTTCCAACATAACTGCGCACCAGTGCACAAAGCAAGGTCCATAAAGACATGGATGAGCAAGTTTGTGGTGGAGGAACTTGACTGGTCTGCACAGAGTCCTGACCTCAACCTGACAGAACACCTTTTGAATGAATTAGAGCGGAGACTGCAAGCCGGGCCTTCTCATCCGACATCAGTGCCTGACCTCACAAATGCACTTCTGGAAGAATGGTCAAACATTCCCATAGACACACTCCTAAACCTTGTGGACAGCCTTCCCAGAAGAGTTGAAGCTGTTATAGCTGCAAAGGGTGGGCCAACTCAATATTGATCCCTACAGACTAAGACTGCGATGCCATTAAAGTTCATGTGCATGTAAAGGCAGGTGTCCCAATACATTTTGGCAATGCAGTGTATATACTTCCTAATGTTGGTTATGGCTATCCTATAAAAAGTCCAAACGCTGGACCTCTTCTGTCAAAAAGGACACCTAGACGCATTGATACATTTTAAAACTCATTGCACTGAGAGAGGTTCCATGAGACATACATTATCTAAACTTTCTCCAGCACTGACAAACCCAGGCTCGGACTACTCTCAACCCTTCAATAAAAAGTGGGAAGATGACTTACAGACCACGTTATCACCAGACCAAATAGAAAAGCAAATTCACCTTACTCATAAATCCTGTACTAACCCAATAGTATTTGGCACAAAGCTTTGTGCACAGGCATAAAACCGCAAAGATATTCACTTACTTGATGTTGGTTGTGACTGTCCTACAAATTGTTCACATGTTGGACCAGTTCTGTCAGATGGACACCTAGAAAGACAATGTAAAGTTACATACAGGAAGATGTATTCTACACATAAAATTGTAAATATCAGCTGTATATCACATTAAAACTGATCATTACAGGATACATGTCTTCTTACGTGTCTGCATTATTATCACTACAGTAACGACGATCTTTTCTTGCAATATTATCTCAGTCCTATAGGTTTAATTTAAATCATGATCTTTAAATTCACTTTTTTGTGAACACTGTTTATTTTTTTTTTAAGTGAATGTCTGGGTAAAATTAAAAGAAATGCAGCACATCTCCAAATTACATACACCATTTCCCTATGTTTTATCCCTTTAAAATGAAACTGATAATGAGCCAATAATGAAAGTTTTTTTCTGCCGTGCTATACATCCGTTTACAATGTGTATATATACTGTAAACTTGATTGTATATAATTACTGATATGACATTATTGTATTGTAGTATCATTATACCAGTAATTTCCCCTGAAGAAGGAACTCCATTCCAAAACATGTTGGGAACTATGGGAAGATTTTATTATCGCCAAGCAAGACATGTATCTATATCGTTGTATTTCTAAATACACTTGGGTATATGCTGGTTCAATTATTTGGTGTATCATATTGTAATTTTACCTTTGTCCCATTGGCCATTTTTTTTGAATTAATAATAAACATTGATTACTTTTTTTAAATATATTTCATGTTTCATATCTTCTGCCTCTAAAATCCCCTGGGGAATCCTTTGACCTTACGGTCGCCTTTCTTTTATTCCTTTAAAATATTAAGGAAAAATACCTGTTGATCTGCCAGAAATACATTGAGTGGCTAATTTCCTGTTTAAGCTGGCAAAGATATCTCTGCTGCCCTGAAATCCCAAGCAGTGATGCCAGCCTTGCCCAGTTCTCTTCTCCTGGACTACAGAACATTTCCACCCTCAGCACCCTCTCTCTGTAACATAATGGTTGAGGAACTACTGCTTCTAAAACATAATTAAAAGTACTTTCTAATAAGGCAAGATTAGTTCTGTGAGTGTATGAATGAACCAGCCCCCTGCAATTATAGCCTACTAAAATGGTGTTACAGTGTATGTCTAGGCAAAAACTACAGTGGGGCAAAAAAGTATTTAGTCAGCCACCAATTGTGCAAGTTCTCCCACTTAAAAAGATGAGAGAAGCCTGTAATTGGCATCATAGGTAGACCTAAACTATGAGAGACAAAATGAGAAAAAAAATCCAGACAATCACATTGGCTGAATTGGAAAGAATTTATTTGCAAATTATGGTGGAAAATAAGTATTTGGTCAATATCAAAAGTTCATCTCAATGCTTTGTTATATATTCTTTGTTGGCAATGACAGAGGTCAGACGTTTCCTGTAAGTCTTCACAAGGTTGGCACACACTGTTGCTGGTATGTTGGCCCATTCCTCCATGCAGATCTCCTCTAGAGCAGTGATGTTTTGGGGCTGTTGCTCGGCAACACAGACTTTCAACTCCCTCCAAAGGTTTTCTATAGGGTTGAAATCTGGAGACTGGCTAGGCCACTCCAGGACCTTAAAATGCTTCTTATGAAGCCACTCCTTCGTTACCCGGGCGGTATGTTTGGGATCATTGTCATGTTGGGAGACCCAGCCACGTTTCATCTTCAATGCCCTTGCTGATGGAAGGAGGTTTGCACTCAAAATCTCACGATACATGGCCCCGTACATTCTGTCCTGTACATGGATCAGTCGTCCTGGTCCCTTTGCGGAGAAACAGCCCCAAAGCATGATGTTGCCACCCCCATGCTTCACAGTAGGTATGGTGTTCTTTGGATGCAACTCAGCATTCTCTCTCCTCCAAACACGACGAGTTGTGTTTCTACCAGACAGTTCGGTTTCATCTGACCATATGACATTCTCCCAATCCTCTTCTCCATCATCCAAATGCTCTCTAGCAAACTTCAGACGGGCCCAGACATGTACTGGCTTAAGCAGGAGGACACGTCTGGCACTGCAGGATCTGAGTCCCTGGCGGCGTAGTGTGTTACTGATGGTAGCCTTTGTTACATTGGTCCCAGCTCTCTGCAGGTCATTCACTAGGTCCCCCCGTGTGGTCCTGGGATTTTTGCTCACCGTTCTTGTGATCATCTTGACCCCACGGGGTGAGATCTTGCGTGGAGCCCCAGATTATTATTATTATTATTATTACTACGAGTTTATATAGCGCCAAAGGGTTTGCTCAGCGCTGTACAATAGGGGGGACAATACATGGCACAGTACAACAACAACAAACAACGTACGAGGGGTAAGAGGGCCCTACTCTTACGAGCTTACAATCTAGGATCAAGGGAGATTATCAGTGGTCTTGTATGTCTTCCATTTTCTAATTTTTGCTCCCACAGTTGATTTGTTCACACCAAGCTGCTTGCCTATTGCAGAAATCTTGCTTGTTTGTAGGTGACCAAATACTTATTTTCCACCATAATTTGCAAATAAATTCTTTCCAAATCAGCCAATGTGATTGTCTGGATTTTTTTCTCATTTTGTCTCTCATAGTTGAGGTCTACCTATGATGCCAATTACAGGCCTCTCTCATCTTTTTAAGTGGAAGAACTTGCACAATTGGTGGCTGACTAAATACTTTTTTGCCCCACTGTATATGTAATACATCTCTGCAATACATGCAAATTTCCTCGCATTTTGTCTCTTTAAAAATCTGTTAGCCTGCTCCTAATGTCCTGTACTTAGCTGACAATTCTGACTGCTGCACTGAATTCCAAGCAGTGTTATCCACCCTGCCCAGTTCTCTTCTGCTGGAGTACACAACACTCCCTCTACTCTACCAGTGAGAAATCATGCAAGACTGACAATACTGCTTGGAATTTCAGTACAATAGAGGCAGCTCACAGCTCATTACAGGAAGTTAGCATCTTGCTGGGTTTCTGATAAAATCAATAGGTATTTTCTGTACTTGTAGTGTTTCTGAAGAGACTACAAATGGGGATATGTGTAGAGATGTAATGCATATAACTGGTTTAATTTTGCCCTGACATACACTTTAAGTGATGTTGGCTTTGAGCATAATTTCCCAATTCCCACTTGGTACTTACTGGCACTCTGGCATCTCAGTGTAACGGTTGATACTGCATATTCCTCCATTCAGACAGTAATTGTCACATGTCAAGCAAGACTTGGCTACCCGTCCATCAGTACACCTTTAAAAATATGAAATGTACATGGAAACAGTCAACCTTATATAAATTAAGAACAGTTTTGGTCTGACTATATGTCAAACAGCTGCAACACTAAACTTTACTTATTTATTTTATATGTAATCTTTCCCTTGCATACAAAAGAGGTATAAAGAATGGTTTCTGAAACTGCATTAAGTTTATATTATGGGGTCAATTTAAATGCAACTACTATTATAATACTATTTTACTTTTAATAATATTATTAGTATTAATACTTACACTTTTCTGTAAACAGTACAGCGCACAGCTATCTAACATAGCATCTTTGGAGTTACCCTACTTTGGAGCATACGTAACACAGAATTATTTTTTGGGGGATAGAGCTTTGGATAGCGTGGGGATGGATTAGAACACCTGTCAGGTTTTTCATGCTGTCTGTACTCCGGTTTGGGAGATTTACTCTTGCTGTTTTTCCTGTTTACCATTATCATCGAGTATGAAAGTGAAAGAAAATCCCAGATTTTGGGTTGTCACCATAACAGGAACAAAGGGAAAATCTTCCAATGGGAACACTAGTTTTGCCAACCCATGTGAAAACCAGGAATTCTCTCACTTTCACTCACCTTTTTGAGAGGGATTTCGTCTCATTTACTGCTTTGCTATGGAACAAGAAGTGAAGGGAAAGCTATTCAATGGGACTTATGTCAAAACTAAAACCCCAATAGGGGTTATAACCTTTCCTCACTCTGTCCAAAATGATTTTGCCTTTAGTTCTACTTTAGGTGAGTGTGCATTAAAGTGTTACTAAACCCACAACAGTAAAATCAGTCTGTATATGCAGTAAAGCATGCTTGTTATACTCACTGTGAAACCTAAGGGGTTAATCCTCTACATTGTGTAAAAAGGCTGTTTGATTCTTTCTGCTCTGTTCCTCCCCGTAGGTAGGCAGATGCTTAGTTTGGTATGTATTGCTAGAGAGGTTTTTTTTTTTTCTTGGGAGAGTGCATGTGATCAGCACAGGGCCAATTAACACTAGATATGTCTAGATAGAGGTCAGGGGATTTCCATCCTCTTCCATCTGATGCCATCAGGTTGCACCTCAGACTGTCCAGGAGCTCAGTGATGTCCTGGTCCAGATCTGGGAGGAAATACCCCAGGACACCATCCCTCATCTCATTAGGAGCATGCCCCGCCCATATTTTGCAAGACTTACACACATAGAACATCTCCATTTTTCAAGCTGCATCTTCCATCCTTGCATCGGTCACATCTTTTTTTTTCACAGCGGCTGCCTTCAAACAGTGGTGTACAGCGGCACTGCCTGGTCCCGTTAGCACTGAGCTGGCAGATTCCACCATTATCGCAGTAACTGTAACATTTTCCTTTAAGACACACATTTTTGTTAGATTTTTAAGTACTCAAAATGTGACTAAAACAGAGTGAAAATCACAAAGCACTATTATATTTAGAGAAGAAAATTTAGGTTTCAGCACAAAAATGCAAACCCCTTCTACAGGTTACCCTCCAAGGCAAAGATGTAGGAATCTCCCTGCTCACAAACCTTAACAAGTAAAGATCAAAAAGGCATATACAAAATTGCAACATACAGTTCTGACTAAGCAACAGGTTTGTGAGATGCAATGGTGTATTGACAAAAATAGGCACCACTGAGTACAACAAAAGCAGCTGAACGCCTTTTCTAAAAGCAATTTATTGGTGGAGGTCCTGAGCCGAATACCCAACCTGCATGTATAAATTAATTTCTACTTTCTGAAAGCCTGTTTAATTCTCCCATTTTATACCGACTTCATACAGTAGGTATTTTGATTTTATTATTCTACAGTATCATATACTGAATAGTAAGCTGCCAGGATCTTGTAAACTGAATTTAATTTTTAGGTATAGGATGGAGAATTCAATCACCTAATGGCTTTAATGTACACTGCTCAAAAACATTAAAGGAACACTTTTTAATCAGAGTATAGCATCAAGTCAATTAAACTCCAGGGATATTGATCTGGTCAGTAAAGTAGCAGAGGGGGGTGGTTAATCAGTTTCAGCTGCTTTGGTGTTAATGAAATTAACAACAGGTGCACTAGATGAGCAACAATGAGACAACCCCCAAAACAGGAATGGCTTTACAGGTGGAGGCCACTGACATTTTTTTCTCTACTCATCTTTTCTGACTGTTTTTCACTAGGTTTGCATTTGGCTAGGGTCAGTGTCACTAGTGGTAGCGTGAGATACCTGGACCCTACAGGGGTTGCACAGGAAGTCCAACTCCTCCAGGATGGCACATCAATACGTGCCATTGCCAAAAGCTTTGCTGTGTGTCCTATCACAGTCTCAAGAGCATGGAGGAGATTCCAGGAGACAGGCAGTTACTCTAGGAGAGCTGGACAGGGCCGTAGAAGGCCCTTAACCCATCAGCAGGACCAGTATCTGTTTCTTTGTGAAAGGAGGAACAGGATGAGCACTGCCAGAGCCCTACAAAATGTCCTCCAGCAGCCACTGGTGTGAATGTCTCTGACCAAACAATCAGAAACAGACTTCATGAGGGTGGCCTGAGGGCCCGACATCCTCTAGTGTGCCCTGTGCTCCCTGCCTGACACTATAGAGCTTGATTGGCACTTACCATTGAACACCAGAATTGGCAGAACACCACTGGCGCCCTGTGCTTTTCACAGATGAGAGCAGGTTCACCCTGAGCACATGTGACAGATGTGAAAGGGTCTGGAGAAGCCATGGATAACGTTATGCTGCCTATAACATTGTTCAGCATGACAGTTTTGGTGGTGGGTCATTGATGGTCTGCGGAGGCATATCCATGGAGGGACACACAGACCTCTACAGGCTACAAAATGGCACCCTGACTGCCATTAGGTATCGGATGAAATCCTAGGACCCATTGTCAGATCCTATGCTGGTGCAGTGGGTCCCAGGTTCCCCCTGTGCACAACAATGCCCGGGTTCATGTGGCGAGAGTTCCTGGAGGATGAAGGAATTGATACCATTGACTGGCCCTCATGCTCGCCTGACATAAATCCAATAGAACCCCTCTGGGATATCATGTTTCGTTCCATCTGACGCCATCAGGTTGCACCTCAGACTGTCCAGGAGGCTCAGTGACGCTCTGGTTCAGATCTGGGAGGAAATACCCCAGGACACCATCCATCATCTCATTAGGAACATGCCCCAACGTTGTCAGGCATGCATACAAGCATGTGGGAGCCATTCACACTACTGATATCATTTTGAGTTGCTGCAATGAAATTTTAGTAAAAAGGACTAGCCTGTTGCATCATTTTTTCACTTTGATTTTTGGGATGTCTTTGAATTCAGTCCTCTGTAGGTTGATAATTTTCATTTCCATCAAACAATGGGACATCATTACGTTCCTAACACATTACCCAGTCCATATCAGTATAGATATCCAGCATGATATTTTTCCCCATTGACATCTGATGTGTTTTCGAAGTGTTCCTTTAATTTTTTTGAGCAGTGTATTTCAAAGACTTCAGTGGTGAGGTCTCCATGCTTTCACAGGTTCGATTACCTCCCCTTCCCATTATACTCCAGCTGGAGTTTCAATTTGTGGATCAGGTGGGTGTCAACAAAGCTAGCAATACTGCAAAAGAGGTCTGAAAAACCTGAGAGCTATAAGAAGCCAGCACCTGATGAAAATTACTATGTTCCGCCAAGAAATTATTTTAGATGCAAATGTGTCAGGGCTGGGCTCCTGCTACTTAACGAACAGCTCTTTTCTTTCAGTGTTCAAAAGCTGCTCAGCTGTTGGTTAATTACCAACCACTCATCTCCACAGTGACTCACCTGGTTATCATTACATGCCTCATTAGTCCATCCCACAGCCAACCCTTTTTTCCTATTTTAGCAGCTTAGCTCATTTTTGCCTTGCCCTTGCGTTGTCTATGATCTCCTGTGTGTTCCTGCCTACAGCTCGGTCTGGCTGACATTTTGGCTCCTGAAGACACTGACGTCTGGTTTCCTGACTCTGGCATCTCATCTGATTACCTGTTTTGGCATCCAAACCCTAGTTTCTGTTTTGACTACATTCCTGATCTATGTTATATTTGCTATTTCAGGGGTTAAAATTTCGAGTCCAGACCTACTAGCTGGTCGCAAAACTTACTCTCCACCAGTTGCCCCACCCAACCTTGCCCAGGTCCGCCCCCAACCCCCCTGGCCCGCCCAAACCCCCCCCCCCCCCCCCCTGCCCGCCCCCAACCCCCCCCCCCCCCCCCAAAGCTTATGAAATTACATTTTTCTTTAGAATAAAGAGTCCAAAATATAAAACTGTACACAGTAATGTATATCCCAGCTCACCTGTACTCCATTATAGTGATATGACATGTATACAGTAATCATTACTGTATACATGTCATCACTATAATGGTGTACAGGGGAGCTGGGATATACATTACTGTATACATGTCATATCACTATAATGAGTACAGGGGAGCTGGGATATACATTACTGTATACATGTCATATCACTATAATGGAGTACAGGGGAGCTGGGATATACATTACTGTATACATGTCATATCACTATAATGAGTACAGGGGAGCTGGGATATACATTACTGTATACATGTCATCACTATAATGGTGTACAGGGGAGCTGGGATATACATTACTGTATACATGTCATCACTATAATGGAGTACAGGGGAGCTGGGATATACATTACTGTATACATGTCATATCACTATAATGGAGTACAGGGAGCTGGGATATACATTACTGTATACATGTCATATCACTATAATGAGTACAGGGGAGCTGGGATATACATTACTGAGTAATACACTGTTGTATACAGTACTTACTCCTAGTCCCTCCGAGTTCCCCGCGGTGGTGGAGAGGGTGTCTCCTGTCCCCTCAGCGGCGGTGCCGCAGAAGCCGGAAACCGGAAGTTGTAAACCAGAACTCGACTTCACAATGAGGCTTGGAGCGCAGGTGCAGTCGCTCCATGCTTCATCTGTGCTCGCTGCTCACCACAGAGGAATATCTCCTTGCATTTGGCGAGCGGGCGAGCGGCGGCTTTTTCAAGCCCTGTGCTATTTCATTAAAGGTGTAATTTTAGATGCACTTTCTGTCTCTGCCTAGCTCAGGGTTCCTGACAAAATGAAACAGTGAAGAAAGACTGGCAAAATAAAGCTACTGCCAAAACTGACGGTAAAGAAAAAAATATCAGTTAAAAGAAATGTTCATGTTTTTCTGAAAACAAAAATAATATTTCTTTAGTCCTCTATCCTTTACCAAATACTTTTTTTCCCCCACAGCTGAAGAGAAAGCATCAACTGCAGTTTACACAGCAGGAACACAGCATGTGTGCCACTCAAGAGGAGAACAGAATGCTTGCACTCACCTCGCCCTATCTCGCTAATATGCTCAAAGACATAACACATGAGACTATGCAGAAAATGTGTATTTGGACAAATCTGGCCACGGTATGTCACAGCAAAGCTGCCAATATACTGTACAGTATGTAGCAAATCAAAGGGACAGAAAGACACTCAAGCAGCTTCTCAACTCAAAACCGCTGAGCATATCTAATAAATCAGTCTAATCACAGACAGAAAAACTGATTCAAAACTGTAAAAATGCACAGATACCAATGACCAGACAAATGTGTTTTTTTTTTCTTTTTTAAGTTACAATTTTTTTATGAGTATGTTTGTGGAAATAACCAATTAAACTGGTTAAACAATTGGTTTCTGGTCTGGTTGTTTGCACAAAGTTCCCAGCTTAGTACAAAACAATGAAAACAACATTGACATGAGGAATGAGGCAATAGAGGGGGAAAGTTGAAGGGGGAGTGCAATTTGTGCTCATGTAAAGCTAGCCATACATGTTCTTTCTTTCAATCACAGGTTGAAGGAAAGAAAATTACTTGATTCCCACATCAACACAGTCAGTGTTGATAAGGGAATCCCTCCAGCTGCATTATTGTATTCTACAATGCTTGACCTGTATCCTTGGACCTGTGCGCAAGACCAAAACATGCAAAAGTAAGTAGGGACATGGGGAAAGAATACGAACCCATTTTTGTATCTCAGAAAATATATCTTTCTCATGGACCAGATATCAAAAGCCAGCAATAGGTATATCTGTTGGGCAATGTACACTTCACCAACTTCTGCTGAGCTGATGAAATCTTACATGGATTTGGAGTTCTGTACACAGGAAGGATTAACCCTTACATCTCCACTGGTATATGTTACTTGGCCTAATAAGCTGGTGAGTTGTATTTTGTGACATTTTTTTTTTTTTAGAGTTTTTTTTTTGTTTTTTTTTAACAAAGAATTAGGCTAGCAGTAATAATAGTTTTAATACAAGCATTATTTTTGTTTTTAAGAAGCTTCACACATGACCATATAATGTATAAACTTCTTACGGTATTGACATTTGTCTCCAATGTAGTCAGCGAGGCAGCGGCAGTTGGGTTGGTTGCCCAGGTTCACAGAACAAGTAGCATTGTTTTGACAATAGTTTGGTGTGCACACTTGCTGCTCACATGTAGGACCAGTAAACCCAGTTGAGCAGCGGCATGTTGGTAAACCTAGAAACAAAAAAAAAAAAAAAAAAAAAAAGAGAAAGTTGAAATCCAAAAGCTGCTTAAAATCTATCACAAATCCTTATAGTTTGTAAGCATATCTGTAAGGTTAATCATATTCAACCATTATCTACATATGCTGTACTTACAGTCGCTTATAGGTCCTATCTCTCTTCAATTGACCATACATTTGGTCATTTCACCAAGCAAGGAAACTTTTAATTCCATATTGCAGAATAATTGGCGATGGCTTTAATGGTCCAAAATGAGATGGAATCAAAGTGACCCAACTGCTTTCTTTAAAACAACTGTAGCTTTTTTCCTGTATTGATTTCCACTGTAATTTTGGCTAAATGTTCTTACCATATTGAAAATGTCTGTAACTTACAGATTTTTCCTCACTTCCTTTATAGTAAAACCATTGTCTCAGTGACATTAAATGAGAGAAAATCTCTCCAATGGAGCCCAATATAGCAGGAAAAAGATAGAGGGGGTTGTTATCCCTCCTAAAACAAACAAAAAATTCTGAATGGAATTTTATATCGAATACAATTCACACCAATGATTGCACTATTGTTAAAGTTTCTGTCTGCATTGCTGTTAAAGATTTTTCCTCACTTTCTGTCTGAAGAAACCATTGTCACTGTGATAAAAATAATAGAAAATCACTCAAACAGAAATAACCATTGGTTTTAGACCTTCCCTATTCTATCCAAAAAAAAAGAAAGAAGAAAAAACATATTTTTGCTGGACATACTCTATCATTGCATGTTTTATAAGATGTGTGGAATTTAATTTGTGTGTGTACAAGCCCAATTCCAAAAAAGTTGGGACGCTGTGTAAAAGCTAATAAAAACATAATTTAATGATTTGCAAATCTCAAAAACCTATATTTTATTCAAGTAGAAAATAAAAAAACATATCATAGAAAATGTACCATTTGAAAAAAAAAAGTGAATTCTGAGATTGATGGCATCAACACATCTTAAAGTTGGGACAGGGCCATGTTTACCATGCTGTAGCATTCCCTCGTCTTTTGACAACACTCTGGAAACATATGGGAACTGAGGAGACCAATTGCTGGAGTTGAGGGAGAGGAATGTTGTATCCTTCTTGCCTGATATAGGATTCTAATTGCTCAACAGTCCTGAGCCGTCTTTGTCATATTTTTTATTTGAAGGTGTGCCAAATATTTTCAATCAGTGAAAAGGTGCAGACTACAGGCAGGCCAGTTAAACACCCGGGCTCTTCTACTAAAAAGCCATGCTGTTCTCATAGATGCAGCATGTGGTTTAGCATTGTCCTGCTGAAATATGCAAAGGCTTCCATGAAAAAATATATCATCTGGATGGTAGCATATCTAAAACCTGGATATATCTTACAGCATTGATGGAGACTTTCCAGATGTGAAAGCTACCCATTCCATACAAACTAATGCACCCCCATACTATCAGAGATGCAGACTTTTGAACTGAGCTGATAACCAGCCAGAAGTTCCCTCTCCTCTTTAGTGTGGAGGGTGCGGTGACCATGGCTGCAAAAAGAATGTCAGATTTGAATTTGTCTGACCACAGAATAGTTTTCCACCTTTCAGCAGACGCGCTTTGGCCCAGAGAAAATGGCGGCATTTCTGGATCATGTTTAGCTACACTTCTTATTTGTATGATAGAGCTTTAACTTGCATTTTTGGATGGTATGGCAAACTGTGTTTACACACAGTGATTTGTGGAAGTATTCCTGAGTCCATGCAGTGATGTCCATCACAGAATCATGCTTGATTTTAATGCAGTGCTGTCTGAGGGCCTAAAGATCATGGACATCCAATATTGCGTTTCGGCCTTGTCCCTTGCACAAAGATTTCTCCAGATTCTCTGAATCGTTTGATAATATTACGTACTGTAGATGATATATTTAAAATTTTTGCAATTTTACAATGAGGAACATTATTCTGAAATTGTTCATTGGATGCAGCTTTTTACAGATTGACAAATCTTTGCCCATCTTTGCTTCTGAGACATTCTGACTCTGAAAGGTTCTTTTTATACACAGTCATGTTACTGACCTGTTGACAATTAACCTAATTAGTTGCAAAATGTTCTTCCAGCTCTTCCTTGTTCATACCAGTTGGTTTGCCAGCTTTTTGTTTCCCTGTCTCAACTTTTTTGGGACTTGTTGCTGCCATCAAATTCAAAATTACCTTTTTTCCCTAAAATGGTTAATTTTATCTGTTTAAATATTTGATATGTTTCTATTGTGAATAAAATATGGGTTTATGAGATTTGCTAATTTTTTGGAATTGGGGTTGTATTATCTAAAAATCAGTTGCATTACCTGTACGTGATGGTGCACAGTTTCCTCCATTTTTACAGTACTCCTTACACTGATCATTCTCACACCTCTCTCCACTGTAGCTGGGTGAGCAGCGACATTTGGCTTGTTTTCTTGCATTAAAGAAGCATTTTCCCCCGTTAAGACACTCTAGAGGGCAAGAATCAGGTATGGGTTCTAAAAAGACAGAAGCAAATATTAATTTCAGAAGATATTAATTCATAATGGAGAAAAATACAAGACCATTCCACCTTGTGCCTCTTACCATCAGGTGACTGGGTAGGGGATGGGATAAGGATACATGTTCCGTTGTCCAATCTTCTTCCATTAGGACATGTGCACACTGGTCCGCTGGGGCTAAGTAAACACAGCCACTCACATTTTTTGCGGTCACATGGATTGGTCACTAAAGCTACAACAAATATAAATTGTGATTAATGAGACACAGATTCTGTGAGAAAGAACTACTCTGCATGGTGATTAGTTTGGCAGTTCCTTCAAAGTTGGCAGAACTGATGCCTATTTGAGGTCTGACTTTCCAGCTGAGCTAGATGTAGAACTGCCCCTTACCCAATTTCATGAGCTCTATAGTACACAATTACTGGAATACAAAAGTAGAAATGTTTCACAAGGGTAAATGATCAGAAAAGAATTGCTGCACCAAAGAGCCCCCATCTCAGATAACAAATAGAACAGGAGTCAGAAGATCTGACTTATGGTGTGAAAATAGCTTTGCCTCTAAAGTTTAAAGTGGTTGTAAAGGGTAAAGGTTTTTTACATTCATGCATTCTATGCATGAAGGTAAAAAATCTTCAGTGTGCAGCTCCCCCCAGCAGCCCACCCAATTCTTACCTGAGCCTAATCTTCATCCAGCACTGTGCACGGGACACTCAGCTCTCCCGGGTCTCTCTCTCTACTCATTGGCCAAAACACAGCAGTGGGAGCCATTGGCTCCCACTGCCCGTCAATCCCAGCCAGTGAGGAAGGAGTGGGGGTGGGACTGAGTTACTCTTTGTGTGTTCCATAGACACACAGAGCTGGCTCAGTAGCGAGTACACACGCTGGGGGGCGCTTAGCAAGGGGAGGGGGCACAAGAGCTGGCGGGGGACCCAAGAAGAGGGGTATTTGGGCTGCTCTGTGCAAAACCATTGCACAGAGCAGGTAAGTATAACATGTTTGTAATTTTAAGGAGAAAAATAACCTTTAGAACCACTTTAAAAAAAAAACATTATTTCTTCAGTTGCCAAGACCTGAAATACTTGGATGGGTGCAGATGACAACCACAGTGAGTGCCACTGATGCAAAGCTGAAAAAGTAGAACTCTTTGCAATGGTACAAAATGCACATTACTGGATCAGAGCTAGAGCTCTGTGATCAGCAGGGAGCATAAATGTTGTGAGTTTTAGCAAACTACAACTGGGCTTTAAGTACCATGAACCCACAATTGGACTGTTCATGTCAGGAACAAGGATAGTACCATATTAGCCATTACCAAAAGGCAGCCAAATGATTTCCTTATACATTATATAATATAAGCAGTGTAATATTTCTTACAGTTAGTTTAAAGCCATAAGCTGGCCTTAGATGGATCGAATCTCAGCCGGTTCAGTGACGTGCCAATATTAGATCCATCTATGGGCAGGCTGGTTGTACCCAAGTTGATCCATTGATCGACTTGGGTGCAACCAATCTGTCAGATTTTTCACATGTGATTACTGCTACTGGCTATAGCTGCTAGCAGTATTTAATGTGTTCTGCCAGCCGGGAAGGCTCCCAGCAGGCAGAACCCAATAGTGTTGCGGGAGGGTGTTGATGGGGGAATCAAGCGATTTTATTTCCTTCCACCACTAAATCAAAGCATCTACAGCTTGCCTTAACTGTCTTTAGTTACATTATGTGCTCCAGAGCTGAGCCAATTTTGCATACAATAAAACAGAGCTTGTTAACTTGTTAAATTAATGGCGTTACCTTCAGGCTGCTTGTACTGGTGATGAAGAACAACATCAGTGACATGGTTTATTCCCCAGGTAAGATTGGTAACAGGGCCATGTCCAAACTTGTGCACTTTAAATATAAGGTTGTTAACATATGTTACTCCATAGATGTAATCTTCAAAGATATCAATGCTGAACGGATGGGTGAGGCCTGGGAGTGGCAGAAAGAAAACAAAACAAAATAGTAATTGTAGGCTGGTGTGTAAAATTAAAACATAGGCGTTTTTAAAAGTGCATATTTGTCCTAAACAAAAGTGGCACATCAGCTACATCTACTATCAACAACTCTGAGAAAAGAGAAAAAAAAAAAAAAAAAAAAAACCCAATGCTGTGGGACTCATTTACACATTACTGTGCTGTCAGCCCTTTAACTACCATAAAATATCACAGTATTTACTGCCCTTATAATGCTTTGTTTATGGAATGTGCAATGTCCCACCACAATTTCAATACATAAAGCAGCAGATCTCACACTGCGGAGAGGAGAATACACAAGCATAGCTCAGTTTACATTCCAGCTCAGTTCCTCTGTGATGGATGACTGATGTCATTCTGTACCCGACCAATAAAGAAGGCCACAGTCCAGCACCCAGAAGAAGCCTGGTAGAAGAAGCTAGCATGAAACACTGGACCACTGAAGGAGAGGTAACTATCAAGGACTTTAATTCCATGTCCTCTTTTTAAACTCTCTTGAACACCTGTCTGTATAGCTATTATATTGTAATAAAAATATTATTTAAAAATACAGGTCAAAGCCATCTATTTAGGAAATAAGAAGAATCATGATAACACACTGGCATCTACACAAGCTCGGACATGTGACACATATCCTTAGCTAAGGGTGCTGCTCTGACCAGCTTCTTACTTAGACACATTATCTATACCAGTTTTCTTCATGAACATTTTAAACAGCTGCATGATGATGAGGCAGAAAGAAGGGCTGAGCAGATATTGTTGGGGCACTCTGAGTGAGATATGAAGCGTATACAGCAAACATATATTACCATTCTTGCTATTGATCACCACAACTGGATCGGTCCCCGTTAAGACGAATACTGCTAATGATGGATAACTTGGCATCAGCCCAGTAAAGGCGCTCATTATAGTAATCCACTGCTAAGCCTGAAAGAGCAATATATGTTACATCATAACACTGCTCCCTTTAAAGGGTTCATAGCTTACTGAATGTTAACGAGATTTCAAACTACTAGTTTAGACAAAAGAGACACAAAAGAAGATAAGCACAATGCTGAAAACACCCTTGGCTGGATAAAAACACAATCTGAAAATTGATCATCCTGTATAAAGCCAGCCATAGATGGAGCAATTTTCTTTCCTGCAACCGTGGGTTGCAGGAAAGAAAATCACTTGATTCTGCCATCAACACAGTCAATGTTGATGGGGGGAAACCTACCGCGGAGCCACTGTTTTGTCCTGGCGGGGGAGAGGGGAGCTGTTCCCACCAGGAAAACAGTGATTTCTGCTACCAGCTATAATAGCCGTTAGCAATAATCCCATGTAAAATCCAACAGGCTGGTTATACCCAAGTTGATTGATCGATCAACTTGGGTACATTCAGCCTGCCTAAGTAGTTTGAATCTCGGCCAGTCCCTGCTGAACCGGCCGAGATTTGAACCGTATATGGCCAGCTTAAAATTTGCACTGACTTTAGTATAAACAGTTTATTTTTGTCATTTGCAACCACAATTAGTGTTTATAGGCACAGAAGTTTAACTGTTAAGTAGGGGATATTTTACAGAATGTTAATCAACATGGCATCTAGTGAATTCAAAATCAGGCTTTGCATGTCCTTTCTTATACTACAACTTTCTGGGCAGTGAAAATTAAACATTCACGTCATGCTATTAATCATTTTTATTGGCTTAAAATTCCTTGTACAGCTGTAAGATTTTATGGGACTTCTGCAGAAGTGCTGTGCTTTCTACTAATCATTAGTGATGTCTACTATCCTTATGGCTTATTGCAGGGTAATATTCTTCAGCCTGTACTTCACTCCCACATTTGATAACCAGTATAAGGTTTTCAGATGACTGCCTGGTAGAAGAGTATTTAACAGTAGTCATTTAAATATTATATCCGTGAAAGGGTTTTTTTTGTTTCCCACAATTTATGGTCCAATACATTTTTAAAATAATTTTTTGCATATTTGTACAAAAAAACAAGGATAATAAAGTGATAACATTGTATCTCAATACTATTATCCAGCAACAATTTGCTCTTGAGTGCGCAAGAACATAGTATAAAGAAACTAGAGATAGGTGGTAGGAGAACAGGTCATTTGAACCAGGCCTGTCAGTGATTAGAGGGTACTACTTAGCAGAACACTATTATATATACCCGTGGGCCACTGTATGTTGTTCTCTACAAGAGTCTCCCTCATGGTTCCATCCATAGCTGCCTTTTCAATCTTTGGGTGGTTACCCCAGTCAGACCAATACATAGTCCTATACATAACATAAATGAGAAAAAATTGCTTTAATGCAGGTTTGTATTAGACAAATGATAGCTGTAGAGATACACATTTCAAAATAAGTAAAAAAATCAAAGATCACATTGTAAAACAGAAGACTAAGAAATTAGAAAGTAACATTTTCACTTATCTTTATAGTGTGAGTGTATTTGTGGTCAACAATGACAACAGAAGAATAACTATTAAATGTAAAGCATTTCATACCCTCTTAAGGGATCCACAACTATGGCATGTGGTTCGTCAATCATGCCAGAGATCAATGTTTTTCTATGTTCTCCTTTCATCTGTGCCACCTCAATGACGTCACGGCCAGAATCAGTCCAATAAATATTTCCAGCCACCCAGTCAACAGCTATGCCTCTAGGCATCTTCAGGCCAGGTATCTGTACAAACGAATAGCAGAAATATATACTTCCTTAGAATAGACATTGTGAAGAGATGTGTGATGTTCCTGCCACAATATATTATATAAATGTTAGAAATGACCATTCCAAAAGGAGCACCAAGTGAGCACTTATCTGGTTGTATGGTTCAGCTAGTAGTAGTTAGTCACATTCCACTGAACATGTTCAGAAATGATGAAGACCTTTCACCATTCATCCAAGCTATACAGATCCAAGTATCTTCTGATATATCTAATAAAGTCTACAAACACAGTATTCCTTCCACTTACATTTAGGTCAGTTACTCCCTCATCAATCTGTCTCTTGTTACGGTTAGAAGTAGTAGAGGAGGTGGATGTAGGCAGTACTCGAAAAGAGATCTTCCCAGTGTGCCAGTTACTCCAGTAGATTTTGTTCTCTTTCACATAGACATCCATGGCATCAATGCGCACATTCTCATCACCTCTAAATGCTTGCTCATATGCAGAGTTGGGATTGAATGGATAAAGGCTTCTGATCTCATTATCATCAGCAATGTACAACACTTGATTAGCCTCTGTGAAAAACAAAGGAACAAACATGTACCAGCAGTTAACCAAGATAGCAAGACTGAGGAATCCATTACACTGTGGCACAGACATTAATTAAATGAGCACTAGGATGCCATTCATAAAGGCAATATGTAAGCAATGGACCAGTTCAAGAATTTGTGATCTTCAGACCATGTTGGACATTTCTAAGCTCATTAACAAATTCTTCTGAATGTTTTTGGTGCTTGCTATTAGACAGAGATGATCTACAAATGTTGTAAAATTTGCAACAGCAGATGTCATCTGTTCCCCATTTGCAGGGATTGAGTATTTCCCTGGGCATGTGCTACCTTTGTTGGTAAAGTCAGAGTAAAAACCCAACAACAGTTATTTGCATCTCTTACACACTTGGGTAGTAAGATGTCCTTAGCGGAATCCCAGGCTTTAATGCGTGCTGCAACAATTACAGGGAATTGTACTTCCTTGTTTGGTTTTCCTTATTTAAAATTGCTTTCAAAAAGGTCAACATACGAGATACAAAGAATGAATTGCATAAATCAGGGCCAATTATGAAAAGGTTATACAAATGTGGTACAGACACTGCTGGTAAAAGTGCATTCAAAAGAATAATTGTTCAAGGATGCCTGAATGTGAAACATAATAGAGTGAAGGGCATATAGAAGAAAAAGATTTTCACAGCACTACATTTGTAGAGGAGTATTCAGCATTCTCTGGTCCTGGTGAGGGGATGGAGGGCACCCCATTCCCCATTACATTACATACACCAACCTGGCTATATGGTGTTTACAATGAGAACACCCCCCCCCATAATGTGACACATACATAGGTCCAGTGATCTAGAATAGATCATAGTACAGATAGTGTTGAGACTCTCTTAAGGGGTCATAAATACTGTATATGTATGTTATCAAGGATGTGAGGGCATACAAAGAGCAATATACAAAGTGGAAGTTACAAAAGAAGTTGAGAGTATTTGTGTGGGCGTAGTAAGCAAGTAATATGCTAGTGGAATTGAAGTTATGAACGAAAGGGTAAGAAAGGGAGGGTAATGGAGAAAGGGGAAGGGAAGATGAAGAGAAGGAAGGTGAGGAGAGAAGAGAGTAGGAAAAGGGTTGAATCTCCCATCCATGGGGGTGGCTTAACCACTTCAGCTCCACAGGACATACCGGTGCATCAGGTTGAAATGGTTGTACTGGAATCATGGCTGCAGCTGTACCCATGATCCCGGTGCCAAAATTTTCTGGTAGCGATGGACTTTAACCACCTCAATACTGGGCACTTTTACCCCCTTTCTGCCCAGGCCAATTTTCAGCTTTCAGCACTGTCGCACTTTGAAAGACAATTGAGTGGTCATGCAACACTGTACCTATAAGAAATTTTTATAACGTTTTTCACACAAATAGAGATTTCTTTTGATGGTATTTATTCACCACTGGGTTTTTAATTTTTTGCGCTATAAATTAAAAAAAAACCAACAATTTGTGTTTTTCTTAATTTCTGTTATAAAAAATGTTGCAAATAAATAATCTTTCTTCAAAAAACTCTAGGCCAAAATGTATGATTGCGTATATCAGTAAATTTCACTGATAAAAACAACCACTTTTACTAAATAAAACTGATTAATTCAGTAGGTATTGTTGTGATTAGTTGTGATTGGCCACAGCTGATCACATGGTACAGATAGGCTATGATTGGCCCTGTCTGTACCATGTGATCACTGTGACCAATCACAGCTAGCCACACAATTGTAAGAAATGAATGGCATGAAAGACATTCATTGTTTACAATTGTCATGTGATCTGCGGTGATTGGCCATCCATTGTTTTCAATTGTCATGTGATCTGCGGTAATTAGTCACAGCAATCACATGGTACTGGTAGCGGGTCGGTACAGTGATCAGCCTTTGGTTGTGTCCAGTGGACATAGCTGGTAACAGATCGCTCTGGAGTGTGGATCGTGGGGCACGCAATGCCTGATCCTGGGAGGATGTCATATGACCTCCTCCCAGGATAATAGGGATCCCGCCTGGCCTATTGTAATATGATTGCTGGGAGTGGCCCAACAGCCGCTTGGGCACTTCTACAGGGCGCAAAACCCACAGAGGCCACAGCACCATCAGTTCTAATCATTAGGATAAGAAAGTAAAAAAACACCCCCATATAATGCCTTGATTAGCAATTAACAGTTAATATATAGACACAGAGCCAGGGGACAGCAATGCTCTGAGCATTGAGCTCCCTGAATCGATCAAGACAGCTATGGACAAAAGCTATAAAAAAAGGCGGGGGGGGGGGGGAAAGGGGGGGGGGGGGGGGGGGGAAGGGGGAAAGGGGGGGGAGGAGGGGAAGGGGAAAAAGGGGGAGGAGGGGAAGGGGAAAAAAGGGGGAGGAGGGGAAGGGGAAAAAGGGGGAGGAGGGGGGGAAGGGGAAAAAAAAGGGGGGGCAGGAGAGGAGAAGGGTAAAAAAAAAAGAAAGGTGAGACCGTGGGACCAACAGAAAGGAAGAAAAAAGGAGGAGAAGGGAAGAGGAAAGAATGAAAGCAGAATCAGAAGAGAACCACTCCGTCCAAGAGTCCAGCACTCACCATTCCAGGAGTTAGTCCCATCCGAGTTTCAGTTTTATGTTTACAAGTAGTTATTATCTGCTCAATTGGATCTCAGTTTGATCAGATGCTTTTTAGGGCAGACCCCAAGACCCAAGATCTTTCAGTAGAGAGTACTTGTCAACGACCATGCTGTCACAAAGGATGTTGTACATTCTTTGTGATAGCAATAAAGTTAATTGGAAAAAATTGAAGGGGCAGTGTAAAAAAATGTTTATTCAAAATAAATAATAAAAAAAAAAATGTAAAGTGCCCCCCCATCCTCACATGCAAATGTAAACAATGATTGCAACACACATGTGAAGTATCGCCACTAATGTCAGAGTGAGAGCAATAATTCTAGCACCAGACCTCCTGGGTAACTCTAAACTGGTAACCCATAAAGGCTCTTAACGTGCAGCCTATGGAATTTTTTTTTTGGTACCGTAGTTTGTCGGTGTTCCACTGGCATACCAAACTTTAAAGCATGACATGCTAGTTATCTATTTACTCAGTGTAACATCATCTTTAATATTTTTATTCAAAAATTGGGTATTATATTGTGAAAAAATATATAATGTTTGTGGGTTTTAAGTAATTTTCTAGCAAAAAAAAATGCTGATTTTTACATGTATGTAAAAAGTATCAGTATTGGCCCAGTGGTCAACAAATCACCTATCTTTATAGTTGTAAGGCTCTGTATTGGGTTGGGAATATCCACAGAGTCCAAAATTTAGGGAAACTCTCATGGATATCGAGTTTAATAGCCTTTCATCACTTTGTCTTTGTGCCAATTGTCACCAGGTCAAATGGAGAGGGTGAAGCTCTCTAGTGGGGACAAAGCAATAAAAAAAAACTGATTGAAAGTCTGATCTCTCCTTACCTAAAACTAACACAAAAGGTTTTGGCTATACATGCACTTCAATAATTGGTGCTCAAAACATATAACCCTTTGTGTCACATGTAGAAGTGTAGAAGCCTCTCACACTCTTACCATCTGCCTTGCAAGTGTGATTATGCTTGATGAAGTTCTTTGCACAAGTGCACATGTAGGAGCCTTTGGTGTTGTTGCAGATCTGAGTGCATGTGCCAAATGCCAGACACTCATTGAGATCTATAAGAAAGAGGAGAATAATGATGGCATTGAAACTGAATGCAAGAGAATTGAATGCGGTCTCCCTGAATGTAAACCAAGGAAAAAAACAAAGCTATAAATATTGTCTACAAGCAAGATAACATAATAGAAACTATACTAACAAAAAACTACAGATGAAAAGTTTTTCAAAAGTAGCTTTTTAATACTGTTCCTGTACTTTGTTACTTTCACTTACATAAGTTACAATTATTGTGGACATACAGTAAACTGTGCAAGTTGGGCAATTCCTGTAATTTTCTCCAGTGTGTTCAAATAACTTATTTACAAATAAATAAAGATATACTTTGCACCACCTTAGGTGTGTCTTTCTAATGTTGCCTTTTCACAAGGAATAAAGCAGGCAATAGATGGTTCAAACCTTTGCCAGATCAGCAGGAACCGGTTAAGATTCAATCTATGTATGGGCAGGATAATTGTACCCAAGTCGACCCCGACAGGCGAACGCAACAGCTCTGTAGAAGGGATTTGAGCGATTTTCTTTCCTGCAACGACAGATTGCAGGAAAGAAAATTGTGTAGTCTATGGCCTGCTTAAGTATATCCACGGGTGTCTGAGCAAGGACCTTCATGGCAGGACTGCCAGATATTTTGTTAATGAAAGATGTAGTTTTAAAAATAGTGCACATGGCTTTGAGGTTATGTTAACTTGCACAGCTTATATGAGATATTAGTAAAATAGACCTTCATCGCAGTAAGACTGACTAAAATATAGGTGTTACCTCTGCAACCGTTCTCCCCTGGGATCTTCTGGAATCCTTCATTACATCTGCAGTACACACTGGTTGGAGTCTGGATACAATTCATCTCTTCTCCACAAATGGTGCTATTGGCATGACAGCCATAATGTTTTGCATCTGCAAAATTAAGAATCATAAATGGTGCAGGGTAACGGATCAATTTCCTTTTCATCATGTAGAGCTTCCAAGTATAATATTATGAGTAAAGCATTTTTGAGTAAGCAACACAGATTTATTTTTTATACAATAGCTGTCAGTTTGTCTGGACTTATTTTAAAGTGAAAATCTGAGAGTAACACAGAAATGAGCAAACAGGGTACAGCCATACACTGTTTGAATTTTTCCAGTTACTACTGAAACAGCTGAAATTTGCTTAGTGGGTGGCCCTGTTGCCTCCTCCCACCGTTTGATTCTTCAAAAAAGATGAATGCAGGCATAAATTTGTAGGCCAATTAGCTTTTGAACACTGCAGACTTGTGTGACACTGTGTGCTCAGAGTAAAAAAAAGTAAGTGTACAGTTTGAACAAAACACTGGAAAAATGGTCAGTATTGGTGAACTTGAGGTTTGGAAAAATATACACTGTAATATAGTAACGTTGTAAGGTGTACTAAAACACATCTTTTGGTTGTAAGTCTATTATTGTATGTGTGTAGATTGCGCTGTAAGATCTTTTCAAGAATGTGTACTTTTTAGCTATTACCTGACTACATACACATATATTATGTCCTATCCACTTGTAAGAGTAGGTAAGCTCTCTCCTTTGGCTTAGGACAAACTCTGTTCCCCTCTTATGGTTGCTGTGAAATGACAACCATCTATCTGTAGGACTAAACCTGATACAAAAGGTTGTCCTGTGTTCTGGAGTCTATAGTCCACCAGGGTTTGATGATCTTATCTAAGACTTAGGTTAAAATGTTGAGAAATATTCTAGAAAATACATAGCGTCAAGTGTTTATAATGTAACAGTTTGTGATAAACATCAGAGGATGGTTGCACATGCAGACAGGATTGGGCTAAAAAAAAGATCTTTACTGCAAAGGGCCCCTCTGTTAATACACACAGGATGGGACTATACCCAAGTACGAATGTTTATAGTTACAAAGAAGGAAGGGGGAAAGCAGAAAAACACCTCAAGTCTTACCTTTGCATGGCAAAAACAACAGTGAATGGTTGGTATGTACAATTATTATGTGACTTCAGACTGCTTAAAGGGTTAGTTCATCTTTACCAAAAAGCACCTATGAAGTTGCATAATGCCCTTGCTATAGGTGTACACTATTTACTTGCCTCACGAAGCCTGACCTGACAACTCCCAGGAAGCTGCTAGGATGTTAAGGCCTAGCTGTTACTGTTCAGTACTAGGGTCGTTGGTTCGAATCCCAGCCACGGCACCACCTGCCTGGAGTTTGCATGTTCTCCCTGTGCCTGTGTGGGTTTCCTCCGGGTACTCCGGTTTCCCCCCACACTCCAAAGACATGCTGGTAGGTTAATTGGCCCTAATATGTGTATGACTGTAAGTTAGGGACCTTAGACTGTACACCCCTTGAGTGTTAGGGACTGATGTGAATGTACTATATATATATATATATATATATATAAAGCACTGTCTAAATTGACAGCGCTATATAAGTACCTGAAATAAATCATCACAAGAGTGAGCCTAAAACTCTGAGCTCAGAGCTACTGCATCAGGGGAGAAAAAGTGGATGTGAAAGGGCTTGAATAAGAGAAAGAGCTCACTCCTGTGATAGTGAAGGTGAATAGTAATAGCTGGGCCTTGCTAGCAACGTCCTAGCAACATGCTGGGAGTTTTCAGGTCAGGCTTCATGAGTGCTGTATGTAAATGGACAACACCTATAGCAAAGAGCATTTTTCAATTTGGTCAAAGCTGTACAGTTTGTTTATATCTACAAACACCCCTTACCTGCACAGGCAGTTTTAAGTAAAGGTAAACCAACCCTTTAAAAGAGATTCTTGTGGAAGTCTGCTTGTACCATACACATAGGGATCATTGCCAAGTTTAGCAGAACACGCCAAGTCGCCTTACCTGGGTGACAATCATCTTATGTCTATGAAATCTGATAAATCATCTCTAAGTAGGGATTCTCCTATATAAATTATAATCCTATATCATAGCTATTATATAAAATTATTGCTTGTTCTTTTTATTTCTAAGTCTACTCTTCGTGGAGAGCCATTCCAATAAATTAAAATCCAGACAACAATCACACAAATACACACAAAAGCCAACTGAGGCAGAAGTCATTTACCCTGAAAGTGTTTTCAGGAGATGTGGAAGGAAATCTGTACTACATGTAAGAATAAATTACACTGAAATAAATAAGAAGACTACACAACAAAGTTGCAGTTTAATCCATAGAATGTGCAATTTATAGATGATATCTTTATCTACAATTTAAGGTCAGCTTTAAAACAACAACATTTAGCGGTGATGGAAGAGTTTGGATCGAATGTTTATTTGCAGGTTCACCTCAAATGTAATATTTTCCCAAGCATTTACTAAAAAGTGTCAGCACAGCATTCAATGCAGGTGACACACACTTACTGTGAGGACAGTTTTCTTCATCAGAACCATCTCCACAATCATCAAACAGGTTACATCTGAAATCGGAGTTAACGCATTTGCTGTTTTTTACACTGGAATTCCTGTTTGTCCAGGTCACAGTTCTTCGGTTTGTGCAAGTCTGAATTGTAATAAAAATAAGAAAGCATGATTAGTGGCATGCAATCTCTACAAATATACATTACCTTGGATTTATTAACCTGAAGTGTTTACTAAACCCACAACAATAAAATCAGTCTGTATATGCGGTAAAGCATGCTTGTTACACTCACTGTGGAACCTAAGGAGTCAATCCTCCACACTGTGTAAAAAGGATGTTTGATCCTGTCTTCTCTCATCCTCCCCTTCTTCTACTGTCCCTTAATCCATCTCCTAATAGAACAGAGCCTTGGAGGCAAGCTGCACATGCTCATTTTGGTGTGTATTTCTATAATTTCTTTTTTTCTTGGGAGAGTGCATGTAATCGGTAGAGGGCCAATCAGTGCTGTCCAGACAGAGGATCAGGGGCCATGCAGCCTCACAGGGGAGAATTAAAACTTCTCCTACAAGCTTTAACTAGTGCTCTGCTGTAAACTGCTAAAAGTTACAAGACTGCTATATACTGCTGATGAGAAAAGGGATTTAGCAGTTTATATTCACTAAAATAATTGCATTTCCATGTTGAGTATACTGTGGGAGACCGGATATAGTGAATCCAGAGTCCTGGGTTTAGTAACACATTAAAATATGTACATATCAAACATAGCTTATTATAACAAGTGACATTTAAAATAAGATATTTCAGAATTAAGTGGATTTTGACAAACTGAATCACATGATGGCTTCTTATCTCTCTTGGTGGTACTCTACTTTAAGATTAAACTGCCAGGGTAACCTAATTAAAGGATGCACTGCAAATCTTGCATTTTTTTTCAGGAAAGCTGCACTGCATTGCACCTTTCAATTAGGCCATTGACTCTCCATACATCTCATTAGGGATTGATGCCTAACAATAAAGGGATTATGTAAAACTGGATCATATTAAATAATGGACATTCTAAGGTGGACTATGTCCAAAAAGAATTTCAGGCTTTTATAAGTGCCAAGGGCAACAATGTGCTTAAACTCAAAGCAATCAAGCTTCCTTTAGCTCACATGGGTTTGGTTTGCTATAACCCTACATGTCTCTGGAAAGCTGGACTTCCCACTCACCACAATTCTCTTCATCTGTTCCATCTCCACAATTATCAATCCCATCACACACACGTGATGTGCTCAGACACACGCGGTCATTTCTGCAGCGGAACTGTCTGTATGGTGGACAGGAGAACTTCACTGGTGCAGACATCAACAAAAAACAGAGCAGAGTGTCAAAAACAATACACAATTAAAATACTATTTTATATCTAATTACTATTCAGGCAAAAGCATTTCTAAATGTTCCTTTCTTTTTAAATGATTCTATGAGGCCCATAGAGTGCATCCCGTGAATGCACTACATGTCAAGGCAACCATAAGACATAAGACTTTATTTTTGTAGATCCGATTGTGCAGCTTAAAGGAGAAGTACAGCCAGAGCTCTTTAGGCTATACTTCTTCTGTGGATCACAGGAGTGGGGGTACAGAACAGATAACAGTGACTGACGGTCACCGCTCTCTGTCAGATTGGCTGTGAGAACTCAGCGACCAACAGCACTGTGATCGCTGGGTTCTCACACTTAGAGCCGGAGGGGCCAGATGCAGCATTCACTTAGGTAATTATTATTGGGGAAAAGCCCATACTTCTCTTTTAATGCATGGTTATATAAACATCATTCTCTGTATCTAACCATTGTGTTACAAAGGCACAGAACAAACCTAAATGAAATTGGTATGACAAATGGCAGACACCTGGCAGCACTAGTTGTATTATTTCCCCATGCTCCATTTGCACGCTCACATTCTTGGGTACAGAATTCTGTTCAACACTAGTAAATACTCACAACAATCCTCTGGTCTCTCATCTGAATTGTCTCCACAGTCATCTTCTCCATCACATTTCCAAGCCAATGGTTTGCAGAGTGTGTTGTTACATTGAAACTCATCTAGAGGGCAGGTTCGGACTACTGAACAGATATAAACATGATAAGCATCACAACTAGAGCTGTAAAACCCTCAAACTTTTGCATTACTTAGACTCAAACTAGTGTGCAAGGGATGCCAGTTGTTGGGTTATTCTTAATCACAAGGAGACTATAATTGTTAGCATCTATCTATCTATAAATACATTTATCTACCCTTTACTGAAGAGAAGTCTTGTTTCCAACAATACTGCTTGCAACATCCCAGCTCTGAGTACATCCCACTGTACTGTGAAATTTCTACTCATTCAGCTTAAAGAGACCCTGTCATATTATGAAAAACTCTCCAGAGCATGTACCTCTAAACAGAATACTTACCTCTCCTGCTACCCATGCAGCTTATTTCTGCTTCGATTCTGAGAAAGCGTAGCCAGATGTCTGCTGGGGAACCAACACTTTTAGAAGGTCAATCTCCTGGGTCCCCCACGCTCTCACTGGTTCCTTCTGTTGACCTTCACATCACCGCAGGAGACAGAATTGTGATAAGGTCAATAGAAAGAACCATTGAAAACTCTAGGGGACCCAGGAAAGTGACCTGCCACTGTGTTGTCCGCTCAAGCAGGAAACTCACTTGATTTCTGTTATTTTCCTATAATTGAAGGGATAAAACATGGAGAAATGTGTGTATTGCTAAGTGAAAACATAAAGTGCTTTATATTTTTACAAATATTATAAATATATGTACAAACAATCCCAAAATCATCAAAAAAGAAGAAAATGGGGAAAAAACCCATCCCCTAAACAGGATTATTGGTCAGTTGGTCTCTGTCCACACCCCCTTGATATCATAGAAAATGACTGACAGGACTTGTGACAAGGGAGCTCTCGTTTAACATCAATCAAGGAACATCTTAATGGACTTGAGAGCCAAGGCAACGTTTTTGCTCGGACAATTGGGCTCTGCTAAAACCAGGACTTTGCAAGTATTCTGCCTTCTTAACGCCTTTCTTTTATTTCTCTGTTGTTGCTTTATTGTTCTCTTTATGTCTTTGTAATAACCCTTCCTATAAATATTGAAATTGCATCATTTTGACCTTTTTAGTAATAAACCCTATTTTGAAAAGGGTTAAAACTGTCTTAAAAGCTTTTATTGCAAACTAAAGAATCCCTGTCTCTTGAAGAGTGCTACTGTATGTAATAATCCTCTGAATACACTTGTCTGTGGTAACAGTGTGTGTTGCAGACATTTATTGACAACATTTGTTCTTGCTAACATTGTGAAGGGTTGATAGTCCCAAAACTATCTGGTGGCAGTTTGGTGTTTAAAGGGTTAACTGCGTAATCATTAACCCAGTGACAATCGCTCTCAGGCTGCTGGCACATAGATTGTGGTCTTGTGAGCTGGAAAATCTTTGTGCAGCTGAGAGAGGCAGTGTTACGCAAATGATAGCACAGTGCGAGATCGGCTGGTCTTTTGCCATGAGTTTGTGAGAAGGACAGAGGTTGGGCACCGCTTTTGTCACACCTTCCTGCTGAGTTCCTACACTTTGTGCAAGTGTACCTAGAAAAACTGATGCTATTTTGAAGGCAAAGGGTGGTCACACCAAAATGCTGATTTGATTTTGATTTCTCTTCTATTCATGGACTTTCCATTTTGCTAGTTACTGAAAATAAACTACTGTATTAACACTTCTATTTTGAAAGCATTTATGGAATTTATAACACGTCTAAAACTTTTTGCACAGTAGTGTGCATATAATATTTGTACACATATAAAGCAGCGCTGCATTTTATTTTTCTTAGCAACGTGAATTGGGGTGTGGTACACTTGGTAGTGCAAACAGCAGCAAATAGGAGAGGTATACAAGAAGGCATATAAGCTATGATTGAGCAATAACTTATTGCAATATTCAAAGTGTGTATTGCAGAGATGTATTAATATGTACGATTACTGAAACCCTAACTCATTATAATAGCATTATTTACACAGGATGTAAGGAGAAGTACAAATGCATCATCTTCTCTTTACACCTACCAAATATTTATCAAATAACATATCTGAAAAAGGAGACAGTGAAGGTGGTGATCTAAATGTAACTCTAAAGGATAAGTTCCCCTTTTGACAAAATATAATATATGCACATTTTTTGGTAGGTTAAAAAAAATGTTTATTTATTATTTTTTGTTGCAGGACCCTGGAAAGCATTGCACCAGCGATCAGCAGATCGCTGGGGCCATGCAGGACTCCGGCAGATCTGTCAGTATATCTGCTTGCCCTTACATCCCATGCAAGCAAGCTAATACACTCTGGCAGGAAGAATCAATGACTGCCACAGCACTCACAGCGCCGTGGTAGTTCATTGAGAACTACAAGCCGACAGCTGCTGAGGTAGTTTTCTCCCTAATTTTAAAATCTGGTAGCTAGCAGGAGGAGAAGATCCCCCACTAGCTGTCAAAGTGGGGGAGCAGGGAGGAGCTGGGGCAGGTCATTTCATAACATGTTACACGCTGCATATGGGTGTAATATATAACATGTTATGAAAGGTGAATTTATCCTTTAAGTATCTTATATATGGATAAAGAAGGTAGCTAATGTCAACTGAAGATCGTGTCATACTTAAAATATTTTAACCATTTTTAGCATAGGAAATACACAAGCAACGTAGGCAAAAAGAGTGACCACTTGAAGTGCAGATGCACTCTGCAAGTGGATTGCTCCACATCTTAGTGAATGAGGTGAAGCTTTGCGGATTTCCATCATCCAGTCATGTGCAATCAAAAATGCTGTTTCTTTTTATTTTCCTTGTGATTGGGTATTCTTTGCAAAGTGAAGCTTCACCATACTCACTATGCTCTGAGGATAATTCCCTTGCAAAGTAATCCGTCTACTTGCCTTTAGTAAATTAACCCCAAAGTCTTTTATGCTGGGGAGGTCTACATATAAATCCATCACATACTGAACATCAACTAAAAAAGGCACACGTACCTCTAGTACTGCAATTCAGCTCATCACTTCCATCCATACAGTCAGCATCACCGTCACAGGCCCAGCGGTGTGGAATACAGTGGCCGTTTGTACACGGGAACTGGTCTGGGTCACACCTCAGCACGCAATCTTTCTGTTTTTAGACAGCAGAGGAAATACTCTTAATTTTCTAAGAAAATTTAGCTAATGCCTGATAATACAAGCATGCAAGATTGTCAGCAAGCATCCCAATAATGTCCAAAGCTCTGATGTTATAATGGCCTCTTGTCTACCTGGATACTTGTATATTTTTACTAAACTACTGAGCTCCAGGTCATCATTGAAAAAATGAAACAGAAGAACAAACTGAAGCATTATTTTAGGCAAAGATCCGAATCTTTACAGTAGTTGTGAGATAAATACCACAATAACAAGTTAGTAGAATATTACAATTCATTTTCATCATCATTTTTGTGACAGTTGCACCCTCTAGTGGCAGACTTACAGTACTTATCACGTTATTAAAAGATCCTGTACTAAGAGGCATTGCAGACTTGCAAATTTTTAGTCGGCTGTCTTTCTGGTCCTCTAGCTTCAGTACTTTCTCAGCCACTGACCAAGAACAATCCTTCAGCCTTAAATTCAGAATTCTTGACCAGCACATCAGGTCAGCGACTCAAAATATTGAAATCATTGCAACCAAATAACTAGCATTTTCAGAAGAAGAGATCCTAATGACAGCTTATATATTTCTGTCAGTATAGGTTTTTAGTGACAGCATAGTTGGTGCTCACCTCATCTGAGCCATCAATGCAATCATGATCGCCATCACACTTCCACCGACCAGCAATACAACGCCCATTGGCACAAGAAAATTCACTTTCTGAACATGGCCGCGGTGCTAAAAAAATAAATAGGTAGGAAATTGTGTAAGATGGCCTATAGCAATAAAAAAAAAACTGTGCTAAATGGTAAGACTCCACTTAAGTTTTCATCTATTAAAATGAAGTAAAGAGTAACTGTATTCTCCAACTGAAAAAACAAAGGATGCGGTATAGAAATGTGACAGGCTAGTACAGATTCAAAGCAACATTTTTGAGAAATATATAACTTAAGTTTCCTGTCTATTCAAACTGAAGGCCAGAGCAACCTACTGAAGTGTGGTTAGAAATGCGCTATGTTGCTCATTAAAATGCTTTGTGTTAAAACAGGCTATTTGTTTGAATGAGCTGCCAAATTCACAACAAAGGATCTAAAGCAGTACCTGCTGCATTTTTTCACGGCGCACAGCAACACATGGTGGCACACAGGGGTGCTGTGGAGGTGCATTAGGGTGCCACTTCAAAATGATTGGCACTGCAGTTCACCAACGCACATAACCTGTATTACCACACACGTGACCGCTACACATTGGTGTGAACATTAAAGCTCAACTGCGTTTCCAGTTTAAATCAGCTAAACAGATTCCAGACGCAATTGTTTTTTTTTTTCAGTAAAAGATCACAGCCTGTTAAAAAGTCTATCCCTTACCAGCATGATGCAGAAATGGATCTTTGCTCTCTATGTGTAAGTAATGGTATCTCTGCATAAGTCCCACATGCCCCCTATAGCTCTGCAATCAGAAAAGCTGAAGAATCTCGTTGACTGGAAAGCTTGGACTTAGCAAGGAGTGTGTTGGACCTCTGCAGAGGGATTACTGCTTCCACACAGAAAGCCAGGGTCTTTGCACACCATTTGTCTTGATCCACTAGGACTACATTTAGCAGATTTAAACAGAAATACTTTAAAACTGCATGTCTCTATGATGTTAATTATAACAAGACTAATAAGGGTGCTGAGGTTTCTCAAATATTGGAAACTGACAGGTGGTTTAAGTTTTCATCATCTAGCAAGGACTAAAATACAGTACAAGGTTCAGGTGAACTGACAATATAATGTTGATGCTGTATGTATACCTAAACTACTACTGCATTTTATATTAAAGAATAGGACTGCCTTAATGCCTGGTATTTCTCGCCATTTTATTCAAAGCTAGAAGGGCCTTCTATGTGGAAGAGTTGGAGGCTTTATTCATAGATATCAAAAATCCTAAAAGCTGGTCAACACTGTTTAATGCTGTCATCACCAAATTTTCTAGAAGAAAGCTCTTTACTCTATCGCATTACATTTCACATTTGCCAAATTAAAGCCAACCAATTCTTTTTATTTAGCCTTAGACAGGTCAGAAAAATGTTGCCTGATTTCTATTGCTATTGTGCATCAGTTGAGGAGATTTCTCCTCACATCCCGTAAGGACAGGAATTGATGAAAAATCTCCCCAATGCTAGAAGAGTGAGGAAGGGCTAGAACTTCCGACAATGGTTTTATGGCAGTCCATGTTTTTCCTGTCTTAGTGAACAGTGCCTGTTTTTTCTAAAGGCGGCATCGAAAATAACGGATAAATCTAATAAGGCTATAAAAAAAAAATGGCCGGAGGTATGTTTAAAAATGTGTCTTGAAATATGAGAAAAAAAAAATATGCAGTACATTACTTTCAATTATGCACATTTTCTTCTTTGTCTCTTTAAAACACTAAGAATAAAAAGTTGGATCTGGAGTTCTCTGCTGGATTGCAGAACATCTCCCATCACCTCACCAAAGTGTAAGCAGGTGGTCTGTAGTCCAACAAAGAAGACCTCAGGACTGACAGCACTAGAATTTCAGTGTAGCAGAGGCAGGCTTTTGTTTTCTATTCAGTATAGTAAGTTAGAAGCTACATATGTAGCTTGTAGCTTCTAACTTACTATACTGAATAGAAAACAAAAGCCTGCCTCTGCTACACTGAAATTCCAGTGCTGTCAGTCCTGAGGTCTTCTCTGTTGGACTACAGACCACCTGCTTACACTTTGGTGAGGTGATGGGAGATGTTCTGCAATCCAGCAGAGAACTCCAGTAGGGCTGCTTGAGAATCCATAGAGGCAAAATTGACTGTTCACTACAGGACGTTAGGAGCGTTTTTATCTGCAGGAACAACAGCTACTTTTCTGTAGAAATGTGCATGTACTGCAGAGATATACAGCATTTGTTTATATATTGTCCAGATCTATAGACTAGTCCTACTGAACACAAATCAGCATGTAAATTCAGATAGAAATCACACATTTGAATGCTTTAGTCTGTATACACAATCCATTCTTCCTGTCCTGGGTTTTTATGAGACATGCTTGGGTCACAATACACCAGGAGGAGAGAGCAAGCCAGGAAGCATATAGCAAGGAGATATAGAGGGAGCGGCATGGTTAGTCATGTTAAATGTAAAGACTGTTCTGCACCTACCTCTGGATGCCCCCAGGGACGACAGTGTTAAAATGGAGAAAAAACATAACATGAGGTGAAATGGAACCAACACAAGTACACATGTGAGAACAAAAGGTGAGCTTCTATGCTGAAACAAAACTTGTACGCGCCCCAGACAGATGGTTAAGGAAAATGGTGTCAACAACAGGAGCATGTGATGCAGTGAGAAAGCAAGAGGACCTGAAATAACAGGAGGAAAATCGGACAAGTTTCTGGAAATCAGATCTCTGTTTCATGTATCATAATGACAGCAAAGAAATTAGAAGCATTAGTCATACCAGCCAGAATCCAACCGTTCTTATTATCTGAAAATCAAGGAAATCAAAAGGAGTGGACATGACTGGTTGATGCAGCCACACCTCCACTTCTACACACACAATTCAGGTTAATTATTTAGGCCCCTTGCACACGGACCTAATAATTGACAGATATATATATATATATATATGCATGATCTCATTAGCAGAAAGATCCATAAAAAAAAAAAAAAATCCATAATGACCTTGCATATACATGTAAATTCTTCTATATCTTCTTATAGCTACCAGTGTTGCAATCTACGCGTATACTCTCATATATATTTTACTGCACTTTTTTTTTTTTCCTTACTGGCTCTGAACACATCGCTGCATCTTTACACAGCTGTATGCACTGTCCCATAGACAACAATGCACCAGTGTTCAGATCTGTAAACAAACTCATGGCTACAAACACAGCTTATTTTTTTTACCCGTGTGTAAGAGGCCTTAGAGTGGGTCAGGTTAATTATTTAGAATAGAGTCAGGTTGATTATTTGGAAATGTATATTAAAAGAAGGCTATTCTATCTGCCAATAACTGATTTTTATTCATCCTTTTACAATGTGAATGACTGAGTTGGTCAGCAGTAAATGACAACTGAATGCAGGTAAGATGCACATACTGCAGGTCTCCTCATCAGAGTTGTCACCACAATCATTGTCGTAGTCACACTTCCAGCGGCCAGGGACGCAACGGTTGTTCTTGCAGCGGAACTGATAAGGTTCACATGTTCGCTCATCTGGGATTAAACAAAAACATCATCTCTATTTACAGTGTGTCACAAACTGGAATAAAATCACCATTGTAGAAAAAAATCTTATGAATCTGTTGGTGATTCAAAAGCGTATCATACCACATTCCTCTTTGGGTTCATCTGAGCTATCTCCGCAGTCATCTTCACCATCACATTTCCAGCGTGCGGGGATGCACCTTCCAGAGTCCTTACACCTGAACTCATCATCCACACCGCATGTCATTTGAGCTGCAGAGCAAAAGAACAGCAAGTGACTCAACAAAGATTGTGAAATACAGGTGACACAAACATCTGTATGTGTTCTAATGCCTGCTAGGGGCTGAAAGGGTGCTTTTAGCAAAATGGCTCAGAGGACCATTCAGGATAACAAAAAAAAAAAAAAAAAAAAAAAAAAAAAAAAAAAAAAAAGCATCTGCCAGTTATGCAGGCTTTGGCACCACAGCTCAAGCTGTTATGATTGGCTGCCCTGGGAGAACCCCCTCCTGTTTGGAAGTATAATAAAATGGCATTTTGAAAAAACATGCACAGGATACATACACTCACTGTATGAGACATTGTAAGTATTGAAACTCCATTATCAAAAGTATTCACAAAATTGATATGAAAAAGTAGCAATTTTATATGAAAGGAACATGCTGAACACAGACAGACAAATCACTTACTGAGAACAATGAGCAGCAGTCACATAATTGCCAGACCCACTGCAGCTATTCCCCCCATGAGTGTCTGACTAAGGAAAGACGCATTGCATTTTCTACAGGGAGAAGAGATTTTCCAATATCCCTGTGAGAGATAACAAGCACTTCTGATACTCATTATTGCACAGAAGTTCACCGTACATGCTGACTATTGTAAGTGATGCTTGTAAAGCTTGTCGGTGTATGGCTGACTATATGCAAATACTATTTATCGGTGACTACTTTTCTTGAAGTTTACAGTTACCCAGAGTAAACCTGTGGTCTTCATGTACTTAAAGCCTTACTTCAGGATTTGTTCATTTGGGCCAAGCTGGCTCAAACAAATGATTTCCATTACTAAGAAATGCAGCTGCTGTCAGTGCTGTATGAACTCTATGTAGCTGATGCTACCTACAGCACTGTGTCCTTGCAGAGGTACAAGGACTTCCCATTTGCTGCTGGATCAAACTCGACTCGGGATGAGCAAGTTTGATAATTAAAGACAAAGCTTCCCCTGACTGACTGAGGTGAAAATTGTGACATTGTCTGCCCGCTTCTCCACCTCAGCCAATTACAGGAAGCCTTGTATTCATACAAGGCTTCCTGTGAGTAGCTGAGCAGCGGCTCAGCTTCACTCGATTTTGTTCCAGTAGCAGACATAGCGCTGTCAGAACACAGCGTTCTCTACTACATGTAGCGGGTACTATACACAAGGGGCTTCCAACCTTTTGACCTTCCTAGGCCACATTGGAAGAAGAGAAATGGTCTTGGGCCACACAAAAAATACACTAACAAAAGGGATAGCTGATGAGTAGTTCCTCCTGCGTCACTCAACGGGTAGGTGCGGCCACTGGGCCCATTCACTGTAAAGACAGGTCGCTGGCGGCTACACCTATTCGCTGTTTTCTGCACAGCCAGCGATTACCTGTGGTGATTGCTGCTGGACAAAAACAAAATGTGTCCAGCAGTGATAGGTAATCACTGGCTGTGTAGAGAGTCGCGAATAGGTGTGGCTGCTGGTGAACTGTCATTATACTGAATATGGCCGGCAGCTGCACCCACCCACTGAGAGCTGCAGGAGGAATTGCCACTATAATTCCCACTGGCCCTAATCACCGGGGTGAATGCAGCCAATGTATGTGCTATATGGGAAGCTGGGGGGGGGGGGGGGGAGTTGTGGGCTGGGGGGTGTAAAATCTGAGGGGGGTGCATCCCAACCTAGCACCCCCCTAAATCTGCCCATGCAGCATTTTCTTATCTGGCATCCCTGCTGCCAGTTCTACTGCAAACATTGCAGCCCTGGCATTCCTCCAGTCATGCAATTGCCTGGCTTGCCAATGTTTGCATTGCATCCCTTCAAACGTGCATGGGCCAGGCTGTGTCGGCCGACATGGCTGCTGTGATTGCGCTGCATCCTCGGCGTCCCTCCAGGGCCAGGGCCGCATGCTAAACTATCTGGGCTGCATGCGGCCCAAGGGTTAGATACTCTTGCTATACACAATGTGTACAGTGCTGACATCAAACATTTCTTGGAAGCTGTGAACAAACAAACAATTTAGAGTAACACAAAACCTGTTATGTTATGCTTTTTAAAAGCCCTGATGGGATGCTATGGACAAATGTTTGAACTTCGAACTGTGTAACCCCCTTCAGCACCCCCAGTAAATATTTTCAGGATTGTGTCACAAAAGCCAAGTTCCTTACTGCAGTTATGCGGCTCATCAGATGCATCCACACAGTCATTGTCCCTGTCACACACCCAGACACGGGGGATACACCGCTTGTTGATAGTGCACTGGAACTGATTTGGAGCACAGGTGACTTCGGCTGGAAAAAAGAGGGAATGGCAATATTTAGGCTGAAGCAGATTAAAGATGGTCATGCACACACAGATTTCTTTTGTTCAGCTTGCACACTGAATGAAAGACATTTAATAGATGACTCCATCCATGTAAAACAGCGCAGATAGACAAATCTGCCCAGCTGGCTATATATTCTGAAAGCTGGCACCCGCGGCTGTCAAAATACCAAATGGTGCTTGTTTGACAATTTTTTGCATGGCTCCTTCAGGCTCCATACACACTAGTGGGTTTTTTTCTGCTTCTACAAGCTAATAGTGTTATCCTATGTGTCCATGCACACTCTATTTTAGGCTAGATGCGTTTTCCAAGCTTCAGATTGTAGAACCCAAAAAAAAAAAAAAAAAAAAAAAAGAAAGCTTGTTTTTGCATTTTTAGGAGCAATATGTCAGCAGAAAAAAAAAAACGCTGACAGCTTCTAGAGCTCCTAAATGCTTTCAACCGCTGCTAAACACCGGTTTTCAGTGCTTTTCTGCCACAGCCAGCAGCCGTCGGCGTCCTTAACAACCAGTGTACAGCTGGTTGTTAAGCAGCGGGCCAGCAAGCCGGTCACCACGTCCTTAACAACAGATGACTCAGTACCTGTCTGCGGGGTTCCCTGCTGACAGCTGCATGTAATATAAACAATTGCCAGCAACAAAAAATAAGGAAAAAAAAAAAAAAAAAAAAAAAAAAAAAAAAAAAAAAGAAGAGTGCCCCCTCCTCCTCCTTCCCAAAATCCATACCAGACCCTTAGGTCTGGCATAGATTTTGAGGGGAACCCCACGCCAATTTAAAAAAAAAAAAAATGGCATTGGGTTGTTCCCCCAAAATCCATATCAGACTCTTATCTGAGTATGCAACCTGGCAGGTCTCAGCATGCCAATTAAAAAAAAAAAAAACACAATCCCCCCAAATCCATGCCAGACCCTTGGGTCAAAAAAAAAAAAATAGCGTTGGGTTGGCAGGGAGACAAGCAAGCAACTCTTGTCCTCACAACCCTGGCTAGTGGTTGTGTTGGACTGTGGGCTTATTGGAATCTGGAAGCCCCCCCCCCCCCCCGCCTCTTTCCTGGCCTGTCAGGCTGCATGCTTGGATAAGGGTCTGGTATGGATTTTGGGTGGGGTGGGGGGATGGAACTCAATGCTATTTTTTTTTCCTGCAAGATTCCCCTAAAATCCATACCAGACCCGAAAGGGCCTGGTATGTATTTGGGGAGGGGGACCCCCACACTGCTTTTTTTCTCAATTTGTTACTGCAATTGTTTTTTTTTTACATTCAGCTATCAGCAGGGAACCTTCTGTTGTTAAAGACGCAGCGGCCAGCTTCCCGGCCCACTCCTTAACAGCCAGGTATTCTCTAGTTGTTAGGGACGCCGGGCAGCCGCCTGCTTCTTAACAAAAGCACTATTGCTCCTAAACACTGAAAAAAACCCAAAAAAAACTAAATATTAGCATTTTTATCCAGTGTTATTTTCAGTGGTTTTTGAATGTCTAGTGCGCATGGAGACTCAATCTTCAGATCAAAGTTTGTCGAGACAGATGGTGCCAGAAAGGTCACTGATCAAATTTCAGCCGATTCAGAGGAAATTGACAAAATTTGATCAGTGCTTTAGCCAAGCAACAATAAAATTATACTGATAAAAATAACAAGGAATAAGAGAATATTCAGTGAATATAATACAGTGGGTATGATATATAACAATATACAGATTTAAATCAAGTAGAAAATAGAGAGGGAATCTTCAGGGCATATATTTTTACAATTCTTGTCCCTGCTTTGCATACTGTGGGAGAACCAGAATATCTAGGAGGCATTTTTTTTTAAATATTAGCTTATAATTCATTGTACATAAAGACAAAATTTCAGCCCAGCTTTATATTGGTAGTTTGGTATATATTAAAAGGTTTCACTCCTGTTCATGTAGTGCCTGTACTAAAAAAAGTTAGCAATCAGTTCCCATCATGAATAAATATTTGTCTGCGCCATGGATCTCAAAACACTACAATGTAGTTCCCATCATGTACTGTATATGAAGTCCTCCTGCATCAAAATAAATTGAAGGGATTTGGGAAGGGGGTAAAGCTACAACCACAGAGACCCATTCTGTCCCCTTGTTCTTCCAGTAAAAGATTTGCCCTAGGTCTTTACCAATCCTCTGATGGTAGTAAATGTTTTTGTGCTACTTTAAAGAACACTATTGGTTTAGCATGCATTTTTAGGGAGTACATGTATTATAGCTTGGTCTGTATTTTAGATTTCGGGTATTCACTTATCGTTATCAGTCTATTGCATTTTAAGCAGAAATTAACTCTCATAATCAGCATTAACTACTTTTAATCCTCATGCTTCTAGCATTTGTCAACAGATAGGTAGGTATACTATATCTACTTATTTTAACTTTTTTTTTTTTCTTTAAATTTATTCAGTTACTTCCTGGCTTCCAGCCTAGACCAAAATGAAGTCATAAATGCCTGGATTCTTCATGGGCATTTTTTTTTTATATCTAGAGGAGGGAAGGGGCTAAGCACACCCTCCTGCCTACATGCCTGAACTAAGGGCAGATGGACTCCAAGATTATTCATCTGAGCTTACCCAAGATGGTTGTAGCCAAAAATGCTAGGGTGGTGATTTCAAAGAGATTTCTCAACAAAATAAAGTATGAAGACATGGATGGATGGGTACGTTTGCTCTGAATATGAGACATGAATTGAATAGCGTTTTCAGTTTCTGGTGTTTAGAGTGTGTAGTTCTGTTTTATCATTTTTTTCCTATGATACAATTTTAGGATGTGTTTTTAACAGCTGCCCTGCTATTGTCTGGGATACAACATGCTCGTAGTTTGGGTTTTGAGCACATGGTGTTTGCTGTGGCTTTATAAGTACTTTAGGAATACTTTTTTGTATTTGTATAGTTTCTGATATAGTCACATGATATTTTTGCACAGGTCCAGCTTGTCCCTCAAAGGAGTCAGAGCTCTCCATTTAGCAGGGAGCATGAACTTTACCAATTGTGGAGCTATAGGGCTGACTCAGTGAGCAGATGTTGGACCTCTGCAATGAGATCACTATTTCCAGCCAGCAGCAAGGGTCCCACTCTGCAGCTGCTGACAGGGGACATGTTTTTGTAATTGGAATGCGGCTACTGTAGAAAGAAAATTAACGTAAAACACTGAATATCTTTTTTTGTGCACCTGGAATTTATTCAGCTAATTTAGGCTAAAGGTTCACTTGGGCTTTAAAGAAGAAGGAAAGTGTATCTACTAAGTAAGCTTTGAAAGTTGCCTGCACTCTGCCTGTAATAATGTTGTTTAAATGCAATGTTATTGTAATATTAAGCAGTGTATATTCCTTTTTTTTTTCTTTTTAAAGTCAACCACGGATCAAATTTTGGCCGAACGGACAAAATTTCATCAGTGCTTCGCCAGTTTTAGTCAAGAAGAATTTGCTGATAAAATTAACAACAAAAAGGTAAAAATGCTTTTTTTGGTTTCTCAGAGGTCCCTTGACCACACAGCTCGGGCAGCTGATGCAAGAGCAGACAATGGTGAGGAATTCCCAGAGCAGTGACAACACCCCACCAGTGCCCATGCTCTGGGCATTGTCAGAGTCACCTCCCACTAGCCCCCCAAGGACTTGGAGCAGTCATTGGACCGCTAAGAGGAAACAGTTAAAAAAAGCAAACAAAAAAAAAAGAAAGCACTTCACACTGCATATTTTTGCAAACAATGTGCAACATCTGTTAAGGCAGAGTGCAGGCAAAATTTAAAGCTTACTTAGTAGATAGCCTTTCCTTTTTCTTTAAAGGCATAGTTCACCATTAGCAAAAAAAATGTCTATGCATGTAAGGAGCATGTGTATCAAAAAATAAACTGTGCAGCTTTGACCAAAGCTGAATACTTACTATAGCTGTAGACCATTTACATACCTAATGAAGCCCAACTGATAGACTCTCAGACAAGACATAACCTTGTGCTGCCTTGTTGCTAGAAACTCACAGCTGCTATTGTTCACATCCACCACCACCACAGGAGCAAGCTCTCAAACGCTGAGCTCAGAGCTACTGCATCAGAGGAGAGAAAACACATGTGGGGGGGATTGAAGCAAAGAAAGTGCTTACTCCTGTGATGGTGGAGGTGAGTAGTAACAGTTGCGAGTTTCTTAGCAACATCATAGCAAATGGTAGGACAGAGGGATGCAATCTTTGGGAGTTTACCAGTCACGCTTCATGTAACTAAATGGCCTACACCTACTTTGACCAACGTTGGTTCAAGCTGAACAGTTTGGTTTTATCTACGTGCCCCTCCCCTGGCATATGCAGTTTTTTGATAAACTGGAAAAATATATGCACAATAATCCCACAATTTATATCAGTGCAGATCAGACACATTTAGAACACTTTTTATTAAATGTCTCTACAGTACATTTATTTATACAAGTAAAGCATTCATGGAAAAAGCAGACTCTAATTCACCACTGCATGGACTCATGTCCTTAAAGGAGAACTAAACTCTCTCAATCAACATCAAATATTTTGTATCCTTATACTGGTATCACCAGTAAATAGATAGGAAAGTATAATATATTTACTTGTCTAAAACTTTTTTTTTTCTTAGATATTTTCAGTTGCTTCCTGGTTTCTGGCATAGGCCAAAATGAAGCCAATTCTTCCAGGAGTCTTCATGGAATTTTTTTTTTTGCTTTCATCTGGAGAAGGGGTGGAGGGAATTTTTCAGATAAGCACACCCTCCTGTCTGCATGGATGTGCCAAGGGCAGATGGATTCCAGGAAGTACAGTAAATGCTACATTAATCATCTGCCCATTTTCAAGATGGCCACGACCGGAAATTCTAGGGGGGTATTATTTAAAGGGATTGTTCAACAAATAAAGCATGCAGACATGGATAGGCAAGTTTGCTTTTTAAATTAAAAATGATTTAAATAGTGTTTACAGTTTGTTGTGTTCAGACAGTTGAGTTCTGCTTTACATTGTACAGCAATGATTTTTTACAGAACATGTGAGAATTGGACAAGGACACATTCTGTATGATACTTACGACAATCCTTTTCATCATCACCATCACCGCAGTTGTCTTGGCCATTGCAGCGGAAAATTCCTGGTATGCAGCGATTAGTATTGGTGCACTTGAACTGGCTGGGCAAACACACATGGATATCTACAGGGGACAAAAAACAAAAATACATAATGACAAAAAGAAAATGTATGTATCCAGATTAGGTGTAACAAAATGAGTGACTGTAAGAATTGCAGGAAAGAGAAATGTAGTAGTTTAATCCCACAGCAATCAACACTATTAGAGGCTATTTTATTTTTTTTTGTAGCATGTCAGTAAATAAAGAATTTGTTGCTAAATCGGCTCCAATTATGCATAGAATCGACATGCTTAACACACAAAAATGCAACATTATTTTGCCAGTACGCGTAATTTGTGTAAAACTTCACATGCTGCAGCTGTGCTAACAGTCTCACCGCAGTTGGCTTCATCTGAGTTGTCCTGGCAGTCATTGTCTCCATCACAGATGAAGGCGGGATTGGTACAGATTCCAGTGGAGCACTGGAACTGCCCTGGGCGACATTTGAATTCCGCTGAAGAAAAACATAAAACACTTTAGAAACATAGCAAAAGATGTACATATTCCACTCTGTGGTAAAGCAGACCCCTGCTGAAGAGTCCTCTATCTTTCAACTCTCAAAGAAAGCTACTAACACAGCCATATCTCCCTAACAGCAATATGTTTAGTAATAACTAAAGGTGCTCTTTAAGGAATAACTCCTAAAAGGCAGATCTGTAGAGATGCTAATTGGTGAAATTTGATTAAAGATCCAGTTTTGATCAGTTTGTAAGTAGGTGAAGTCTGCTGTCCACTTTCCACTCTCTCCACTGTAGGTGGCACTCGACCAGAGCAGTATGACATGGAGAGGAAGTCATGAGATACCTGGTTTCTCCATGGTTTACTGGTCCCCTGAGGCAGTGTTACAGTGGACTACGCTGCATTCAGGTGAATGTTGGTGGCTATCTGGGGTCAGCAGAGTCTTTTTAAGTCCCTGCCCTCAGGTTTTGGCATGCATTTTGCAAAGTGGATAGGAGAGGGGAAAAGCATCCGTCTGTAAGGAAATCTGATAGTGGTAGGGAGAGGTTCCTAATGAGGAGGGACAGGCTAGGTATATGCCATTCTACTCCTGAGGCCTCCCCATTGGGACTGGGCTGGCCAGGCCGCACTCCATCCTCTGAGACAGAAGCTGTTGCTGCATCTGAACCTGCTGTGTACTCAATTCACACTGAATTGTGAGTGTTTCCTGTGATGGGGCTCTCCTGCTGGGTTGTCTGTTGAGTTGACTCTTTCCTCTAATACAAGTTCTTGTTCCTTCAACCAACTATGTGTAATTACTTCGTTGCATCACGCTGCACCGACCCACAAGTTATATAGTTTTTTTATGCGTCAACAAGCGGAAAATGAGCATCAGTTATATAAAGCAATAGAGTTTAATGAAGAAAAAAAAAAAAAAAAAATTACAAGGCAGAAAAAAAATGTAATTATACATACGACAGTCAGCAGGCTCATCTGATCGGTCTCCACAGTCATCCTCAGTGTCACACTTCCACCAGAATGGAATGCATTTATCATTTTTACATACAAACTGAAAAAGCAAAAGACATTGTTATTACCTCCCCTATATTAAGGGGATAGGAAGTGAAAGGTTGCGGTTCTGTAGCCCCGCAGGGAAAACACACTACTTGGGGTGATTTCAGTGCAGAAGAGGCACAGTTAATAGCTCAAAAGCAGCTCACTGAATTTCTGTCAGATCAGGTATTTTTCTGCACTTTCAGCATTTATTAAGGGATAACACATAGGGAAATGTGCATGTATTGCAGAAATGTACTAAATGTGTTTTATATGTACTTAGATAACCACTCATAAAATACCAAAAGGTCTGCTTTGGTCAATGGTAACAGTACACTAAAATAGAGCAAGAATCCTGAAACTTATCAACATTGAAGATATTTATGGTCAAGTCTTCCTGCCTGCTTCCCCACAACGAAGACATTCTTCCTGTACAGGAATGCTACCAACTGCCACAGGTTAAACTTCCAAAGGTTAACCTGTAACACCTGTTTTCCTAAAACAGACTGGGCAGAAATCTGAAATACAAGATCATCTATCACTATCCCTATGTAGATATGGTAAGGTATACCTGTGAATGGTATTCATTGTTATTTAAGGCTTTCTGCAATAAAGAAATGAGGCAAACTAGCAGCTTTAGCAGACAAGTGACACCATACCAGGCAGTTTGTGCCTACTGCTTTATGGTATGTCTGTCCAGCTACAGCCAGTGCACTATTTGTATGCCAATTCATCATTCTTTGAACTGTCACCCTGTTCTAAGCTCTGGCCCGCTTATAGGTGGCTAGAAACCTATGCACCTAAATGTGGGTTACAGGAAGAGGTAGTGCCTATTCTGCTATTTGCCAAAGTAAATGCTATTCAGGAAAGTTCTGGAAAAAAAAAAAAAAAAAAAAAGTATAAGCCAAGTTGCTAGCTTTCTTATTATTTCTCATAGGTTCATGGTAAGCTACAAATGCATCATGTAATCATAGATTGTAGAGGGTGGCTAAGTATAAGCTATTTGGCAGGCTGGTTTATCCACAGATGGTTCTTGTTCTACAAAGCTAACAATCAGGCTGAGACTAGTTCCTCAGTTCTTCTCCTAGATGCAGGAAACAAGACCTTCTAGCAACTACAAAAGTGGATCTCTCTATAAGTGTGCAGAAGGTAAGCTAGCAAGCCTTCCCCTAAACCCGCTTAGTTACCCACTTGGCACTGCCAAAGTCTTTATCAGGTGCATACAGTATTATAAAAAGACTGTATAAGTGTAACTGAAATGCAGTAAAATTAGGCAGCTTAAAGTGGTTGTAAAGGCTGAAGGATTTTTACCCTATGCATGAAGGTAAAAAAGCTTTTGTGTGCTGCTTCCCCCACAGCTCCCCCCTAATACCCACCTGAGCCCCTTCTTGATCCAGCGATGTGCACGAGAGCCTTGACTGTCCTGGATCTCTCTCTCATTTGCTGAGAAACAGCAGCGAGAGCCATTGACCAATGCGGAGAGAGCGGTGGGCAGGGACGCACCGCAGCTCTATGTGTCTCATGGATGCATAGAATGGGGGCTCAGGAGCGAGCACAAAACAGTGCCCCAATGGCAAGCAGCTGGCTAACTGGGGGCACTGGTTAAGGGAGAAGAGGCAGGAGCACCAGTTTGGGACCCAAGAATAAGTGGATTGGGGGCTGCTCTGTGCAAAACCACTGCACATAGTAGGTACGTATGACATGGATGTGATGGGTATATCTTGACTCCTAGTACCTAATTGGAGTGGCAGGGGAGTAAATGAAAGTTGAGTATATGCTGTTGTGGAGGGGTATTAATGCAAACCTGTTAGCCCTGGATAAGCAAAGCACAGGTTTGCTTTAAGCAAATACCTATTAAAGCTGGGAACACATTGACTTTTTTTTTCATTCAACTAGCAGGTTAAAAAACAGAAAATATTCACAGATCCCTGCATCCATACAAGCGATGTGGATACAGGGAGCTCCCCCACTGCACTATTGTATGCTGACTGCAGGGCCACCCCATCCTCCTTGTCAGAATACACTGAACAGAGCTGCAGCAGCTTATCGAATGCTGGTGGTCCAGCAGAACCGTTCGATAGAAGCTGAATGACTTCTGTTAAATATACAGGGCTACACACAGATCAAAACTGTGCCGGTTCCTGCTGAACTGGCCACATTTCGATACATGTGTACCCAACTTAAGTGATCAGCAGATAAGGCTTCTAATAACCCTCAATATTTATGATAAAAACCCTTTAACCCAAAGCATAACCACTCCCAAATATACTTACTTGACTGGCAGTACAGTTGGAGACACAAGTCTTCCCATCAGCCCCAAGGTAGAAGTTAGTTGGGCAAGCACATTTGTATACACCGCCAGGTGACAGAAGGCACAGATTACTGCATCCACCATTGTTGGATTTACAGGGATGATTGGGAACTAAAACAGGAAGAAAGACTCACTAACAGAAGACATTCTTATCAAAACAGACTGGTGGGATCATTACTAACATAATTAAATGTGCTGTTGTTGAGGCCTCTTGAATGAACTCTAACATGAGACCCATACAAAAACTCCCCAGGTTAGAAAAGTTTTGGTAAGTTACAGCTTTTCTTCAGCCCTTAGATTTACACATCAGCTTGTAATTAGTACACCGCAATAAAATAGTTTTTCTTGAGTATATATTCTTTCAAAGATTGAATTATATAAACAAACGACATTTGGTTCATGAAAGGACAGATCTGTTCATCCCAAAAGGAAGGCCACAACTGCAAAGTTAACCACCCTCAAGAGGATGGGCTACAGTAGCAGCAGACCATGGTGCATTCCATTCAGACAATAGGGTCAGAGATGGACCTACATGGAATTCTCCTACAGATCCACTTCCATTCTTATCAACTGTTTAGGCTGGTAGTGGTGAAATGGTGTGTGACAGTGTTCTTGTTATACAGGGGGCCGCAGCTAAGAGTCATTTAAAATATTACAGCATATGTAGTTACTGACCAGGAGCATCCTTTTATGTGTATTGCATACTATACATAACAAGGTGGGCAGTGAGCATCAACTCATGGGGCCCCCGGGCAATAGGGGATCATGGGGCCCCTGTGTTCTTGCCCAAACTCAAAAAAAGCCTATGAAAATGGTACCAGGGGCATCTCATGGGGCCCCCTACTGACCCCGGGCCCTCGGACAGTGCCCGAGTTTCCAAATGGTCAGTCCGCCACTGGCAGTAAGCATACATTCTTATGAATGCTATGTCAACTCCACATATATAAAGCGGGTATGAGGCATAAGCATCCTAGTATACACACCATCAGGCTGTCGGTAGAGATGGTAGATGTGTATGTCCATAGGTCGATGTAAAGTGCTGATCAACATGGTCTTGTTTACTCCAGTGGTCTTGTGTGCTCGGTTAATTGACTTGGTTTCCCAGTCTGTCCAATATATGTAATCTTCAAAAAGTGTCAGTGCAAAGATGTGTGGGATATCTTGGCTGAGCACTGTGAGGAAGAAAAAATGAACTTTATAAAAAACAAAGAGATAAACAATTACAGGTTTAATTTTGTGTTGATTTGTACAGATTCTTTAATTCTGTACTAGGCTGTACGGATTTGCGATTTTTTTTTTTTTTTTTTAGATGTGCCACCAATTTTTTTTTTTTTTTACACAAAGTTTATATTCACTGCCACAGAAGGTTGTGAGGAGGGCAGTGGTAAAAGTGAAATTACATGTGGATTGGAGGTCTTCCTTACTTATAATGGCATTTTAATGACATTTGTTTTTTCTCGATGAAATGATCAATTAAAATATGCTTCACTGCGATTTTTAATTTTGACAGGCTAGGAATGTTTCTACCTTATTTTGCTACTAAGATTGTAAATATATATCCTGAGACAATATTATTTATTGATCTGTTTCGTAACAAGTGTCAGATTTCAATGCAAATCTTACCTGTGTGCCGGTGGCTACCATCAAGGTTGGCAAACTGTATGTAATCTTCTCTTGCATCAGCCCAGTATATTCTGCTGTTGACATAGTCCAGTGTCAGGCCATTGGGCCAGGTTATCCTGCTTTCAACAATGACACTCCGATTGGTGCCATCCATACCAATCTTACCAATCAAAGAGTTGTCCCCCCAGTCTGTCCAATAGAGGTAGCTGGGAATACAAAGAAAGGCAGATACTGTATTGGCATATGCTGACCTCATAACATGATCTCATTAAAAAAATAAATAATATTAATTATAGGAGATCCTTACCCATGTTTTACATCCACCACCAGTGCACGTGGCTCTCTCAGACCAGAGTTCACCAACACTGTACGATATGCCCCATTTAGCTTTGAAACCTCAATAGTGTCCCTTCCTTTGTCACACCAGTACAGGTTACCTCCAACCCAGTCCACTGCCAGTCCATCAGGATTGCTGAGCCCAGTACGATGCAGAACCTGCAGTGAAGAGTTAATCTTTCTTATCAATCCTTAAAACTATGAGGCAAAAGATGAGTTCATAACCTATGCCATCAAAATAATTTAGATTTTTGACACACATTAAAAAACAAGTGTCTATAAATATAAACTAGCAATATATTTTGAAGTATAATACACCAATTGTTATTGGGATTTTTAACCTAGAGTTATCAACACATTTTGTCAAAATAAGTTACCATGCTCACAGCTGACTTGCCCCTCATTCTTCATAATAACAACTGTTAGCAATTAGCAAATACCTGGACATTGCTGCCATTGATATGCATGCGGCGGATCATGCTTCCTTGGGTTGTGACATCAGTCCAGTATATCATCTCTTCTCGATAATCAAAATCTAATGCAACAGCATTATTCAAACCCTACAATCAGATCAGACAGTATAATCAATGTACACACTTAAGAGCAATCAGTACAGCACTTTAATAGCACAAAGAACAAATCTGAGTGAAATACAATATGTTTACCAGAAGGAGTGAGTTACCATAGGATAAAACATTTGATAACAAAAGGATAATGGAAGCACCAAATTTGAAGATTAACATTAGAAAAGGGTAATGGAGGCTCTAAATCTTTATATTTACAGTCTTGCAATGCAGAGTGGTGGAAACACTAGATGGGTAGCTATACGCTATACAATAAAGCTGCAAAAAATAATGTTGAGTAATAAATACAAGCCTGTAGGGTTACAGGATAACAGAAAATGGTAATAGAGTAAATAGATCAGTTACTCAAGGAAGTAGTGAGAAAAGTAATGGAGACATTAACTCTCTAGGCTTACAGGGTACCTAAAAGGGCATAGGAACAATGTCTTATGTTCAAGTGTAAGAAGACCAGTAATGAAGACTATGCTGACTTATGGAGCATCAGTGAAAGGTAATGAAGACACTAGCCCTGTAAGTTTATAGAGTGGCACAGAAGAACAGTAAAGATACAAATGATCATTTGTAAAGAAAATTGGATTTGCTGAAACAACACCCTATTATCAGTGCACATTTCTAAAGAGTGGGCGGTAGAGAGGGCAGTATTTATAACTGTGCTGTCTTCTAACAATCTGTGATATGTGTTTTTCGTGCCTTCCTTCACTGAAAACAGCAACAACAAAATTTCACCACCGTCTTAGCAGGCCTGACCACCTCTGTCTACAACAACTTACTCTCATCCTCCTTAGACACACTTGCTCCCCTCAATTTTTGTAGACCCAGGCCTCATCCACTACAACCCTGGCAAACAGATGACACTTGAAGTCTCAAGAGCCACAGCAATGCACTTGAGCAACTGTGGTGTAAAATTAAATCCCTTCACCCTAAGTAGAGCTGCTCTTCTGTCCCCTCACACCTACTACTCTGCTCCATTCTACACTTTCTAACTCACATCTTCTCAGTAACTTCACATCACTCTCAGTACTACTTAGACCTGAAGAAGGGGACATTCCCCGAAAGCTTTTCCTCAAAAGTGTATGTTAGTGCAAATAAAAAAAGTATCACGGACAGTACTCAATTGTTCCTGTCGCAAATGCACTAATACGGCTACAATCACCTTAACTCACATCTTCAATCTCTCCCTCCCTTCTTAAACATGCACTGATCACCCCCCATACTTAAAAAAAAACCCCACCAGTTAGAACAACATGGGACCCATCTCTCTTGCTACCTCACTGATAACCTTCTTGACCCCCTACAGTCTGGTCCCCTCCCACAACATTCCACTGATACTGCCAGACTCAAACTCATTAATGACTTACTAAATCCTAAATCCAATGGCCACTATTCCATAATCATACTCAGACCTTTTGGCTGCAACTGATACAGTTGACGACCAGTTCCTCCTCAGTACACTCCACTTCCTTGCCCTCCGCGAATCTGTTTGTTCCTGGTCCTCTTCCTATCCTTCCTCATCACACCTTTAGTGTCACCAACAACTTTATCTCTTCTTTCTTCTATTGGGGTACACTAAGGCTCTGTCCTTGGGCCCCTTCTATTTTCTCTCTATACCTCTTCCTTGGGTCAGTTGGTAACCTCCTACAGCTTCCAATACCACCTCTACCCGACAACACCCATATTTATCTCTTTATTCCTCAGTTCACCCCCTTGATCTCCTCACATATCACTAGTTTACTGAGTGACACCACTTCCTCTAACTCAATCTGTCTAAAACTGAGGTTGAAATTTTTCTTCCTTCCCAATCACCCCCTGTTGACTTTACCATTGAGATCAACAGCACAACTGTCAGCCCCTCCAGGTATGCCAGAGTGCTAGGTGCAATCCTAGACTCTGACCTCTCCTTTGGGCCCACATCAAATCACTGGCTAAATCTTGCCATCTTAAACTCCATACCATTTCCAAAACGTGCCCCTTCCTAACTAATGACACAACTAAACAACTCATTCACTCCCTGGTTAATTCCCACCTCAACTACTGCAACTCTCTTCTCACTGGCCTACCTCCATACAGGCCACGCCCCTTTCAGTCTGTCACGAATGCTGCTTCTAAACTTATCCACCTTACTATCTGATCAGTAGTTGCTACCTTTCTCTGTCAACCTACTCCGCTAGTGTCCACTAACCTAACATGTAAAATTCATCCTCAACCTCATCTCGATATTTCACCTACATTGTCAACTTCTCTCCTCAAAGTACTCCTCTCTAGCTTCCTTATCACCTCCTCCCATGCTCACTTCCAGGACATCTCCAGAACACCCCCCCCCATCCTCTGGAACTCCCTACCCTAATATGTATATCTACTACTCTGTCTGCTGTTAGGCCATTCCTGAAAACTAATCCTTCTGTATTGAACTGCATTGTAATTGTACAGTACAGTACTGTCTCTCTTTATATTGTAAAGTGCTGCACAAACTGTTGGCGATATATATATCCTTAAAGCTTCACCCAAAAGGGGAAGTTCCACTTAAAGGCCTCGTCCTCCACTCCCCGTTAAGGATTGGCACCTTTGGGGAGTGGGGGGAGCAGGTACAAGATTTTGACGGGTATCCCCTCCCACCTCTACTGTGATCGCCTAGGTGATCAAAAGCGGAAGTTGTCCTCCGTACTTCACCATATTCTTCTGGGACACGTGACTGGTCCCAGGAGACTATGGGACCATTCACAAGGTGCAGCACTGCTCGCGCATGTGCAGTGGGCACCCGTCTGTAAAGCCACAAGCTATCGCAGCCGGGTGCCCACACTTAAGATGCCGGTGAGAGAGGATGCCCAGTGAAATCGATTTCGATAAGGACACCACTGGATCGAGGGACAGGTGAGTGTCTATTTTTTGTTTTTTTTTTAGTCAGTAGCTGCAGTTTTTGTAGCTGCTGATTGTTATTCTTTTTCCATTTTGACTGGAGCACCGCTTTAAGTCTAGGTTCACACCTATGCTTTTTCTGTTTTGCAGAAACGCACAGCAGTCAAGTTAACATGATTTCCTATGGGACAGGTTCACATCTCCACATTTTTTGGAAAGGGCCAGGGACTTTTTTAACCACTTCCCGACCGGCCGTTGTATATAAACGGCCGGACGGTGGCACTGCAGGGTCGGGTGGCCGTCTATAAACGGCCTCCCCGCACCCTGCTTGTGCGCGCTCCCTGGGAGCGCGCAGCACCGCGATCCGGTGCCCGCTGTGTCCTCCGGACACAGTGAAACACCGATCGTCGGACGGGACCTCTGTACGAGGTCCCGATCATGTGATCACTGATTGGCCTATCAGTGATCACATGCAAAGTAGTAAGCAAGATGTCACTTCTGACATCATTGCTTACTATGTGTGAAATCTGTGAATGATCACAGAGGTCACATGGTACAAGGCTATTCACAAAAGCCTTGTACCATGTGACAAGCTGTGACCAATCACAGCTCACTCAGTTCTTCTCAATGAGTGCAAGAATGCACACAGAGAGAAAGAGAAATGATTGCTTTTATATCCTATATGGGTGTAAAAGCAATCAGTGTAAAAAATAAAAAAAAAAATCTTCATCACCCCTCACAAGTAGTACAGTGTCACCATGGTGACACTGTACTGCTAGGGTGACAGTATGTAAAAAAAAAAAAAATAATAATAATAATATAAAAAAAATAAAATAAAAATGTAAAAAAAATGTTTAAAAATTATAATTTTTGCTTATAAACTAATTTGGATTTTTTTTTTTTTTACTAAAAAGATAACGGAATAAATTTTGGCTAAGATTTATGATGAAATATTATTTATTTGCAAAATTTTATAAAAAAAACACTTTTTTTCAAAATTTTTGGACATTTCATTTACATAGCAAAAAAAATACAAATCCCAGTGGTGAATAAATACCACCAAAATAAAGCTTTATCTATCTCAAAAAAATGGTAAAAAATTCATTTGGGTACAGTGTTGCATGACCGCGCAATTGTCATTCAAAGTGTGATAGCGCTAAAAGCTGAAAATTGCCCTGGTCAGGAAGGGGGTAAAAGTGTCCGGTCTGGAAGTGGTTAATCATGAAACATTGCGTTTTTGGTTGTATAGACATCAATGGAGATGCTGCAGAAAAGCATGTAGTGCATTTTTGATGCATTTTAATCTGCCCAGCAACAAGTAGGACAAAAACACAAAATGCATCAAAAGTACAGCAGAAACGGATGAAACGCAAACTACATAGGTGTGAACCTAGCCTTAGGAAGGGTGCTTCAAAGCACATGTCAATATACTGCTCAGAGATACAATATTATGTTTACGGTGTGGCATCCCTTTGTTTTCTTGGAAAAACCAAGAAGAGGTACACTGGTACAGAGAAACTTGCCTGAATTCATTTGTATATCACCTCTACTGGATCTGAAAATTTATGATGCAGCAAACAATTAAAATTCTGCCATTCTGCTCTCTCTGCCACATAAGGTAAATAAATAGTCCCAAGAATATGGAAAAACGGAATATCTGTTAGCACAGTGACCCATCAGAACAGTCAATGTGTCCATCATACTTAAAGTCAACATTTACAAAGGCCATTCTTCAACACTCCTTGGCATTCAGAAAAGCCTTCCACCAGCAGTACACCAACATTGAAGCTTGAAGCACTGGAAGGAATCTGTGTCCTGCATGAATATAGTTATCCTTGATCCATTTTTTTTACCAGTAAAGTAGTGCTCATTATCCCTAGTGCTTGATCCAATAACGCTACTGTTAGAGGATCATTGCTGCAAAGTTCAGGTACCTACAGTTTAATATATATGAAAGAATTGAAGCTGCACACCATCGATCCCTTGCATACAAAACTCTTTTCTGTCAGCAGTAACAGAGACACTCCACCAATATATCTTAAAGTGTTTCACCTGTTGCTGGGCTCAGAGGGAGGACGTGAGTAAAGTGTCTTTTTTGTAAGCAAGTGATCAGTGGTGTGCAGGTTTACTTTCATCTATATATTGAATTGTAGGTTATTATTTTCATGTGTAAATAGTGTAGCAAAGTGATGAAATCCAGAGGTTGTTGGCACTCATGACTAAAGGAAGAGAAAGGACCTAAGGGTAGTGTTTTGGATATGTGCGTGTACAGTCCAAAAGTCATTAGAGTACATGTTTATCAGACAATATGTAATTAGTCATACTTCATAATCTGTTTTTTTTTTTTTTTTTGCCTCAAGATGTCTCTTCCTTGCTCTCACCTGCTTTAGTAGTGTGTAATTTGTGCCTCCCAAACTCAGTTTTCGCAAGTAGTAACGGTTGGCAAAAATGAGGAACGGTTCTTCAACTAAAGGAAATAAGAAGAAAGAAAGCCAATTAAATATGTGCAAAAAAGGCAGGAAATATATTTTGGCCATATACAGAAACAATTGCTTTCAAACTAGATCTTTGTGTTTCTACTGTTGAGGAACAAGTTCTGAATTTCTGGAGGTCCTATTAACTGAACACTGATAAGCAAAGTGAACCAGAAGCATCTAATTACTTCCTATGGTGCTATTTTGCTACTAACAAGAAATTGAGCCCAAGATGCAGAGTGAGGCTGCTGCTTTATTTTGACACAGAGTTGGGAGAATATTCCTGCGGACAGAGAGGGGCAGATGATTACGTACATGGAGAACAAAATGCACTGCAGAGAGAGTTATACGAGTAAAAATAGAGGCTAAATAGTGGAAAATAACTTGAAAATGTGTCATGAAGAAGAAGAGGACAATGTGGCCAAGCAGCACATGTACTAGCTCGCACTGGCTAACCTGAGACTATCCATACTTCAACATGTGACCTGTACCAGCACTGGGACCCCAACAATTTCAACTGCCTGAGATTATTATCACCTTCCTGGAATGCAGAAATAGTATGCAGAAATGGCACACAATGCTTGAATTTGGGAACCTTGCATGCTTTTATCAAGCATTCTGTTGCCATAATGAAAATGTTACCCTGTATTTTTTAAACCTGCTCTCATAACATCTAGTGACCGAATAAGCAATTGAAAACATATTGTTCCTCTCCTATATACAGGACTTGGTATGAATAAGAACAAAAATATAAGAATAAAGATTTATTCTAATGACTGGCTCACCTCCGTCAGAACCAACTACCTTGCAGCTGGTAGAGTCATCAGGTCTCATTTCATAACCCTCCACGCAGAGACAGCGATAGCTACCAATTGTGTTGATACACTTCTGGCTGCAGGGGTAAGTGGTTGTGCATTCATCAATGTCCACACAAGTTTTACCATCATCCTTTAGCCAGAATCCAGGACGGCATCTGCACTGCACGGGTTACAGGAAACATCAACAGAATTAAGAAAATCACAATTGGTTAAATTGTACATAAAACAGTAAATTGCATCATAAAAACACATAATTGGATGTCTACCTTGTAACCCATTTTAAGATCTTCACACTCCTGGCTGCAGCCACTCATCCTCTTATTTAGACACTCATTGACAAAACAGTTCCGTTCATCTGAGCCATCACCACAGTCATTGTTAATGTCACACAGTAGATGTTCTGGGATACATTTGCCATTCTTACACTGGTAAAACGTCTCATTACATTTGCCCTCTGTAATGATAAAAATCAACCATAAAACAGAATCTCAAATTATGTAACTTCAGCACTTAAGGAACTGCATCTGTGTTAAAGCGGAACAATCAACACTGACTATTTTTAATCCTTATATAAAAAAGATAATACTTTATTGTGACTGTATACATACAACAAAATATATCTAGGTACTCTTTACATTTTACAACAGTAATATAAAATGCTGCTAGCATTAGTAAATAGATAGGAAAGTATATCATATTTACTTGTTTTAACCGGTTTTTACATTTCTTCAGTTACTTCCTGGTTCCCGGGCCTAGGCAAATGATGCCATACATCTCAGTTTTTTTTTTTCAGCTAAGCACACCCTCCTGCCTGCATGCCTGAGCTAAGGTCAGATGTATTCCAGGTCATGCTTCATAAATCATCTGCCCTTACTTAAGACAACCACGGCCAAAAATGCCAGGGGCTGTTTTTAAAAGTGATTTCTCAGCAAAATAAAGCATGGAAACATTGATGGATGAATAAGTTAGCTATGAATATTGAAACATCATATAATTATTAAATTATATAGCCTTTTTGGTTTGTGATGCTCAGATGAAGTAGTCTGCTTTAAGCGCCTCTTCCAAGATAAATGTAAGAATAAAATTAAAACAAACCTGCTGGAACATTTTAAACTGTTTTAATGTCCAGCCTAGTTTCACTTTGTAACTGAGGGTTCGACTTTGTGACTAGGCCCTGTGCAGCCAGAATTCTTCTGCCCAATGTGACTGCCAGATCTGTAAAACAGAAGGGCGCTAGCAGGGCTCAGCTGGAATTTAGGCAGTGCAAGCTGTACTAACAAACAGAGCTAACAGATGAGGAAAAAGAAATGTTCAGCTTTAGGTCATGGCCTTAGTAATCAAGAGAGACTGGTTTAAAAGGATAAGTTCACCTTTCTGAACAGGTTATATGTTACACCAGTATTTAGCGTGTAAAAAGAAATTTAGTGTACTAAAGATTATGCGGCTGCAATAATTTGTGTCTTTTACATCTGCCTATAGTTCAGTTTTAAACATTTAACAAGGCTGAAAGATTTGCTTTAAAATCAAGAAATGGATTGTGTAAATTATTTTTTTAAATTGTAAGAGCTATACATGTATGAAAGGGAATATATCACAAGTAATAACAATATTAAATGGAAATATAAGACATAAACCACAATGGAACACATCCATTCTGTCAGTGGTGTATTATGCCCAGTATTAAGAGAAGGACTAAGCATGTTTATGAAAATAACCACTACGTACATGATTTACCATTTAAATCCTTAACATAACCTTCATGCCTGGCAGTAATCAGTGTAAAAGAAAAGAATCATCACCTGCAAATTGCAAGATCTTTTAAGGTCACAAGACTTCTGTGAGTGCCAAAATTATTTTGACTGGACATAGGTTATTCTGGAGGACTTGCTCATAGTCATCTATGAATGTGTCAATACCCAATACCCTACAGAACATGACGTAGGCACAGATGATATATTTATGCCAATACCGTGAAGGTAGCAGATGTATGTATCCTGAAAGGATTCTGCTCTGAATGGTGATCAGTCGCAGAAACAAAAGTATTTCTTACGCTTTGCAAACAGCAGTACAATGGCTGTATGACGTATAGCGGTGTTCCAGTGAAAATAAAAAAATAAGTTAGCAGCTACAAAAACTGTAGCTGCTGACTTTTAAAAAACGGACACTTACCTGTCCCTCGATCCCCCGCAACCTGTTTCACTGGCCGTCCGGTGATACCGGCGCCGGCATCTTCAGTGTGGGCACCTGGCTGTGACAGCTTGCAGCTTCACAGCCGGGTGCTCACTGCGTATGGGCGAGTAGTGCTGCACTTTGTGAATGGTCCGGTAGTCTTCTGGGGCCTCGGCGATTGCAGCACATATGGGAGTGGATACCTGTCAATTTTGGGTACCAGCTCCCCAAAGGTGTCAATCCTTAACGGGGAGCAGGAGACCAGTCCTTAAAGTGGAACTTCCCCTTTTTGGTGGAGGTCTGCTTTAAGCTGGGAAACGCTGCATATTGTATTATGCATACTGCATAATACCTGAATATTGGTTCTGTGTAATTTGTTTTACCTGTGCTGGTACAACGTGGATTTTTGGGAGCTTCATCTGATTTATCGTGACAATCAAACTCTCCATCACATTCCCATTGCTTGTTATGTAAACAGCGACCATTAGCACAACGGAATTCCTCAGGGCCACATGTGGGATATTCTGCACATAATATTAAAAATACAAAACCGAAGCATTAATAAAGAGACAGCACCTGAATAGCTTGAACTGATTCAATAAATGTGCATGTATCACAATGGCCTCGATACACTAGAATGTTCCTATGTGAGACTGTTTCTGGCTTGAAAACAAGCTGCCATTAAATGGATGCAAACTTCTCCCCCCTCTGTCTTGCAATGGCTCCATGCTGGTAATCAAATACTACCATATATGAAGGTTTTATAAGAAAACAGAGGGTGTCCATGAAGATATAACAAAGTGTGGGATGTCTGGTGCTCCTTTAATCTTACCATTACCTCTGAATAATAAATGTCTGGTTCTATGATAGTTTGTGCGTGGATGGATACCTTTATGTACCATTATGTGCTGGTCATTATGTACATTATGTACCTTCCTAATGTACAGATTGAGACAAAGACTTGTTTTGTTTTTGGTTCACTGTTTTACTGCTTTTTTTTTTTTTTTTTTTTTTCAAGTGCTGGTACACATTCCAGTTTGTAAGCTTTTTGTATGGTGACATACATTTCTGTAATTTGCTTACTCTTGCAATAAAAAGTGTTAAAAAATATCAGTAGCAATATCTCAAACATGGTCCCATACATGGTATACACAACAGTTAAAAATAACTCACCGCATTCAGGAGACTCATCAGAACCATCACTGCAGTCCGTATCGTGATCGCACACAAACTGTTTCGGGATACACTGCCGATTCTGACACATGAATTCCTTGGAGTCACAGGTGTTGTTGAAAACTAAATAAAGAATATGAATGTTTGTCAGCAAAAATACTAAATAGCATCAGATAGGCTAATCAGATATTAAGGTCATTTTTAATTCTAATAAAAATCACATTTTGATAAGGTAATGAATAAAGGACAATTTGATTTTTTTATATCTTGACATCTTATATATTTTGTTCTCCCTGGTTCCTACTTTTCCCCCATTAACATGCTAGGGAAATTTTTTTTTAAAAAAACCTGTTTTAATTGCATATACTATTTTAGACTCTGTGACGTCTCTGTGCTTTTCTATGCGATGCAGGTAATGCATCATGGCTGATGGGAAAGGCCGGCAGGGTGGTACACATAGATTTCTAAAAACAGGAAGCTGAAATAATTGATATCCATTAAATGAAAAGAATTGGCAAGAGACAGTAAGACTGGGAAGGAAGGGGCTAGATGATGTGGGACATTTTCCAGCCAGGAAATGAGGCAGGTTCTGTCTTGCCTCAGCTTCTAATGCACACTGTGGAATCTTACTGTGTACAGTGAAATCAGAGAAAGCAATTTCAGTACAGGAGAGGAGTCTGTACAACTGTGCAAGTTAGAAAGTTAATGCTGGAGTTCAGCTTTAAGACAGATTAAAAAGTAGCAGCCCTGCAAAATCGTGCATAAATCTCCTATATTAAAGGGAGACATATAAGAAAAGCTAATTTGGCTCTACTTCTCCTGTGGATCACAGGAGTACAGTTCATTTTGCACTTCTGTGACCCATCAGTCAGCTGGTTTAGGCTCAGGAAAGCTCCAGCAGCTGGTTCAGCCTCTCAGTGAGACTCAGAGCCTAAACCAGCTGCTCAGACATTACTGCCATTTAAAGTAATTTAAGCAAAGTGTCACTTACTACAACCAGCCTGGACACTTTCATCTGATCCATCTTGACAATCCTTATCTCCATCACAAAGCCAGCGTCGAGGGACACACACATTAGTACCAGGGCACTGGTAGGATTCAGGGCTACAAGTGGCAGATTCTAGAACACAAAATAAAGTGTTTCTATCAGATTCACAAATGTTTCTTACTAGAGTGGAAGCAAACTGAAAGTGGGTAACTTACGACAGCGGGCATCCTCATCTGATTTGTCCCCACAGTCATCTGAGCCATCACACACCCAGTGTTTAGAAATACAATGATGATTGTTGCATTCAAAGTGCATAGATGTACAGAACTTGTCTGGGAAGAGAAAGAAAAAATGGAAGGATTTTTTTGCATTCTTACCCGATTTCTACTGCTCTTCCCTCCATGGAGATGGCATCCTCTAGCACAAAGGTCTCCAGACTTTTTAAGAAAAAGGGCCAGTTTACTGTCTTTCAGGCATTAAGGGGGAAGACTCTGATTTAAATATTCCCCAATAATTGGTTTTAATTGGAAGAACAGTGCCCCATTTATAGTGTCAGCGGAAGCAATAGTGAACCATCAATGGTGTCAGGTGGATTAGCTGTGCCTCATCATTGGCATCAGTGGGAGGAGTAGTGCTTCATTGTTGGTGTCATTGGGAGGAATAGCATCCCATCATTGGTTTCAGTGGGAAGAACAGTGCCCCATCATTGGTGTCAGTGGAAGGAATAGTGCGCCATCACTGGTGTCAGCGGAAGGAATAATGAGCCATCATTGGACAGTGGGAGGAATTCCTTCAGAGCACATGCGATGGCTTAAAAAAAGAGAGAATATCTCCTAAACAGTGCCGGTTTAGGAGATATTAATTTTGACTACAGGTAGGCTTTATTATGCGCATACCTGTAGGTAAAATAATAAAAAAAAAAAAAAAAAAAAAACAAGTTTACTACCACTTTAAAATGACATATTTAGACTTGGAATTTAGAAAGCTTCTATTATTCCTTCAAATGTATACCTAGAATCTATTGTGTAATTTAAATCTAAGATTTCCCAGCCTTCAGTTCATGGTCTTCTTCTTTCTAGGAGGAGCCTCTGCACGCCTTGACGTTACGCCACCGGATCAGGAGGTCCGGTGGCCATCATTTTTTACCCAGTGGTCAGTGCATTCTAAGAGCTCATTCACACTATATCTGTATAGGTACTTTAACCCTGTACGTGTATTATTTTATCATAATGATTTATACTTAATAAATACATTTCATAATACTACACCATGAGCATTTCCATCTTTATTACCTGGCACTGAGCCTTCACATCTCAGCCCAGCATTCTAGGAGTCCACCCGGGCAGGAGAAATTGGGGATATAGGTCCAGACCATCATCTCTGGCAGCCGTCACCCCATTTACCACCAGAGGGCACCTTTATCATCAGGCTGTACCTTCACGGGACTTCCGGCTTCATGGAATTTCTATGTGCACATTAAATTGCACTTCCGGTGAGTGGGCAATTTTTTCTACACCTTCATGTTAGGATGTTGGAATATACCCATTTGGATTGAAGTCATTCACACTCCATCACTGGAATATACCTTTTTGGACTGATATCACATCACCTTGGACTGTATATTATTCAGTTTATAGGACTTTTTGTCATATTCTGTCATACATGTGACAGTGTGTTTTATTTGTATAGCGCTGCACACCCCATTTTTATGTCTTCTTCTTTCCTGTTAATACATTCCTGTATGTAACATGATCAGACACTTACCACAGTGACTCTCATCCTCCCCATCATCACAGTCATTCTCTTTATCACAAGTCCAGCTCATTGGTATGCAGCGCCCACTTGAACAGGCAAAGTAATTCACTGAGCACTTTGGCTTCCGAATACCTGTGTGGCAAAAGAGTCATTTGAAGCCTTCATAATCTTAATGTAAAATCACTTTGTAAAATAAATTATGTAAACCATTGGTACAGGTGTACTTGTATTGGGGTGTGCAGTAAATTGTCTCTGCAGATTAGAATTAAAGAAACACTGTCAACTCTAATCTGCAGAGACTATATTATATTCACCTCTCCAGCTCTAATTATTTTCTCCAAATGTCCAGCTGATCCAAATCTTCATACTCACCTCTCTAGCTCGCCTTGCACTCCATCCCTCCACATTCTCCTCAACAAATCACCTTTTACGCCAACTCTCCATACTCACGTTATCAGATCACCTCTCATCCCACCTCTCCAGCTAAATCTTTACACCAACTCTCATACTCACCTTTTTAGCTCACCTCTCTCCCCATCTCTCTATACTCAGCTCATGTTTTACTCTGTTTCATCTTCAGCTCCATCTTCAGCCAAGCTCACCTCCTGCTCTAACTATTCATATTCACCTTTCCAGAGCTCCCTTCAGTTTCATAATCATCACCAAAATACTCCAGCCCGTGCACAAGCGGACCATACCTGAAAACACCAGGTACTTTGCATTGAAGGCTACAGAAGATGAAGTGGAAAGGAGCACTGGGGAGGGGAGTATAAATTGATCGGTAGATGGGCTTTCCACAGACAGTCATGGTTAGATTGAATAATTGTGGCAAGTCAACTACTGATAACTGTCACTAAGTGCATTAGTATTACTACAATATGGCAGCGCAAAGTGCAAATATTACCTGGGCAGTTCATCTCATCTGTGAAGTCACCACAGTCATTGGATCCATCACAGACCCAGCTGGAGGCATAGCACAAAGAGGTCTTCTCACACTTCAGAAAGGTGGTTCCTATTACTCCCAGTTTGAAGAAACTACCGCAGTCAGTGATGTCTGGGGACATGGAAATGAGAAACAAAGGAGGGCACAGGCTCGGGTTTTTGTGAGTACTGAGGAGTTTAAAAAGAAAGAAAAAAAATGTATCTAAAATAAAAAGAGCATGAAGGAAAGCATTTTTTTTGTGTATTCTATACGCTATACTATTATCATGACTACACAGTGTTACATGCCATATGACAGTGAATTTATCAAATACAGTTAGGTCCATATATGTTTGGACTCAGGCACAATTTTAGTTTTTTTTCAGGAATTTACCAAAACATATTCAAGTTATAGTTATATAATGGATATGGGCTGAAAGTGCACACGTCAGGTTTAATTTGAGGGTATCTACATCAAAATTGCAGGAAGGGTTTAGGAATTACAGCTCTTAAGAGTAGCCATCCCCCCTTTTTCAAGGGACCAAAAGTATTTTGAAAATTCAATATAATTATAAATAAAATGTTAATTTTAATATTTTGTTGAGAATCCTTTCCTGGAATTTGGACCTAACTGTATGTTCAAATCGGATGGAGAATGCTGTTGTCTTGCTGCAAAGACCACATACAAACAGGTCATGATTAGGAAACTAGTACTGGCAATGTATCCGAGTCCTTCCCACCTCCACTGGTTAAACATGAATGCTTGCCCAACCAGGGCATTCCTCTTTACAGCAAAAACAAGGCCAAAAGACAACACAACAGGTCTGTTCTCTTATTTGGGCAACACCTAGTGTTATCTTAATCAGTAACTCATTATAAAGAGCAGAGAGGAGGCTGGCTATCTCAAGCACTAGTGTAATAGAAAAAGAGTGATTTCTGCCAATACTGATTAGAACAGCTACAACATACTACATAAGATCATCTGCTGTCAGTAAGGACCACTAAAAATCGTTAGAAAACAGTATTACCTCACCTTAAAGGCTAAGAGCATCTGTGGCTGAACCTAGAGCTTAACTCTATATTAAAGAAATAACAGTTTTGTATTTCTGTAAAATACCATAAAATTAAAATTGTGACATCCCTTGCACAATAACAGATAAGGGTGCTCGGGGGCGGGGCCAGCAGTCAACCAGACTCTGCCAAATGCACATGTGCAGACAGCGAACACAAAAAAGAAAAAAAAAGTGCAGGGGGGCAGAGTAAGGCTGCTAATACAACTTTCTTGTACAATTTTCCTTTAGATTTAACAAAACCATATAATGTGAGGTTAAACCTAAACACTTTCAATTTGTATGCAATCAGGCGGGCCCTTGCACTACATAGTTGAAGGTAAATCTAAAGGAAATTGAAAAAGAAAATTGTATAATGTATGGCCAGCTATAATGATGACTTGTATGTTGCTGCCCCTTTATTGTCCGATCTGGAAGTGGGGAAGCAATATCACCAAAGATCACAACTTAAAGCAATATCACAGGCTCTGTTGTCATCTGGTAGAAGTGTATTTTTTGGCTGATAAGAGAGCTCTCATATGTTTATTCAAGCCTATAATTATCTGTTTTTATGGAATTATGCTTTGACCACTTGCCTACCAGGTACTTTTACCATTTTCTTTAAAAATGTTTTTTTAACCACTTCCCGCCCGGCCCATAAAAAAATGACGGTCGGGCAGGACTCTCGTCGAACCAGGTGGGCGTCATACAACGCCCTTCCCAGATTGCGCCATACGCATGCCTGCAGGGCTGCACTGTGGCGAGATCTATCACTGACTGTGTACCTCTGACACAGCCGATGACAGATCTGTGTACCGGCCATTACCAGTACCATGTGACCTGCTGTGACCAATCACAACAGGTCAAATGACAGCTCTAAACAATGGATGGCTTCCTTTCATGCCATCCATTGTATACAAGTGTGTCTAGGTGTGAATGGTCACAGTGATCACATGCACAAGCTGGGCCAATCACAGGACACACATGTCATGTGATTAGCCATGGCCAATCACACCTAATCACAACAAAAAAATCTGAATTAATTGATTTAATACAGTTAAATGCTTGCTTATAGCAAATAAATTGTTTGCTATAAGCAAATTGTGTAAAAAATAAACAAATACTGATCACTTCCCCAAAATAGTACAATGTTACTATGGTAACATTATACTACTTTGGTCATAGTGTAATATGAAAAAAATCTTAAAAAAAGAGAAAAAAAAAATGTAAAAGTTTTTTTTTAAAAATTTATTTTTTTTTTGCGTACTGTCACCAGTGTCCCTGTCACACCAGTTATATGATGATGCTGTACTGCACTGGTATATGTAAAAAAAAATTGTTAAAATAATTTTTTTTAATATTTCTTCATTTTCCAAAAAATTATGACAAAAAATTACATATTAAAAAACTTGCCATGCCTCTTATGAAATACGCCGGACTGTCTACTTAGCAAAACAGAGATATTTGGGGGATTTCTGTACTGTTCTGACATTTTTGGGCCTCAAGAAATTAGATTGGCTGTCAGTACTTCAGGATTGATCAATTTTCAGATATATCCCATAGTTTGTGAACTCTATAACTTTCCTACAGACTAAATAATGAATACTGATTTGGGATATTTTCACAAAAAAAAGTAGCAGAATACATCTTGGCCTAAATTTATAAAGAACAAGTACTGGTACTTATTTGCAAACTTTTATAAAAGAAACAAAGAAAAACGTGTTTTTTTTTCCAGAATTTTCTTTTTTTGTTAATTTAGCAAAAAATAAAAACTCCAGTGATGATTAAATACCACCAAAAGAAAGCTCTAGTTGTGTGCACAAAATTATAAAAATGTAGTTTTGGTACAGTGTTGCATGACCGCGCAATTACCATTCAAAGTGTGAGAGCGCTGAAAATTGACCTGGGAAGGAAGTGGGTAAAAGTGCCCGGTATTGAAGTGGTTAAAAAAATAGAGCTTTCTTTTTGTAGTATTTAATTGCCACTGGGGATTTTATTTTTTTGCACTATAAACAAAAAAAGAGCAAAACATTTGAAAAAATAAAACTTTTTCTTTGTTTATATTATAAAATTTTGCAAACAGGTAACTTTTCTCCTTCACTGATGTGCATTGATGAGGTTGCACTGATAGGCAGCACGGATGGGTACTGATAGGCAGCACTGATGAGGTGGCACGGATAGGCAGCACTGATGGGCAATGATAGGCTGCACTGATGAGGTGGCACTGCTGAGGCAGCACTGGTGGGCATTGAAGAGGAGGCACTGATAATGCTGCACTGATATGCAGCAATGATGGGCACTTGCTGGCAGCACTGATATGTGGCACTGACAGGTGGCACTTATGGACGACAATGACTGACAGCACTGACTGGCGATACTGACTGAAGGCACTGATGATTAGGGCGCTGGTAATCAGTGCCAGTGCGGGTGTCCTCTGACATTTGCCGGTTATCGGCAGTACTTTCCTCGCGAGGAAAGTGCTGCCGATAACTGGCAATTGTATTTACTTTGTGATTTGCTGTGTTGGACACACCAGATCACATGGTAAAAGCCGCTGTGATTGCCATTATACCATGTCAAGTGATCAGCTGTGTCCGCAGGACACAGCAATCACTGATAGCGCCAGGTGCACGCCGCTGGGGGAGCATTCTGGGAGGACGTCATATGACGCCTCCCAAAAACGGACAACCGCACTGTAGCCATCTTTCAGCTATAGCGCAGTTGTAAAGTTGTTAAAGAATAAATTGCACTTTTGCAGACAAAAATTAAAGTTCTTCTGCATGTAACTGGGCAGGCAGCACAAATAGGTCTGCATCTTTTCTTTCCTAATACCAAGGAATTAACTGCACAAAAAGATCAAATGCTGTATATTACACACTGAAAAGAATGTGTGCTTAATAATAATTTCAAAATATGGTTATTATGGAATAATCTTTGAAATAGCCACGTGATTTCAAACAGTTACACGGTAGCTGATGCTGCAAACAGTACGAACTCTTAGGCAGGCCATAGGTGGTGAACAAAATAGCTAGATTCCCCCATCAACACAGACTGTGTTGATGGGGGAATCCCTCCCATGGAGCTACTCTGTTCAGGCAGGGGGGCGTGGGGAGTAAACCCTGCCAGGAGGACACATGGATTACTGCATGTAAAACTCCAGCATGCTGGTTGTACCCAAGTCAATTGATGGATCGACTTGGGTACAATCAGCCTGCCCATAGATGGTTCGAATCTCAGGCCTGTCCGTGCTCAACTGGCTGAGATCTGAACCATCAATGGCAGCTTAAGTTTGCACATTTGAAAAGATGAACCAATTCTAGTCTCCTCTAGACCATCGAAAACAGTCATACTTGCCTGGAATGTTACCAGACTGTAATGTAAAAAAAATCTAATAGAACATATTCAACAACCAGTGTACTTACTGCAATTCATCTCATCAGAAGCGTCATCACAGTCAAGGAGCTGGTTACAATGGCTTGAGTTTCCGATACAGGTCCCATCTCGGCAACGAAACTCTGTAGGGGCACAGCTGGTTTCTGCAAGACACAGCAGGGTTAAACAGGCCTCATACTATTCACTGCCTAGTACAGGGACATGATGTCAGCCACAAGACCACCAAATGTCTGTATCTTTGATATGGATACAAGAAATGGCCAGCTTGAAGACACTTTTCTCTGCTCACATGCAGCTCTATGCAGACCTGCATAGAAGCCAATCAGCTTACAGTTTTTTTTGTCAAAGCTTAATTGAACAAGCTGAAGTTAGAAGCTGATTGTCTACCATGCAGAGCTGCACCAGATTTTGCACTCTCCAGTTTTATTAAATTACCCCCATATTGTCAGCTCCAACAGAGGCAAAAGCGTACACTAATATTCAAAAGAATGCATGCAATTTTTTGACGAGCTGTCCATAATTGCAGCTGTAGCTGAAGTAGATCATAAGCTATAGTCAGGACATTCCGGGTAGCTGGACATACTCACTGTTGCAAGATACCTCGTCCGAGTTGTCACCGCAATCATCCAAGCCATTGCACCAGTAAGCACTGGAAATGCATCGCCCATTCAAACAGTGACGGAAACCTTTCTTACATTGACGATTAGCTGTGGGGACACAGGAAACAAGTATTATTACATTTTTTTTTTTAGTCATGGTTAGGCATATGTCAATCATTAGTTTGTACACATAATGTACATTTTACAAATCTATTTAAAAAAATGAAAAACTGAATACCTCATTGCACAATCGTTCACTCTACCAAAAGGTATACTGGATATAGGTGATCAGTTCTCTTTTGAAAAAAAATGCAGTCCTCCCTAAAATTTTCTCACCACCAGCAGACACTACAATCACCCGAACCTTGTTATGAAATGCAGCAGACCACCGTCATTCACTGGACAAGCATGATGGCACAGGGGCTTGTACAAACGTGGTTTTCCTGCAACAACTATGTCTGCCAATGTGCTTCAACATGTTGGGAAAGCTACAGTTGTTTAAAATAGCCTAAATCTAGTTTCCGGCATTATTCCTGATGTCTGACTCTAATCTATTGACTTATCTTGCTGCCTTGCCAAAGGGCACAATGTCTGCTCACTGCTGCCTTAATCTGCTTTCAGTCCTACTCTCTCATCTAGCACATCTCTTGGTGCACATGCCACTCTACTCTACAGATGTTCTCCATTCCTTTTCAAACCTTTCTTTATAAGGTTCCCAAGCTACTACAGCAGCATGTCATTAGATCAATAGGAAAACATTCTCCCTTAACTTTCAGTCATACCATCATAGCTTATGTACCAAATTACAACACAAAAGCTTTGGAATTTCACTCAATGTATAAATAAATAATTTCTCATATCAGGTATTGAAATAGAAGGTTGCACAAGGATATTTCTATAAATATAAAGATATTACATTTAAAATGGAACTTCACTCTCTTGATCAACATTAACTATTTTGAATACTTATGCTGCTAACATTAGTAAATAAATAGCAAGGGATATTATATGTACTTGTTTTAAACATTACATTTCTTTAGTTACTTCCTGGTTTCCATGCCTAAGCAAATGATGTCATACATCCAGGAGTCTTCAGGAGGGGTTTTCTCAGCTAAACATAGCCTACTGCTTGTATGTCTGAGCTAAAGGCAGATGAATTCTAGGAAGTAAATGGTACATGAATCAGCTACCCTTACTCAAGATGGTCACGGCTAGAGTCTGCTTTGAATATTAAAAATGAATTAAATAGACCTTTTTTTCTGTGGTGCTCAGATACATTGTAGTTCCACTTTTAAGACCTATATGTTGTCAAGATTATGATATACTGTACAGTTGCTCCTCACCCTTTCTTACAAATACAGGTACAAAGGAGGCAAAAGTTGATTCATCGATTGTTTTTATGATAAAGCAAAGTTTAAGCAAAATTGGGGCATTTTGATGATTATTGTCAAGAAATAACTAGTAGCTGATGTCTTCAAATGTTGAAAATTCACTACATCAATGACTGCAAGTAACACCCTGAGCAACATAACATGCACAGCACAGTATCACCCATTTATTACAGATGTAGAGCTGTCCCTGATGTGGGAAAGTCTATCTGATCACTGCATGACCTGCTATCAGTCAGAACAGGGTTAAACTTACCACAGTAGGATTGCTTCTCATCTGCCTTGTCCTTACAGTGGGCCAATGTATCACATGTCAAGCTGTAGTTGATGCAGTCACCATTGCCACACTCAAATTCATCATGGGGATTGCAAGTAGAGTTGGGAGCTGATCAACAGAAGATACAAAAGAAACAACAAAAATGTTATAGTAGAAAAGCCTGCATTTAGTACCAGCGAATATTTGAAGAGCTGAAATTTCAGCTGTAGTTTTTATAAGGGTGCTTTTATGAAAAATGGTCATCTCGAGGCATTATCACCACTTAGTCAGTAGGCAGCACATAAAATAAAAAAAAAACAAAACTCAGTTTTGAGCAGCAGCCATGGCTCTTCATGGGTTATAAACTTTTAAAATATAAAACTATTTTGCCTTCTCTTCTATTCCCATATTAGCTGCAGGAACTATTATAAAGAACTAACAAAAGAATGTTTTTAAAACAATAAATAATAGTAACACAATTCACATTGCTAGAACATTCTAAAATTTGATGACTGACCGCTTTACTCTGGAGGGGATTACATAAGCAGAGGCCCCTCCAATCTGAATCTCACTGCATGAATTTGCTGTATCCATCCAAATAATTGTATTCCCTATGATTCTGCAACCAAAAAATACCTTTGCATGTAAAGTCATCCTGTAGAATCCTATCTCCTCGGCAGGAGCAGTTCACCCTTCCATCAGCAGTGAGAAGACACAGGTCTTGACATAAACTGTTATTGTTGCATGGAGATAACTCGCCTAATACAGAGTAAAATAAAACATGTTAGCTTATCAGGGCGATTGGGTTATTATCTGTAATAATATTATTTGACATATGGTTTTTATATATTTCATCTTTAAATGCTGACCAAGCTGTCTAGCAAAGCTGATTGCTACTGTTGTTGGTAAAAACCACTTAACATTTTAGGCCATGGGTGCCTAAAATGGTCAACTTTTATCATATGGCTCAATCTTTTATTTTAACCTACTGTTGTTGCCCATTCATTCAGATATCAAATGCCTTGATCTCTTACGTGTGGCCATACCCCTATAAACCATCTGTAATGATAAAAACAGGCAGCAGCTTAACTGATGTTCTGTTTCTACTTCTTCTAGAGCGCCAATGCCAGAATTTCTAGAATTTAAGTAAAAAAAAAAAAAAGTACATATAATTCCATACTGCAGCGAGTGACAGTGCCATCCATCCGGCAACATCTCAGGGAATGCTGAGTATACAGAATCTCATGAGATCTCATGGGATTTTGATGGGAATATAAAGACATTACCCTTGCGTACACACCATGTGTGGACAGAAGTTAGGAGTAAAGCAAGTAGATTTTTTTTCGAAAACGTTAAAGCAGCTTTTAATTATACGGGAGGGGTCAAATATAAATTGCAGTTAGGAAACTTGTGAGGAATGTGACATAAAAGTTTCTACTTACAGCTGTTAGTATCATTTGCCACAGCAATAATTCCCATAGGTTGCTGAGGAATATCGCCTCTAAGAAGTTTCAGGTCTGAGCCATCATGTTTGTTTGCCCGCTGAACTGCCCGGCGCACCCAGTCTGTCCAAAAGATGTAGTCTCCATATACCGCTAACCCGAAGGGGTGCACAGGATCAGACTTTAAAATCCACTAAAAAAAAATCCATACAATGCTATATGAGCTTGACCTTATCCCACATCACACACACAGCAATAAACACACAATGTAGGGAAAATAAGATGAAGAAATAAATGGCGACAAAAGAAGAGAAGAAAGACAAAATACAAAGTACATCTAAGGCCATATATGTTTACCGCTGCTCAAGGTAGAGAGGCTCCCAGTCTCCAAGCACAAGTCATCCTGTAGGTGCTAGCCCAGCTCCTGTGCTGCATAGATGAGAACAAAGGAAGTCTAATTGCCTGAACTCCAAACAATCCACTTTATTGAACCAGGATAAAACCAATACAGATAGTGGAAATACAGTGGCAGACAGGCAGGTAAACACGTTTCACGCTAAAGACAGTGCTTATTCATTACCCCATGAATAGTAATGAATAAGTGCTGTCTTTAGTGTGAAACGCATTTACCTGCCAGTCCTCCACTGTATTTCCACTGTCTGTATTGGTTTTATCCTGGTTCAATAAAGTGGATTGTTTGGAGTGTCGCTGATCGGACTTCCTTTGTTCACATCTAAAGCCATACCTTTGGATCTTTTGCCAACTTTCTGTCCCAGTGACAATCATCACTGGGACAAAGAGAGAGGTTACTTGTCCCCATTGGGGATATGGACAACATTAAAAACTTCACAGGGGCTCTAACCCTGAACTGCTCTATACAAGGCTTTAGATATACTTTACAAGTTCTGGTTTTAGATAGTCTTTAAGTATTAATTTTTCATCTGCTAAAAATCTTATTACCTTCTTATTTCAAATAATTTAATTGGTAACACACTAATGAATGCATACACGCACCCGTTTTGAAACTAAGCTTCTTGGATTTGGTGTACACATTTCAATTTCCCCTGGTGAAACGGTTAGGATATGGCCGTTTTCCATTTTTTTATGTTCTGTGTATGATTTTTGGACAGTGTATTTTATGTGATTCTTTAGTTCCTTTGTTAGAGGAATATAGTTCACAATTACTTATTTTTCTGGGGAACAACGGGAGGGCTTCATGTCTATGATACAAAACCAACAAAACTAAGTAACCCAGTCCACCAATGAGGCTGATACTTTTTGTTTTCAAATTACGTTGCCTTCTAGTAAAGAAAACTAATAGATTTTGGCATGAAAATTTTTTTGATAAAAATGTGGAAAAACAGGTGGTCCCTTGGACACTATGCATACAAATATTTCTGAATTTAAAGAAAATTGACCAACTACTTAAAGAGGATTGGGGAAAAAAAATTACATGATTGCTCATTTAAAATGTTGCAGATCCTGAGTGATCAATATGAGCAGCAACAGAAAAAGATTGATCAGAAGATCCAACAACTGTACCAGGAATAGACAGTTTTAACACCACTGCCACTTGGAGGTTGTGAGAAACAATTAAGGGAGCACCTGAAGAAGTTTACCTCGGATCTCCTGATCAAAAACAAAAAAGTTTGCAAAGGATAGTAGTGCATACAAGATAGGCCAGGCATAAAAATGGACTAATGCGGACTAACTGATGAAGCGCAAGAAACATATTGAAACCATCAATGATGATTGTTTATGCACAGGAATTATGACGGGAAACTTTATTATACAGCACTACATGCATTTATTTTGGGGAACAAATAGATAATTTTTATCCAACTATCATTGGTTTTAACAATGTCTGATTTGTAAATTCAACCGTTATGTAATGACAGTGATTTTATGTATGTTGTATTTGTGTTGTAAATTTTGCCACCTAACAAGTCCCCTTTATTATTGTTTTTTAATTAGCTACTGTATGCTTAAAAGGCACATGTCCAATAAAAAAAAAAAACTATCAACGTATAAATATAATACCCATTTCTATTTCAGGCTTTACAGAAACCAACCAACCCTTTTATGAAGAAATCAACTGAATCTTCTAGACAAAGTTCTTGTGTAGTATTATTGCACATATTCACAGCTCTTATTGTACAATAAAGAAGCCTTTCTGTATGCAGAGATTAAACCCCTTCCAGTCACAAGCATCCTCACATCTTTGTGGTGCCATTCAATTAAAAAAAAAAAGGTTTTACCTGAATTTTCTATATTGCTCATTTACTGCAATATACAGTAGTTATACAAGGTAATCATATCCCCTATTCACATCACTTATTCTTGGCTAATCTTTCACTGAATCTCCACCAAGCGACTTATTACATTTAGCTGCCCTTCTCTGAACTCCCTCCAGGACACAGTTTCTGTGAACTGGTACCTACAATTGAACTGTATATTTTGAATGAATCTAACTAATGCTTTGTAAAGGAGCAAAAATATTTCTTACACTTCCTCTCTGCTGAATATGGCTTTAGAAGCTGTGATATTTATTTTAAAAACCAAGAGAGCACAGAGGACCTCTCTCATCACTTAGGAACCGAATCTTATACCCATTAGATGGGCATGCTGCATACTTCGTTTTGGCCCAAATATATATTACATTTACCCTGGCAAAACCCCATTGATTGCCTAATTAGCCTAAGTGTCTAGGTCAGATTGTAAATTAGAATCATCTTGCAAGAAGGATATTCCACATTATATCTTTGTCTCATCTGCAAAAACAGATAGACTATTTTAATTGCAAGCCATTATAAAGGATAAGTTAAAAATAACAGTCCTAATACTGAACCTTGGTACACCACTAAAATTCTTGGACCATTCAGAGTGTGAATCACAGACCACAGATTAATGCGGTTTGTAAGCACTTTTTATATCCATTTACAAACTGAAATGATCAAACCAACAGATCTTAAATTACATATTGGCTGTCTATGAGGAATAAAGTCAAATCATTTTGAAAGTACAAATAAATTACAATCACAGCTATCTCTCATTCCTGTAGATTTCCTGCTCATAACTTATGACTATGACTTTTTTCTATTCTGTATGTACTTGTTTTCCGACCACCCAAGTATCTTTTCTACAATGGAAGTTAAACTTACAAACGAGGCCTTTTCTTGTTTAGTTCTATTGATCACTACGCATGCTATAGGATAAGGTTTCTCTATCTTATATTAAAGCACGTACAGAATATTATAGTAACAATCATACTAAAAAAACTCTCATCCATACCACATTCACAGAATAATCTTTGCATCGAGTTACGTAAAAAAAAGGAATTACAAACCAATTCACTAGCTAAACCAATAACTGTTATTTTAAACCTGGCTTAACTTGTTGACCTTCCTTAAAGACGAAAATGAAGGTGTCACTCTCTTAAACGCTGGATCATGGTCTCAAGGTGTATACCGTAGAGGACTTACTTGTCTGTTGGTACCATCATATTCACATCTCTCAATTTTGTCGAGAGTAGCATCAGAAAAGTATAGTTTCTCAGCTCTGTGATCAATAGCAAGACCATTGGGTGAGCGGATGTCACGGTCAATAATGAAAAGCACATTACTGCCTGAGAGTGTTGCCCGCATAATGCTAGGATGTTTCTCATTCCAATTGGTCCAGAACATAAAGCTGTTGAAGACACAGATACATACATATTAAAAAGATGTCTGAGTAACATTCAGAAAAATGGGAAGGAATGTGATCTATGTACTGGACATGTAATATAGGTAAGGAACAAGGGTTAAACTCATTACAAATTGAAAGTAAAATAACAAAAACATGACCACGAGAGTTAGGACCACACATACCAGTTTCTCATATCAACCCCATCTGTATTAAAGTGTAAGTAAACCCAATCACTTAAATCTCAGACGCTTAACATGCCCATGTCAATGCAACCACCAAGCAAACAACCGTTTATTATACACAAAGCTTCAGCAAACTAAATGTCATTCAGTTATGGTGTACACAAACTTTAAGTGGTGTGTGCACTTTCTGCTGTACACATGGTAAACATATAAGATGTTGGGAACACTGCTTCCCAGCTATTGATCTATGTCAGTAGATAAACATAGCCCTATGTAAGAAACACAGCTCTATCAAAAAAATCTTTGTTCATTCAATACTGAATCTCATGTAGACCAACCGCTGTGCTGTTTTTCAATTTACAATAGAAAACCAAATTAAAAAATAACCTTTAAAATAAAGAGTTCAAGTAGAAGAAAAAAAAAAAAGAGAAATCAGCAAAGATAATATGTTTGCAGAACACAAAAGTAGAGGAACCAACACCCACTTTTTACACTCATCCAGAACAAAGGCCCGAGGATGGTCATCTCCAGACATAGTGACTACAGTCTCTCTTTCAAAGGCCCCAAAGCGGCTTTGGTCAACAGTATGGCGAGTAATTGTTGATGTAGTATAACTGGTCCAAAACAGGGTGTCCCATGCTCGATGATAGGCCAGGCCTTCCACTGATCCAACATCTGTGGTAATAAAAGGACAAGTTCCCAGTATGAAAAGTGTTTTTTAAGCAATACACAAAACCTCTATTTTAATTATGTATGGGCATGAACATTTTATGTGTTGTGCAGAAGACACAACTTTTATGGAAACAATAACTATTATTTTGCCTGGGTGACAGTTCTTGGAAATAGCAAAACATACTCAGGCTTTGTTTTTAGATTTTTAAAGTTCAACCAAAATTTTATTTATTTGTTTTACTTTGGATAGAATGGGGAAGGTTAGAACCCCTGTCAGGTTTTTGCAGCTCTTCAGGGCTCTGTTAGAGAGACTTCCCATTAGTTACTGTCATGGCTTAACCAGACAGAATGTGAGGAAAACTTTGCAACAAGGATATAGAAAGCAATACACAACTAATATGGGTTATAGCCTTTCTCTAGTCTACCAAATCTCTCTAACAGTGAAAGAAAAGTCTGATAAAAATGACATATGGACATGCCAAAGCTAAACTCATGACAAGCAAATTTAAAGTCATATGCATAGAAGATATCCCTGGCTTCCCTGCAATGAAGATTTTTCAATGGAAGTGTTCTTGTAGATTTGATAAGAAAAGTGGATATTTGATCATGGGAAATAGTTTCTTCTAAGCAGCTTCCATCAACACCAGTCATTATTGCAACTTGTATATGCACACAGTGGTCTAATCCTGCTTGCTCACCAATATGCTGGCATCAATGCACAGTAGTGGAGAGCACTACTCAGCTTATCAAATTATGGATGCCACCACAGGGCTTCTAGTTCTATGTACAACAAAATAAAAGTAAAAGAAAAAAAAAACAAGCTCTGGGGGCTCAGTCTGTATATTTATTTAAATTCTTAGGGTTTGGCTTTAACAGTAGCAAAATAGGCACTTCATGGTTGTTTCTGGCATATTTAATCAACCCTGGTTTCCCACAAAGCCAGTTGCTGCAGATTTAGACAACACTTTTTAGAAAGTTAACTACGGTTTGCATTGCAAAACGTACTGAAGATTTTTCTTTGTTTTTTTTTTTATAGTAGTAAGATACAAAAAACAATACATGGTATCCAACTCTGAATTGTATTTAGTAGAACAAAAATCTTACTCTCCACCACTGTCTTGCGACCAGTCCCATCGTTGTTGATCTGCTGGATGTTACCAAAGTGGATGTCACTATAGAAGATGCGTGTTCCCCCTTTGTCACTTTCCCGATAATCAAATGCCAAAGCTATTACGTTCTTCATATGATCGTGATCTTCAAACGGTTTCACTGGGGCATTGAGGCTACTCTCATCCGATAAATGAATGCTTTTTAGGATTGTTCGTTCTGAATACAGGAGGTAACCATCATACTCTCTGCAGCTAAGGCCATTTTCTGCTAGCATGCCATGAGCACAAGCACATGTACGCTGACCTCCACCTCGATATAGACACAGCTGTTGACAACCACCATTATTTTCGGTACAGACATTGGTTCCTGTGAAATATAAAACAAACATGCTCCCTGAACATATTTAATAAATTTGTTCAAAAAAAAAAAAAAAAAATCCCAGCAATACCAATCTCTATTTGTTAAACACCTTTCAATCTTCAAACTTAAAGAAATTTCTAATGTAAGCTAGAAGAAACATAGCCCTTAACACAACCTGAGGCACTGAATCAATTCCTGCAAAACTGCACTTACCTTATGGAGCACTAGAAGCTCACAATCCTGTACGAAGAGCTCAGTCCTGAAAACAGCTTTACCATTTGTATGAATGGCCACCTCAATTTAAATTTGCAATGATAGAAGCTGGAGGCTTCCAGTGTTGTCATCCTCTGAAAATACTAGTTGACTAGTTGTTGTGCTTACCCACCAGCTACAACGTGTAGATATGTAAACAAAGTGCTAGGCGTGTCCCTTTTTGCCCAAATTACATAAAGTGCTGGTGCTATACACTGTGACATAACATCAGTACAAAATTAGAAAAAAATCGTAAAATCTTCATAACCATTTCCATTACACACAGTCCATGTTAAGCTCACGTGCAAACAGTGTTACGGTGCTTCTTCCATACAAAAGTGCTTGCAGTGCAATACTTTTTCCAGACAGTGCTTCAAATACTTAAAGCGATTGTACAAACCTCTTCACCCCACTCTCTGTGAGTTTCACTCACCAAAATGTTTGTGACCCCTTATGAAAATTAAGAAGGTCACTAGCACTTATGTGTAGGTTCTCTCTCATCCGAGTCTCCGCCTGCTACGGCTTCCTGGGATGCCTCCCAAACAGTTGCTTCCATCACCAAACCACTCCCAGGGATTAAGACAAGAAAAGAGACCAGCAATAGTGTAATACTATATATTTATTGCTTTTAAAAACACAAAATGTCCACACAAGATCAGCCTCATAACAGCCCATCTTTACTTCCTAGTTAAAATGGTCATGCATTGCAACACACCAGAGGTTATGCCATTGGATGTGATAAGCCTGGCTCTGCCCAATGCATTTCATCCGTATTGTATCTTCAGGGGATCGATCATCATCCGTATGGCGTCTTCAGGTGCTGATCTTGTATGGAGATTATGTAAGTGTTATGTGTTTTTAAAAGCGGCAAATAAAACAGAATTACACTATTGCTGGTCTCTCTTCTGGTCTTAGTCCCTGAGAGTGGTTGGTGGTGGAGACTGGGATAAGGGAGAACCTACACATAAGCACTAGTGACCTTCTTATTTCTCATAAGGGGTCACAAAATATTTAGTGAGTGAAACTCACAGAGGGTGAGGTGAAGAGGTGTATTGCACAAGCACTTTAAGTAATGTGAAGCACTGTCTGGAAGAAGTATTTCACTGCAAGCACTTCTGTATGGAAGAAGCACCGTAACGCTGTTTGCACACAAGTTTAATATGGACTGAGTGTTATGGACGATTATGAGGATTTTAAGATTTTTTGTACGTACTGTTATGTCACAGTTTCATAGCACTAGCACTTTATGCAATTTGGACTAAAAGGACCACATCTAACATTGCTTAATTTATTGAATTCATCTGAATATTTAATTTATTTATATTTAATTAGCACTACACCATTTCATGTATATTAATAGCAATATTTCCCCGGAGGGATTATAGGAGGTGCATAGCAATTTTGTAATAAGAGGAAACATACCATAATGGCAGAGTTTTGTTTTTCTGCTACAAATAATAGGTATACCTGCTCATGAAATAATGTGAACACTCATGATTATTAGAAGCAGTAATGAAGCAATTTTCCCTGCCGATCTGCTGGTTACAATGTCCGGCACAGAGGTTAAAGTGTTACTAAACCCACAACAGTAAAATCAGTCTGTATATGCAGTAAAGCATGCTTGTTATACTCACTGTGGAACCTAAGGGGTTAATCATCTGCATTGTGTAAAAAGCCATTTGATCCTGTTTTCTCTGCCCCTCCTCTTGTTCAAATGTCCACCTGATAAAACAGACTGAATCCGTAGCCACATGCACATGCTCAGTTTAGTGTGAATCGCTAGATAGGTTTTTTTTTTTCCTTTGGAGAGTGCATGTGATCAGCACTGTGCACACAGAGGTCAGGGCTTCTACATCCTCCTAGAGCAGAAACAAAACTCCTCCTACAAGCTTTAACCACTGCTCAGCTAGTCACAAGACTGCTCTAACTGCTGATGAGAAAAGGTATTTAGCAGTTTATATTTACAAAAATAATTGCACTTCCATGCTCTGTGTATTGTGGGAGACCAGATATAGTGAATGCAGGGTCCTGGTTTTAGTAACACTTTAAATAACTGATTTGTCATTCTGAATGCCGATGTGTGACCGACAAGCTCAGGGAGATAACTGGAAGAGCTACAAGCATTGTGACTGGAAGGAGAGTGCCTGAGATTGGTACAACAGGGATTTCTGCAGATCCTGACCTACACTGCAGAACAGGTACATGGCTCCTAGGGTTTCCAGCGAGCAGAAGCTAACAGGAAGAACTTGGCTGGGTAGCAATCAGCTCCTCAGGCTTTCTCCTTCCAGTTCTTGCGGCTCTCTAGACAGACATCTGTCAGCATTCCTCTCTGAGCCTGTTCATTCCCTTTGTGTGAAAGCTGACAGGCTCAGAGGTTAGGAAGCGAACAGGCTTGGAGAGGCTGTAATTTGCCCAGACCTGCTGTAAAACTTGGCCATCTGATATGAAAATTTAAAGGATAAGTTCACCTTTGGAACACGCTACATGTTCCACCCGTTTTTAGGATAGAACATGTAACATGTTCCCATAGCTGTAGCCTCACCCGCCGCCCCCCCTCCCTCTGACAGATAGTACGGGGAGACGTTTCCCCGTACTGTCAGATTTAAAAACAACGAGGATGTGCGGGGCTCTGCCCACACGGCCGCATCACTCATTCACAGTGTCCTGTGAATGAGTGCCTACAAGTCCTGACAACCTTAGTGGCTGTCGTTTTTTTTAGTTTTTAATGAACTACTACGGCGCTGTGGTAGTTCATTGAAGCTTCATGTCAGTATATCTGCTTGCTTGTACATCCCATACGGCAAGCAGAAACACTAACAGATCTGCAGGAGACCTGCATGGCATCAGCGATCTACTGATCCCTGGTGCAATGTTTCACAGACTCCTTTGGACAAATATAATAAATGCACATTTTTTTACCAGCAAAAAAAGGTGCATTTATTATTTTTGTCCAAAAGGTTAACTTATTCTTTAAGCATTCAGTTGAGATGGAACCTAGCCTGTCCATTTCCATGCACTCATATAATTTAGTGAAATCATCCATCACATGCCTTAACCAAAACTGAAATACAGCATACAGGAAGAGGTAGGACAAAGCATCAACATTCTAGCAAACAATAACTGAATATTACTAGGTTTAGGAGCTCCTGGGACATTTTAGAGAAGATCTGCAACTGCATGCAGGCACCTGCCTGCTAATAAATATAAGTAACCACTTAATGACATTTATACAAATGCAGGTACATTTAAATAGGTGGATTCTAGTTTTGTATCAGTTAATAATATTTTTGCTCTTTGCTTGGCAACATGGAATCTTTAAATACTGAAATTCTATACACAATGTTAAAATGTACAATGTAGTTATAAAAAAATGCTCTCTAGCTGAAAGAAATAGTACAGTTGTTTCACTAAAATAGGCAGTACTGTTCTTTATAATCTAATTATCTGCAATTGGAAGTAGGTTTTATATACTGTCAATTGCAATACTGTGCACCATATTTACCCTTCTGTCTGTTTTTGTTGAACACCTTGATGTCTTTGAGCTGGACTCCAATGCCTGTTCTTAGAGAGACAGAATCTGTGGCATTGTCCTTTTGCCCTCGCTTAATGGAGCCGTTAGCATGAGTCCTGCAAGGTAGCCAGAAGTTAATGTACACTAAAAAAATAAAATAATGAAGTAGAAAAAAATTATATACCAAATATGAAAAATACTGGAGAGATTTTGACCCTTTCAGCACTTTTATTAACAGGACTGCTATGTGGAATGGTCTACCTTCATTGTACCCAGCTGACCCATCCTAATAACTCTTAAAAGTATCTGACTAAAATGAAACTCCAAAAGCAGCAAAAACATGTAATTTGAATTTAATGACAGCCATACAAGCAGGAAATGAGATCGCCCATGTTTTCCCATGAGTTGCCATGCCTGCGAAAAAAAGCATTATTACAGTTTTAAAAAAATGTTGGTTAAAAAAAATTATAAACAGCCTTTGACTGAAATGGAAAGGCAACTCTTGCAAAACAGCCTGTGTGCCAATCAACTTTTAGATAAAAAGCCTTTTCTTTTAAAAGCGGTAATAACTTGAAACCCAAGTTTTTCCAAAATGCTGAATATTATGTCCTGTATTTGCTCTGAATGCTAAATGCAAATTGCTGCTCCAAGTTATAGGTTTCAGAGAGCCTTAGGTAATCCTGCAGTATCATTTATTGTGCAAATAGTCAATCATAAAGATTATGTATATACAGTTAGGTCCATATATATTTGGACACAGGTACAATTTGTTTTCAGGTATTTACCATAACATATTCAAGCTATAGTTATATAATGGATATGGGCTGAAAGTTTAATTTGAGGGTATGTACATCGAAATTGGAGGAAGGGTTAAGGAATTACAGATCTTAAGAATAGCCATCCCCCTTTTTCAAGGGACCAAAATTAACTGGACAAATTGAATCAAAAGCTGTTTCACGGCCATGCTACTCTTTCGTTATTTCTTCATCAATTAGGCAGGTAAAGGGTCTGCAGTTGATTTTAAGTGTGGTATTTGCATTTGGAATCTATTGCTGTGAACCTACATCATCAGGGATGTGCAATTCATATCGCCTGATGCCCAGGACATGTAGTTTTATTTTGCTTTTAGCCCTGCTGCGGGCAAGCAACATGGCTCATCTATCATGTGGAAGCATTCAGGCAGCAGCGCTATCACCCAACTGCTTCTACACAGCACACAGTGCCAGCTGACATCCTGCCCGCAATATGTCCCAGCCTCTACTTGCCCATCTGCAGGCCAAGACTGGTTCAGTGGGTACCAGCGGTATGTCGTGATGTGGTATAGAGGAGAGCGGACATGTTCCGCTCCCCTCCCCTTCTTGTCCTGACCCAGAAGTGATGTGACATCACTTCCAGGTCCCCATTGACAGATTCCTGGCCATCGAGGCCGGGAAAGAATGTAATGCAGTGCAATGTGCACTTTATTACATTCAGTGTAGTAAAGGGGAGACATGCAGAGTCTTTTATACCCTGGATGTCTCAAAAAAAAAAAAGAGAACCTCTCACCAAAAAATTATCACATAGGGGACTTTTTGTCCCCTATGCGATTGATAAAAAAAAATTCAGTTACATTTTTTTTTTTTTTTTTTAAATGTAAGTTACACCCAAGCATATAACCCCCCACATTTTTCAAGGCCCCCCACCCCCACATACAGTCATGGCCGAAATTGTTGGCACCCTTGATATTTTTCCTGAAAATCAAGTATTTCACACAAAAAAGGTATTGCATTAACACATGTTTTGCTATACACATGTTTATTCCCTTTGTATGTATTGGAACAAATATAAAACAGAGGCAGAAAAGCAAATATGACATAATGTCACACAAAACCCCAAAAATGGGCTGGACAAAAGTATTGGCACCCTTAACTTAATATTTGGTTGCACACCCTTTGGAAAACATAACTGAAATCAGTCGCTTCCTATAACCATCAATAAGCTTCTGACACCTCTCACCCGGAATTTTGGACCACTCTTCCTTTGCAAACAGCTCCAGGTCTCTCTTATTGGAAGGACACCTTTTCCCAACAGCAATTTTAAGATCTCTCCACAGGTGTTCAATGGGATTTAGATCTGGGCTCATTGCTGGCCACTTCAGAACTCTCCAGCGCTTCTTTGCCATCCATTTCTGAGTGCTTTTTGACGTATGTTTGGGGTCATTGTCCTGCTGGAAGACCCAGGATCTTGGACGCAAACCCAGCTTTCTGACACTGGGCCCTACAGTGCGACCCAAAAATCCTTTGGTAATCCTCAGATTTCATGATGCCTTGCACACAGTCAAGGCACCCAGTGCCAGAGGCAGCAAAACAACCCCAAAACATCATTGAACCTCCACCATATTTTACCGTAGGTACTGTGTTTTGTTCTTTGTAGGCCTCATTCCGTTTTCGGTAAACAGTAGAATGATGTGCTTTACCGAAAAGCTCTATCTTGGTCTCATCTGTCCACAAGACGTTTTCCCAGAAGGCTTTTGGCTTACTCAAGTACATTTTGGCAAACTGTAGTCTTGCTTTTTTATGTCTCTGTGTCAGCAGTGGGGTCCTCCTGGGTCTCCTGCCATAGCGTTTCATTTCATTTAAATGTCGACGGATAGTTCGCGCTGACACTGATGCTCCCTGAGCCTGCAGGACAGCTTGAATGTCTTTGGAACATGTTTGGGGCTGCTTATCCACCATCCGGACTATTCTGCGTTGCAATCTTTCATCAATTTTCCTCATCCGTCCACGACCAGGGAGATTAGCTACAGTGCCATGGGTTGCAAACTTCTTGATAATGTTGCGCACTGTGGACAAAGGCAAATCTAGTTCTCTGGAGATGGACTTGTAACCTTGAGATTGTTGATATTTTGCCACAATTTTGGTTCTCAGGTCCTCAGACAGTTCTCGTCTCCTCTTTCTGTTGTCCATGCTTAGTGTGGCACAGACAGACACACAATGCAAAGGTTAAGTGAACGTCTCTCCTTTTTATCTGCTTTCAGGTGTGATTTCTATATTGCCCACACCTGTTACTTGCCCCAGGTGAGTTTACAGGAGCATCACATGCTTGTAACATTCTTATTTATCCGCAGTTGTGAAAGGGTGCCAATACTTTTGTCCAGCCCATTTTTGGAGGTTTGTGTGACATTATGTCGAATTTGCTTTCTTTCCTCCCTTTTTTTGTTTTGTCCCAATACACACAAAGGGAATAAACATGTGTATAGCAAAACATGTGTTAATGCAATACGTTTCGTGAGAAATACATGATTTCCTGGAGAAATATCAAGGGTGCCAACAATTTCGGCCATGACTGTATGTACCCATGTACAAACTTAAAAGAACGTGCTGGGGCACCTACGCATGAAACGATGATTTTGATATATATCGCCGTGCACGCCAGAATGAGAGCAAAAATTCTAGCACCAGATCTCCTCTGTAACGCTAAACTGATGACCTATAACCGGCTTTAAAAATGTCACCTATAGAAAATATAGGGTACTAAAGTTTGTTGCCGTTTCACGAGCGCACGCAAATTTAACGTTTGACATGTTTGATATCTATTTACTTGATGCAACTCATCTTTTATATTTTACAAAAAAATTGGATTATTTATTGCTTTTTGTGCCCTAAATTTAAATTAAGTGCATTCTTTACTGAAATTTTGCATTTCCTAGCCCTTTGTGATAATATCGTGTGACATAAAAAATTTAAGCTACCGATATTTTATTCTCTAGGGTCTCTGATTTCAGAAAACATATAATGTTTTGGAGTTTTGTGTAATCTTCGGGCCTTAAATTACTATTTAAACGTGTGCAAAATATGCAAAAACAGCAGCGATAGGGATAAATAAGCCCGACTCCCCCCCTTTCCTGACGAGCACCCAATCAGTGCACATTACACTGCAAGGTCTCCCTCCCTGCTAGTCCCTGGGTGCAGTGCTGGAGACAGGCAGGGAGGGGAGGAGGAGATATACAGCGCAACATTAAAAACATTAAACATTTAAGTCGCCATAAAGCCCCTTTTGTTTTTAAAAGCCCCAGACATTACTTCAAGCAGATTTAAATACGGTTTTGGTTAAAGTGTATTCTTTTTTTATCAGGACAAGTAGATTGTCATGAGGGAGAAGTAGACTGGGACACAGATTTAGTCACTGAACAAGGAGTTTTTTAAATTTAAAAATTTCCACACCCCTGATCATGCGTTCAAAAGGAGCTGTCCATGCAAGAGAAACAGGCCATTGCAAGGCTTCAAAAACAAAACAAATCCAACAGAAATAGCAGCAACATTAGTAGTGGCCAAATCAACAGTTTGGTACATTCTGAGGAAAGAAGAATGCACTGGTGAGCTCAGCAACATAAAAAGGCATGGACGTCCATGGAAGGCAACAGTGGTGGATGATCGCAGGATCTTCTCTATGCTAAAAAAAAAACCCATACACAGCATCCAGACAAATGAAGGACACTCTCCAGGAGGTAGGCACATCATTGTCAAAGTCTGCAATCAAGAGAAGACTTCACGAGAGCAAATACAGAGGGTTCACCACAAGGTGCAAACCATTCAAAAGCCTGAAGCCAGATTAGACTTTGCCAAAAAAAAATCTAAAAAAAAAGCCAGGCCAGTTCTGGAAAAGCATTCTTTGGATAGACAAAAATAAGATTAATCTGTACCAGAATCACAGGAAGAAAAAAGTGTGGAGAAGGCTTGGAACAGCTCATGATCCAAAGCACACAAGGTCATCTTTAAAACATGGTGAAGGCAGTGTGATGGCATGGGCATACATGGCTTCCAGTGGCACTGGGTTATTAGTGTTTATTGATGATGTGACAGAAGACAGAAGCAGCCGGATGAATTCTCCAGTGTAAGTGAAATATACTGTCAGCTCAAATTCAGCCAAATGCAGCAAAGTTGATTGGACGGTGCTTCACAGTACAGATGAACAATGATCCAAATACACTGCAAAAGCAACCCAGGAGCTTTTGAAGGAAAAGAAGTGGAATATTCTGCAATGGCCAATCACCTAATCTCAACCAAATTGAGCATGCATTTCACTTGCTGAAGGCAAGCCTAAAGGCAGAAAGATCCACAAACAACAAGAACAACAACTGAAGACCCCTGCAATTAGAACCTGGCAAAGCATCAGAAAGGAGGAAATCCATTCTTTGGTAATGTCCATGGGTTCCAGACTTCAGGCAGTCTTTGCCAGTAAAGGATCCTCAACAAAATATTACAAATTAACAGTTTATTCATGATTATATTAATTTGGTCCAATTACATTTGAGCCCCTGAAATTGGAGGGACTGTGTATAAAAATGGTTGCAGTTCCTAAAATTTGTACTTAATATTTATGTTCAACTCCCTGAATTAAAGCTGAAAGTCTGCACTTCAAAGTCATTTGGATTGTTTCGTTTTAATTTATTCTGGTGGCATACAGAGCCAAAAATATGAAAATTGCACCTGTAACCAAATATATATGTACCTAACTGTATAACTGCACAACACAAAGGAAAAGCGACTTGACAATGCCAAAGTCCTCACCTGTCACTCCAGTAGATGAAATCTTCGAAGACTGATACAGAGAACATGTCCATGTTGTTGTTAGACAGCACTACCTCTCTGTTCTTCCCTGTCTCCAGGTCAATCCTCTCAATTTTATCAGTGCGAGCATCGCACCAATACAGCTTTTCGTCCTGCAGAAGAAGCAGTGTTAACAGTGCCTGGCTGAATACAGATATTATGAGTAATATGTGATGTGACCATCCCATCTAAGCTAAAAAGTCTGAACTATAATATTTAGTGAGTGAAAAATGTAAAGTATACCCATGCACATTCAAATATTTACAATTTCTGAAGCAGTAAATGGGCATTAAAACAAACACTCACTGACCTCTGGAGCTGCAGACACTGTGGGTGATTTACTAAAGGGGTAAAACATGTCAATGATGAGGTAAAGCTGTGCTGACTTCTCATTTCAATGCAGGCAAAAATACATGTATTTTATTTTATTTTTATTTCGGGTACGCTTTGCATTGTGAATTTTTACAATATTTTCTAAGGTAAGTGAAAAATCCAATGCAAAGCAAAACTTCACTTTGCAAAGTGAACATGTTCAACTCCTTTAGTAAATCAGCCACACTGTGTAGAAATTCATCCTTAAAATTCTGTGCTGAAGACAACCTCCCCCCACTTCCATGCCAAAAGTATCTAGGCTGGCCATACATTATACAATTTTCTCATTCATTTTCAATTATGTAGTGCAAGGACATGCCTGATTGCATACTAATTGAAAGTGTTTAATTTTGATCTCATATGATATGGTTTTGGTAAATCAAAAGGAACGTTGTACAAGAAAATTGTATAATGTATGGCCAGCCTTAGAAACCTTAATGTAAACACAGAGCAAATGATCAAGGAGGAGAGGTGGTGGAGTGCTCAGATCCAAGTTCACCTTTTAGACAAAAATAATGAATGCACAATTTTTTGCAGGTAAAAAAATGTGCATTTATTATTTTTGTCTACAGAGATTTCAGATTTGACAGATAGTATGGGGAAACTTTTCATTGTATTATCTGTCAGAGGGAGGGGTGGGAGGGGAGTGTGTGGCTGAAAATGGGTGGAACATGTAATGTTCCCAAAGGTGAACTTATCCTTTAAATTACTTCACGTCTTCTGCTGAGAACTTTGAGGAATTATTATTGCTCCACAGTGTCAGCAGCTAAAGAGGTTAGTGATTACTTTTTTTTTTAAAGCATATTGCTTAGTAAAATACATGAATAATTGAATGTCCATAGACAGACAAGTTTCACTTTAAATAGATCATTTAATATAAAAAACATATTTTGAAAAGGAAAGCTAATATTTAAAATGGTGAGTAATATGCCCTAGTTTAGAATTTCAGCTGAGCCAAAAAAAGAAAAAGGGGGAAGTTGCACTTTACAGTAAGGTAAATATGCACGCACTAATGTACCCAGCATAATAATGAAGTCTGTTTTTCCTGTTTTAGCGTCTACCTTTACCTCTATATCAGATAAACTGTGATGGATTACATACCTCATAATCTATGGAGATCCCATTAGGCCAGCTGATACTGACATCTACCAGGATGATCCTCCCACTGCCATCAAGATAGGACCTCTCAATTCTAGGGAACTGACCCCATTCTGTCCAGAACAGATAACTGCAGGCAACAGATAAAAACATAGAAGAAGAGCAGGTAAGAAGGCAGACATAGAACTCCTGCTGTACCTCCGATAAAATGTAATTTCTTGCAAACCACCACAAGGCCATGATTTAATTTACCCTTTTCAACTGTTTCCTGTGCTTTTTCAGTCTACAGTGAATACATTAATTCACATATCTCTATTGCTTTTCACAGCTTTCTATTGATGCAAAGACACATACTAACATTAGATGGGCTATCTGAATTATTAGATTGGCCTTTGGAATTCCACCTGGGGAAGATAATTCAACTGAATCAGATTGCCTGTGTATGCATGCTAATGTTCAAGCAGGAGGGAGATTAGTCAAATTAAACCCACTAACAGCAGTATGTCAGAGAAAAATATTCGTCAGGTAAACATAAATTACACAAAATGCTAGTTTCCTCAGCAACGATTAGCCAGAGATGTTTGGATCCATCAACAGACATGTAGATATGGTCACTTGATCTGGACAAAATCATTACAAGAAAGAATTGTCCAATCTCTACAAGTACATTATGAAAACAATACAAATGGTACATCACAACAACACTTATGTGCTCATTCATGATTATTACCCTTTTGCAGGGTGAACAGTGATGGCTCTTGGCTTGTCCAGTCCCTTGGATATCACAACATAGCGGAAGGAGCCATTCAGACGAGCAACCTCAATGACATCAAAACCCTGATCAGTCCAATAGATATTACCTGAGAAGAGACCAATAGTAACAGGCAGATGAAAAAAACCCACAAAAACAGCAGTTGAAAAAGAAAAAAAAAAAAAAAACCACACAAATCCACCAATGCATTTAAAATCAAACCTTTGGTGCTACTTTCGTTCATATGTATCCAGGCTCACCATAAAGGAAGATACAAATATAAAGGCTCTAACAGATTTTCCAATACTAAAACGAGTACAGGGAACAAAGCAAGGCATATATTTCTGTAATCTATCTTACAGGTTGGAAAAGAAAAAAATAGGCAAATCAATACTACAGAATCCAGGTTGCTGCCAAACATCCTGCCTGCTATTTGTATTGCTAGTAAATGATGTCACATCCGTAACACACACAGCAAGCCTGCTGCATCCAGCAAGCATTTGTTATTAGGATTTCGATGCACACTAGGATCCAATTCAGGTAAAGACAAAATACAAAAAGAAAATGCAGAAGTTATCTTCAGTGAAAATCATTTCATAATGAACAACAGATCCACAGATAAATGCAACTGAAGATGAAGACAAATTCTGAAACACAACCCTTTTACCTCTACTAGGAGCCCCTACTAAACAAAAAAGGGACTCTGTAACATTAAGCTCCCACTCACACTTGAGTGCATTTCTGCTTGTTTCTCTACACCTGACTATGTCTTACTACATCCAACGATGCAGAATCCCGTTCTAACTGTGCCTGTTCACAGTTGCACTGCGCTCTATGCCCTACGCTCAAAAATGTAAATGAGCTTTTTTTTTTAACCTATTCAGGCCTTTTTAATAACATATATTTTAATGGGAATGCCTGTAAATGTGATAAACACAAACTGTTGCATGCACTTTTACGCCTGAAGAGAGTTTTTCTCATTGGGTAGAACTGCTCTCCTCCCGTTGTGCAGCCCAGGAAACAAGCTCCTAACACTTGACACATGCAAAAATTACTACAAAGCTCCTATAATACACTTGAAATACATCTGTAAAATACCTGAAAAAAACTCTTCAAAATCACTAGGAACATTCAGGTATGAATACAGGCTATAAAGACAGGTTGAAAGGTTGAGAAGGTGGGCCAAGCTTATTCCTACATCTACTGATGACAATACTACAATCTGCCTTTCTCTGAACACTACCACTGCCCAGGTTTGTGTCGGAGTTTTATGCTTTTCCAGGCAATAAATAAAGTGCTATCCAGAAAACAATGTAGTGTTAAAGGCAGAAAGTCCACTCAGTTTACTTAACTTGTGTGCAATGTAATGCACTACAGCTACATGAACAGCTCACTAGGGGGACAGGAGGGTTCACTTCCTGAAACCTTCACCATGTAACTTTTCCAACACTGCCTGAAGTTTTTCAAAGGGAAGTGACCAATTATATTCAAACATCCAAGAACAGTAAGTGTCAAAGAAATCAGGCTTTCTGTATGTGAGCGAGAGCAAGGGCCTCCAGTGGACATTTGGGGAATATTTCACCTATGTTACAAACAGGTTAGCAAAGGTGAACCCATTTACAGGTCTGATTTATAGTTCTATCTAGAGCAGTGGTTCTTAACCTGGGTTCGATCGAACCCCAGGGGTTCAGTGAGTCAGTCTCACGGGTTCGGCAGAGGTGAAGACCCACACCCGACTCATATGATTCGTGCAGTAAATATTCATTATTATGTTTTTGTTTTTGTGTGAAAATCATGTTTTAATGGTTTTGTTCTTTGTTCTTAACGGTTTTGTTCATTTTGTGCACCTATGTATAAATATATACCTATGTTTTGAATTTTAAAAATCATATTTTATTTTTCCAATTAAGAAGGGTTCGGTGAATGCGCATATGAAACTGGTGGGGTTCAGTACCTCCAACAAGGTTAAGAACCACTGATCTAGAGTGAACCTTTATTGCATGCTTCGCTTTTTATTTTCCTATTATGCACACTCATTTTCTATATACAGGTTACTATCTGAAATTCTACTAACGCCAACCTAAAAATGCAATGCAGAATTATACGAAACAAAATAATACAGTAAGTAGAAAAGCAGTCCCTTCAGTCTTACCAGCTATCCAGTCTACAGCAATGCCTTCAACTCTGCCAATGCCATTAGTAATAACATCTTCTCGCCAGGTCTGGTCTCGCTTGGCTCGACTGATGGTGCTGAGCCCCATGTCCACCCAGTAGATAGTGTCATTTTCTGGACAAATATCAGGGATAAATGTTTGCTGTTTTTTCATATGTTTTTATATTTATTACATGACAGATGATTCCCAGACAGATACAATGTGCCCAATTCATGAAGGAGAGTGGATATTGCAATCCACTCTTCTTTGGACACTGCAGATTTTACACTATAAAATGCATTTGATTAGCAATTTATCAAATTCAGCCATGGTGTGGAACCTGCAGTGTTTTACAGATTAACTGCTTATTGCTGTAAACACTAACTTGGCTCTCGGTCTCTTGGCTTTTTCTTTTCACATGTAAGCTCCAAGGAGCAGGGCCCTCCTTTCCCTCTTGTATTGAACTGTATTGTTGCTGTATTGTCTACCGTTATATTGTAAAGCGCTGAGCAAACTGTTGGCGCTATATAAATCCTGTATAATAATAAATGGCTCTCCACCCACTTTGAGGCACTGGTGCACTCTATAAGTGTGCATTTTATTTTCAAAGTAGTGGTATGGCAACAGTAAGGCAAACCCATTGTTTTTTTTAAATGGGGCACTAAAGAGGACATCAGTACCCTCCCTTTCAGGTAATGTTGTTTCTCTTGAAAACTCAGATAGAGAAGTTCTGGAGGAAGCAGAAATAAGAGGGAGGAGTAACTGCTTATTCCCATGTGGTAATTTCAATTTGAGCTATTGTGCTCGGTATCTAATTGGATTTTTAAAACAGAGGGGCAAAGGAGAGTACAAAGCATTAATATGTAATATTTCATATTTAGCTAAATACAAAATATGTATATGGTTATTGTTCAGGGATATGAAAAATACATGGTGTTGAATAAAACACTCCTCATGTAGAGTAGTGCAAAATTCTATACGTTCTTGCCACACTATACTTTTCAGAAAATTTGCTAGAAAGACATATTATTCAAAACCAGTGGGAGTGGTAAAGCTAAGCTTCAAGCCACATTAAAAATGACAGGAAATAGCCTAAATAGTGCCAACATTATTATATGAAAATACAACTACAATAAAACTTGTTTCTTCTTATTAAAAAGTATTTGTTTGAGCCTCAGCTGTTCAGGGACACATGGGGGGTGGTAAAGAAGGTGTTCAATTTGGTGGCAATTTGCATTAGCATTTGCTGCTTCTGTTATTGCTGATGAGTCACTCATAAGTAGAGAGCTAAGAACTGGGAGTGTTTCTCATACGAGTAACTTAAAGCAATGCATTTGGGAACTAGATATTCATAATGTAGCATAAGATAATATAAAAAGCAGTCACTCAGCTGCCACACCTACAAATAAGGACTGTTACTCTCAACAAAGTGCTGTTATTTTTCTGAACATAGTTGGCTTATAACAGCAACTCTTCTATGTACAGTATACTGGGAAACTCTTATTGCGGGTATGTTTTCTATAAGCATATAGAGTTTTGCTTTAAACACTGTTTGATTGCAGCTATCAAAATGATTTTATCACATAAATGACAGGAAGTCAGCAATGAGTTTTCATTTATTATAACAATTAACCCTATTTTACTGCGCCTGGCGTTGAGCCCGGTTGGTTGTACAGTTTGTAGGTTCAACGATTTACTGCTTTAGTGGATCAAGTTTAATATCTAACCTCTTAATATCATAGCTAGTGCTGTAACGATGACCAAGAATGGTTTATGGAGTGTTTCATCCAGTGCCCTGACTCCTAGGACAGGAATATAACTCACTGTCTATGCATTCTTACTTTTTGAACAAAAAACACTTTTGGTTGTTAAAAATGAGCCCTCTTTTGAAAGAAAATGCAATTGCAAATGATGTGGAGAGGTGAATGAGAAGCATGGTTAGAGAAATGTATTTAAAGTGTAGAACGTATGAAGGTAAGCCATTCTCACCTGCATGGAAATCCATTCCAACTGCCAGGGATGTGCCAGAAACAGGAACCAAAGCATCAGATTTGTCTTGTGGATCCAAAGGAATTCCTCGTATGCCTTCATGCACAGAGTACAGCAAGAAGGAACCAACACCTGCAAGAGACAAAGCACTATACATTACAGGGGGCTCACCACAAGACTAGAAACACAGGCAGTGGTAAAATGCAGACACACAGCAGCGGGTTTTGCAAATATGTAATGTACTCCACTTGCACTGGAGATCCAAGGAAGTGGCATCACATTGAAATGAATGAAGAAAAACATGTTTGGAGGAGGAGAGCCTGGTTACATGACCTGTCAAAGTACTGTATTGTGACCAGCCCCTTCTTCAATCACAATGCTCTTTTGGCACTGTAAAGCAGGCACTTCATCGCAGTCTGGATTTTTTTAATGTAATGTAAAATGTAGGCTGCAAAGTAACATTTTGATGTTCAGTGAAGAGCAGTGTTTACTTTCTATAAATAAGGGCCTTTGAATACGACAGAAACAGGAGACTCACCCTCACAGGTCTGTTGCCCACTCCTAAGGCTGTATCCTGCAGTGCACATACATGATCTTGTGGTAGCAGAGGTTGGGAGGCATAGCTGAGAGCAATCTCCATTATTAACTGAACAATTGTTTGTGCCTAAAAAAAAAAAAAAGTGAGTTTCTGAAACAGATTCATATTTTATTTTATTGCATTTCCAAATGGCAGCCCTAATAGCGGTTTTGATGTCATTTTATGAAATTATATTCCAAATTCCACTCTTCCATGTTACACTGGGTTGGGTGAATGGATGGGAAAGTGTATTTATCGTCAGCAAAGAGAACAGTTTCATAGTGGCAGTAAAAAAAACAAAAAAAAACAAAAAAAAAAATAATTTGGCATATTTACATATTATTGTCAATTTACTAAAGCATATTGTATGTAGTATTTTGATTACCATGCTTTAGTCACTCATTTTAACAAAAGCACATTTTCAATTCACTGAGGGTTTAAATCTCATAAATCTGCTGAATTTACTGCATACAATTTAAAATATGTAAAACTCAATTGCACAGGTTGTTGCTCCTAAAACTAAAGATTCTTGTCAATGTTAGTATAAGCCACAAGTTTCTTTGAAGTGTTTCCTTCAAAGAACATATATACTCCAACGCAATACAAAAGAGGTTTTCAGATTTTCAATTTACAAGCTACATTGCTATTTTCTATAACAAAATTATCATGAACTAAAAAACAAAGGCACATAACTAATGTTTTTTGTGATGACATCATTGTTCTTTAACTTCAGTGAATACATTTACTTTTATAGGATCTCCTACCTTTCTGTATCTCTTCATCATACACCTTCATATGCATGACCTGGTTCGTGCTATATCGTAGAACTTTTGGATCTGACCCATCCTTTTTATTACATGTCCCCATTTTGTCATATGCATGGTCTGCCCACCACAGTTTGTCACCTAAGTGAAATAAAAAATATTCCATCAGCCTTGCTATGTAACTGACAGAACGCAGAATAAACAAAAGGTGAAAAAATGTCTGAATTTGACTTGTATCTCTGGGAAACATGTCCACTAAAGTTTGCTAAAATTTTTCCCTGACAACAGAATACAGGTCTACTACAAAGGAGATTAGACTTGTTTGACAGAATTGGTGTTAATGACAGTGGTTTTAGTGGCAATTATATCAGTCTATAAAATTCATACAGAAGGCAGGACAGAGACTAGATCCACTACCGTGTATTTTAATTCTTTAAGAAAGTTGTCCTTTCTGCAGTTAATATTTTTCTTTATAAATAACATTCAAGCATTGGCATTGTGCTTTGATAAAAAGTAACTAGCCAGGAGCTCAAAATCACTAGGGTATGCACATTAGAGGACACAAAGTAGAGTCAAATCTTTGCAAACCCTACAAAAAGAATTCCACCTTCCCATCCATGAAACCTTTCATAACTTACAGGTAAAACATATTCTGATGCATGCACCTAAAGTGTTGGACCTCCCATGCGCTCTCATATTTTGAACAGAGCTCCTTAAGAGACACAAACGTCAGGCTTCATTTCTTCACTGTACTCCATCATAATTATTAGCCTGTCTATATAACCTCCTTCATACACACATACAGTAAGTGAACAGCTGACCTCAATATCATTCATAAAGAAGACGATTGGGATCAAATTTGGGAAGCAACAAAATTCTAAGTGAAGCAACACTGGAAATGTACTACAAATCTAGTCTATCTAGTCGCTGCCAGGATACACAAGTTTGTCCCTAATTGCCTATCCTCTTGCTTTCAATGCTGCTCAAAACTTGTATTCCATGTGCATATGTGGTGGTCTAGTAGCTGAAGCTATTTGGAACAAAACATTTGAAGTCTTGACCAGCCGACCGGGCAAAAAGGTCCCAAAATGACCTCATGTTGGTGGTCTTTAATAAACAGCCTCCAGATATCCCCAATGAACAATGTAGACTTCAACTCTGAGCACTCACAGCATACATACTATAGTCAAGGCCAGAAAAAAAAACAAGCTTGTGCCTAGACAAAACTAAAACAGGATTACACATTCTAAAAATAGGACTCACAAAAAATTTAAGGCAACACTGGAGAATAAACCTTCCAGATATAACAATGTTTGGCAACTCTGGTTAGATAAATAAATACATGCCGTCAAGCCTCAATACAGCAACAAATACATTTACAATGATTATACTCTGTCACACTTATCATGTACCTAGCAAGTTGCTTTAACTATATAAATGTACTCTGTTATTGTACGCTTCCCTAAAATGGAGTAAAAACTTTGGAAAAAAAACATAATTTACCCATAATAGCCAGGGCTGTTGCCTTTCCCAAATAGGATTTCATGGTAAACAGATCATCCCGTCCTTTGCCATTGAGATTACATCTGTTAATTGTACCTGTGCCAGAATTGATCCAGTACAACTTTTTGTCAATATAATCAATGGATAAGCCTGCAGGGAAGCAATGAAAGCAATATAGAGTTAAAACAAATAACATTCACCACAAATGTACTCTACTCTCTAAAATGGTTAATTTTTTTTGCTCCACAAGGTGGTTTGTGCAATTGTTTAGCATTCAGGTGCATGAAGACAATCTGTGTAGTGGGTTAGAGCTTCACCTTAATGACAGCCCCCACAGCAGCTTATATGTAAGCATTTCTTCTCTACTCTGCTGCTTTGCTTGCTATCAGGAGCAGCGAGAGGAGGGCACTAGGAGTGTACACAGGACTGAGCCCTTTCTCCTCACCCCCATGTGACAGTGCTTGTCACTGATAAAAAAAAAAAAAAAAAAAAGGAGTGAGTCACGTATCCCATGCCCCAAATACCTGGTATTTCTCTTCCTTTCATCAGCTAAACTCAGGAAATTCTGAATGTCTCCCTAGAGTCAGGGGAGTGTACATGACTTAGGCACAACAGATGCCATCAGCCCATTGTAATAGTGAATGCTATGCTCCTCAAAACCCTTCTACCCCAACTTATCTACAATAAGCAAACCAACACCAATTTGGAGTAATGTGTGGCCATTTATTAACAAATAACCAATACAAACATTCCTTAACTGCCTCCCACCCGCCATATAGTAAAATGACAGATGCAAGGCGGTTCTCTCATTCTGCGAGGACGTCATATGACGTCCTCCCATTCTAACCGCGCAGTGCGGCGATTGGCGGTGCGCTGCGTCCCTCGGACACAGCAGATCACCGATCCACGGAAAGAGATGAAGATGTCGGCTCGGTCATGTGATCAGCTGTGTCCAATCACAGCTGATCACATGTAAACGGGGAAATGCCAGTTATCGGCATTTCTCTCCTCACGAGCTGTCATGCTGACAGCTCGAGAGGAGAGGAGAGCCAGTAATTGGCATTCCTCAGAGGGGACATGTACACAGATCATCAGAGCACTGATGATCAGTGTGCCCTGATGATCTGTGTAGCCCCAGCAGTACCACCTGTCAGTGTCCATCACTGCCAGCTGTCAGTGCTCATCCATGCCACCTGCCAGTGCCCATCAGTGCCACATTTCAGTGTTCATCTGAGCTGCCTTTCAGTGTCACCCATCAGTGCCAGTCAGTGCCACCTATCAATGCCAGTCAGTGCCACCTATCAGTGCTGCCAATCAGTGCCAGTCAGTGCCGCCTATCAGTGTGCGTCAGTGCCACCTATCAGTGCCATATATGAGTGCTGCCTTTCAGTGCTCATCAGTGATGTCTGTCAATGCCCATCAGTGCCACCTACCAGTGCCTCCTCATCTGTGCCCATCAGTGCCACCTATCAGTGTCCATCACTACAGTCTCATTAGCGCACATCAGTGAAGGAGAAAAAATCACTTATTTACAAAATTTTATAACAAAAACTAAGAAAAAAAACTTTTTTTTCAAAATTTTCAGTGGTTTTTGGTTTAAGAAAAAATAAAAAACGCAGAAGTGATTAAATACCACCAAAATAAAGCTCTATCTGTCACAAAAAAAAAAATTATAAAAATTTCATATGGTTACAGTGTTGCATGACCGCGCAATTGTCATTTAAAGTGTGACAGCACTGAGAGCTGGAAATTGTCCTGGGCAGGTAGGGGGTATAAGTGCCCTGTAGGCTAGTGGTTAAAACAGAAATAATAATAATAATAATAACCTTAAGGTTGCCGATCTTTGGAGGCACAAAAGTAACAAACAAGCACTTTATATCTGTGTAACTACCTAAACGTCCCCAGCCACACCACACCAGCTCAGGGACAATCCCATCTCTATGCAGATACCTCTCTGTTCAAATGCCCAGTTAACCCACCATTAACTGGTATTCCACAGGGGACGCCATACCTTGGATGGGTCCCTAATATGATACATATCCCAGCACATTTTAAATGCCTCTGAAGAACCCAACTGCCAGACCACTATAACCACCAAAGAGAATTAATCCAATGCAGGGTGGGAGAGGGGCACATTTTTCCTCATTGGCTGCTTCAAACTGCCTGGAACTTTCCAAATCCTATCTTGATGACCCCACCCCCTACAGCCCCTAATTTCTCCACAAATCACCAACCTCTGTAAGCGCCTCACATTTCTTGTTTTTAAAGTTAAATCTCTCTCTCTGATTCCCCTGTTTTCCTAGTCATGTTAGCTCTTCACTTATTTTATTTGTCCTTCAGGCTTGTCTGACAGAAAAAGAGTACAAACTGCTGCAGTAACTGTCATTAAAATAAAACTTTTTCTTTAAAGCAGCACAGTAGCTAAATGGTTAGCACTTCCACCTGGCAGTACTAGGGTTGTTGGTTCGAATCCCAACCACGGCATCACCTGCCTGGAGTTTGCATGTTCTCCCTGTGTCTGCGTGGGTTTCCTCAGGGTACTCTGGTTTCCTCCCACACTCCAAAAACATGCTGGTAGGTTAATTGGATCCTGTCTAAATTGGCCCTAGTATGTGTATGTATGAATGTGAGTTAGGGACCTTAGATTGTACGCCCCTTGAGGGTTAGGGACTGATGTGAATGTACAATATATATGTAAAGCGCTGCGTAAATTGACGGCGCTATATAAGCACCTGAAATAAATAAATAAAGCTTAATTCCACACAATCTGCTAAATACACAAAATAAATAAATATAAGGGACCTGGTTACGTGTCCAAGCATTTGTATATCAGTCCAGCAAGTCCTGATTTTCACACAGTCCTGCTGACAGCACAGGAAGGCTGGTGACATGCATTTTCCCTGCTGTAGTTAAGCAAAAAGCTATGTCACCACCTGACCCCAGCCTGCTATTGGACAGAGAAGGAGCAGAAATAGATCTCCTCCCTGTTCACTCTGCTTTCTCTTCCTGCCAGCATGTTTTAAATCATAACATGTTCATGAAAGACAGCCTGTTTATGTCATAGTGCTGCTCCTTCCTCTTCCAGCCTCAGTGTCACTGTACAAGGGAATACAAGAAGCTGATACAAAGGTAAATTCATGTACTTACACTAGCTGCACTTACAGTACATTTACAAACTGCATTTACAGGTATACTGTAGGTGTTTTTATATCTGCCTATTGCATATTTTCAATAAACTCTAACATGCTTCCAGTGCTGTATATTTTTTGCAAATGTGTAGGTCAGACAATTAACAATTTTGATGGAGACCCACAAGAAAGAACCGGATAAATCACCTCCTAGAGGGTATGGTGTTTTCACTAAAGTCTTTTGAGAGATTTTTCTTGAGATATAACAGCAGAAGCAGCACATCACTGTACAGCAATAATAAGCACTAATTAGTAAGGAACAAAGGCTTCCATGCAAATATGTAATTATGTCAGTATATAAACAGAAAAGGTGTTAAAGCCATTAACACTTTCTGCTGAATATATTTATATAAAGATCTTCACACTTAAAGCATTAAAATAAATAATACAGGCACCCTCTCAATATGACCATCAGTGATTGGTTTTCCAACTGCAATCTGACCATCAAAAGATCTTTCTATAACTATCCAAGTGTGCATACGGGGGTTGGACAAAAATATGGAAACACTACATGATTTGCAGGTGTGAAAGTGTTGACATGTTTTGCGTTGAAAGCGGAAGTGATGTAACATTCTTCTGCTTCTGCTGTTTGATGAGACACCTAGCTAACAGGTGGGAAGTTTCACTTGCGTCATTCACTGCATGCACTGCTAATAATTCAGAGTCATGTCAGGGCTTTACAAAGTTTCAAATTGGAAAGATTATTGGTGCTCACTTAGCTGGTGTCTCTGTGACTAAAGGTGCCGTGCGATGCACAGTGTGAAAGGTTATGACGGCATATATAGTTTCCAAGAAAACATCATCTGATAAAACATAAGTGCGGTCAACATGGTCAACTGACTGAAAGAGACACAAAGTACATTGACCAGGATTGTGACCAGAAATAAGAAAACAATTGCTGCAAAAGTGACTGCACAGCTCAATCTCAGTTTTCCAAAGCCCCTGTCCACAAAAACTGTGTGGAGGGAACTCCATCAGCAAAACATTCATGGGCGAGCTACAACTGCCAAACCACTAGTGACTGATATTAATGCTCAAAAGAGGATAAAGTGGTGCAATGCCCATTTATCGTGGACTGTCAATCAAGGGAATACTGTAATATGGTCTGATGAATCGAGCTTCACACTCTTCCCCAGCACTGGACGTGTTTCCGTCTGGTAAACACTGTACCAAGCTTATGATTAGGACAGTCTTGTGCCAATGGTACAGTATGGTGGCAGTGCAATCTTGGTTTGGACAGCCATATCTTGGTATTCTGCAGGTCCCATCATCACCTTGAAAGGTAGAGTTACTGCCAGCGACTATGTACAAATTTTGGCTGGCCATGTGCACACCATGGTGCAGACATTGTTTCACAAAAACAGCACCATTTACCAAGATGATAATGCTCCCATTCACACAGCTGGTGATGTCAAATTGGGGTTTGACAAGCATTCAGACGAAGTCTTGCACCTTCCCATGGCGCTGTAATTGCAGGACCTCAATATCATAAAGCCACTATGGTCAATTTTGGAGAACAAGGCTAGTTTTCCACCTTTGGCATCTCTGCGAGAAAGTGAATGACTTTCGCATGAATAATGGTATCAAATTCCATTATCATCCATCCAAAACCTAGGTTTGTCAATTCCCAGGAGAATTCAGGCCATCTTGGATGCCAAAGGCAATCCAACACCATATTAGATAACGACTTTGTTCTTTTACCTGGTATTTCCATAATTTTGTCCAACCTCTGTATGTACGTCTTTACCAGCCAAACATTTCCAGCAACCAGACATTTTTTCATCTCAGGTACATACATCCAAAAGGTGTCTGATGTTGTTGAAGTGTTCATAGAAAGAAAATAATTTTAACTAACTGGATCACGTGATGTTCATCCTTTTGTCAAGGGACAAGAAATCACGTTTTCTAATACTGTTGGTGAAGTGCAGACAATTTGTGATGCCTTCAAGATTCTGCACTTATTTTCAACTCAGTTCCATCAAAGAGGATGCCTCCAAGTCAAGAACACCACCAACCTGCCTCCATTCAACAGTCTAATGCCTGAACATCAGTGGCCAGTAGAAGTTCTGGCTATGGACAGCTAAAGTGCATGTTAATCGAATCACGGAAATCTGCAACATGTTCAAGTCATTTTAAAAAGTTTAAATGTTTAATTTTCAGTAAAGTGATACTTGGTGATCCAGTCATGAAGGTCCTTGTGTGACTTTGCCCCAGCACATGCTTTCCTAACGGAGTACAAAAAGGGCTATGAAAAACTGCACAGGCAAGTTCCACATGCAGAAATTATCTGCATGAAAGTAGACAGGAAGTGACTGCAAATATGCATCAGGAGACCAGCAATGCTGATATGCACCACACAATGAAAAAAAAAAAAAGATAAAAACAGTATTGTATTTAAAAAAAAAAGGCAATTGTTTATGATACACCATGCTTTACTCATACTGAATGCAATTTACCTAGAGTTACATGTACTTTTATGACAGGTTGCCTTAACACATCACAATGCTGTCAAAAGGCCCAAAATGTAATACAAAAAAGTAGCACAGACAAATATTTAAAAGCAGTTGTATGCTCTGGCCAGCTGTAAAATCTAAACCCATTCTAGTGAGAAGTTATGGCAGCAGATGTTGCATTAAATCTGACCACATGTGAGAGCAGAAAGCACACAAGCGTGGATAAGGTAGTTCTATTCGATGAAAATCTCTTACCAACTGGTTTCTTCTGATCAGTGAACAGGACTTGGCGCTCTGTGCCATCCATGTTTGCCATGCTGATATTGTCACCATCTGTCCAATACATCTTCCTAGAAAAAAACAAACTGAATATTAAAGTTCTGACTAACTGTAGCATGTGCCCAGTGCAAGACGCGCTTCACCCCGAGGCAATCACCTCACATGAACCCATCACAAGTTAAAGCCACTGCTAAAAATTCAGGGATATGGGTATTCTTTACAGAACGATTGGAGGCAGCAAAATGATGCCTTCTTATATGAAGTTGATGAAACTACTAGGAAACAGAGATATGACTGAAGCTGTAGTATATGGCATTGTGGCTCATTATATTATTATAAGGGCACATTCAATAAATACATTGCATACAGCAATAAAAAAGTACAAACTGCAGTAACTGATATAAATGGTGCTGAGTGGCTGCTATACCTTGATCAACTCCTACCCTACCTGATTCATCTAACTATGGTTAAAGTATAACTAAAGAAAAAACTTTTTTTTTTTTAATTTTGGATAGAGTGGAGATGGATTAGAACACCTGTCAATTTTTACACACCCACCATTATCACTGAAAGTAGAAGTGAAAGAAAATACCAAATTTTGAGTTGATATGTAATAGAGGGTAAATCTGCAAATGGGGACACTAGCTCTGGTGACCTGGGGGGGTTAATTTTCAGGGATTCCTCTCACTTCCTGTTTGACTATGGGACAGGAAGTGACAGTAAATCTCCCCAATGGAACTCTATGCAAAATGAAAAAAAAAAAACGTTTTGCCTATAGTTTGACTTCAAACCTATGAAGTCTAAGATAAGCAAGTGTCAGGTTTAAGCTTTGTAGATAGGAAGACATTTCCCCATGCTGAACAAATGGGGAATACACATAATGCAGGTATGACAAGAGAAGCAACCAACCTGAGAACTGCCTTCAGCAACCACTCCATATATTTCAAGGGAGACCGGCTAAACTGGTGGTGGCAGCAATAAACCATACATAAAACAGAGACAGCCAGGAACAACGCAAGCGAGTTTATCCTGCATATTTATTCAGCAAGGCAGCAATTTCAATGCAGAAAGGTTTTATACAGCAACTCTGTAGCATAAAACAAATGCTCTGTTCACATAAGCCACAAACTAAACTTGGGTCAATTCCTGTCTAACAGGGTATCCCCTTAATAGGTTTCTTACAATAAGTAGCACATGTAGCTTTTCAGTCTTTTGTCAGAAGTCAGCCTTTTCACCCAGCAGCAGGCCCTCACAGCTGAGAGAGAATAAAAGAGAGACCTGAGCATCAGTCAGCTCACATATATAAAGGTCTGTGGATGGCTAAGACTAATAATAAGCTCCATCTAACAGGTAAAAAGTGGACCCAGGAATTGTGTTTTTTTCCCCACTCTGAGCTCTACAAAGCCTCCAGGCTCCAGGACTCAGGATGGAACTTATACTTATTAACGTGATAAGGGCAGTCACCATTTCAAAGTGCTGAAACAATGGGAGATGTTATACAGAATGATGCATCTAATGTTAGGTTCTCTTGTACATTTACCACATGGAATGTATTACAATTCAAGTGCAACAATTGCAGCAATTACTCAGTACTTCTGACTATATCTGTGGTTAGACTAGATCATCCTTTCTCAACCAGGGTGCAGTCATGCTTTTTTGCCCAAAAAAACTGCCCAAAAATTGTATACTAGCCAGTGGGTGGATCACGCCTGCCTTTTAGTTACACAAAGCCATAGGTTTTCATTGTGCACTTTTACAACCTGCCAGTTGCCAGCATCATAACAACCAATTACATCATTAGTTGATAAGTAGGATGTCGGGTGCCTGCACAGCATCCTTGTTTGACACCTTTCCATCAGCACTGGAGTCAAATTAGCTGAGTGAGAGAGAGGAATTGAGGGAAAAAAGGTTGAGAAACACTGGACTAGATATTCTGTGGGGTATTCAGTTCTTTCAGCTGCATTCTAAGATAGAAGAGAGTCAACGTTGCTCTGCAATTTGCTAGTAAAACAATGTGTACTGATAAGTTTATAATCTATGGCTAAATACAGAGGGCCAGCACCATGACAGCAGTCACAAAGAGGTTTACTTGGTGACTTTCATGCATTAAACTACACATGCAGGAAAAAAAACCCAAAACATAAAACACCGATACAAATTGACCTTAGCCCTAATTCACAACAGAGGATTTAGTATCTTAAAGTTACAATCAAAATCTCATTCTCCCAGCCTAAATACACCTGAAAAAAAACACACTAAGCACAGAAAAAGACACTTCAAAAGCAGTTGTGAATGCAGCCTTAGGTATTGGTCATAATTTAACCTACACACTCTTCACAATCAGAAAAAAAATGAAGAAGATACATGAAAATATACATATAATGTAAACAGAAAATTTTCTATGTGCATGTGTGATAGGTAAATTATGGGACATTGCTCTCAACATTTTTGGATATTTACAGTAACACTTTAGAGCTAATCTGGAGATTTAAAACACACTTAAAAACATTGTTCCTGAAAAGTCTCCCATCACACAGTGAATTGTGGTGTACTGTTTATATACATAATAATATACAAAAAGGTGCAGCGCTAAAACACAAATAAATAAATGTATATACATATACGTATAGTCATAGGGTTTTGGCTATGACTATGACTAAGAGCATTCGCTCGAAACGCGTCAGTGTCAGGCTGCAGCTGTTTGACGCTAATACCGCCGGCACCACGAGGGGTCCCGGCGGCAACTTTATATCGGGTCAGTACTTCATTTTATTCCTTGCTTTGTACCTATGAGTATCTGTTTGTGAGTGGGAATAAACATCCTAAGACATACTGCACTACTGGCCTCCTCTGTTTCTTCTGAGCTCCTGTGGGAGCCGGTTACATTTACAGAGTGGTCATCACCTAATGAGAAGGCTGAGTGCAAAGCGTGGGATAGCGAAGGGGACTTGACCAGACCTCTGATGAGATATTTGAAGTCTCTATATTATATAAAAGCGCACAAAGGTTGCGCATCTGGTGAGTGCGTAATCTGTACCCTAATTGTTTCACCGTGTGCACAGTCTGTGTCGTTTGGAAATCAACAGATCGGTTGAGATCTTGCTCACACTTTCACGTTGGACTTATTCTTGGATATAGCAATTTTCCTCACGTTATAACAGCCACAAATCTGGTGGCATATATATGAGTGCACAGTGTCACTTTATATCTTTGTATGATCTTATGTACGTGTATATACGTTTATTTATTTGTTTTTTAGCGCTGCACCTTTTTGTATATTATTGTCTATTAGAAGGTCTTATATGGTGCCTTTGGTGTACAGCTGCTGCTATCTAGAAGGCGCTTACTTATTTACACATTTTTAGTGTTTATATACATACTCATGCTTCAACACATGCTAGATGTGATACTAAACTGTGGCCATTAAAAGCCAAGTGATAATGATGCAGGGAGCAATCACCATCTCATCGGCACCGCTGAGTATTTATATCTAACTAGGTGAAGGAAATGTTACGGACAAACAGGTTGTACTGTCCCATTAGATAATAGATATTATTGTATGTTTTGTCTGCTCAGATACAGACTCAACATACTGTGTGCCACTGTGTGTATGCAAAATATCAACATTAATAAGTCCATAATGTCCAATTCTGTTACAAAGGAGGCTACATTTACTATAATGTAGGGATGTACAAGTACCGATACGTAAAGTCAAGTACTCACCGAAACAGAGTATCGATTGTTTGTGGTGTGATTTGAGTTAATGGATGGTGCTGACCAATCAGATGCTGTCTAGCCCGAACTGTCATCGTTGCAAGGAGAGGAAACAAAGTGGCAGGGATTTCAAATCCCCACCGCTTTCTCTCCTCTCATACCACTGACATTTAGCATGGGATGCCTGCAGGGAGGTTTCCTGCACTGCTCCTGTGTAAACTCGGGCTATAACAAGCAAATAATCGAACTACACAGTGTGCAGATAGGAGCTGTCTGTATAAGAATCGATCAGAAGGGCTACAGGGGAGAGTAGGAGTTAAGGGCTTAATTTAGGGTTAAATAAATGTGTCCACATTTATGGTAATTGCTAAAGTGTATATAAAGTCAAAACTTTATAAACTAGGGGTAAAATCTACGCCAGACTTATTTCTGTCAATGTCCACAATAGGGAGACATCTCTCTCCATGTGTGTTCTAGCGACTATTGTCACCAGCACTAAAAATAAGGCAATAGCCTATATTTTGAGTTATCACCAGGACAGGAATATTGGCAAAATCTGATGGGGGCATCTGTTCCAATTACAACTGACTAAGAAGTGATTTCCTTTATTTTGGAGAGATCTGGTCTTACTTCCTATTTTGCCTACAGGACATGAAATGAAGGTATTTCTCCCAAAGAGGGCAACAAACCCTGACAAGTGTTAACATTTCCCTACTCTATCAAAAACAAAAATGTTTTGGCTTTAGATATACTTTAAGGATACCTTTCACGTTAGTGAATGTTAGCAGAGCTTCACTTTCTCTTGAAATCAGAAATCCAGCACTTAAAACTACCAGCGCCAAGCTCCCAGTGCTAAGCACCCAAGGCCAATAAAAGCCAAAAGGTTCTTTATCCAATTGGTATGCTCCTGCCAACAACAGAATAGTCTTGCTTAGTTTTGTTTGTTACCTTCTTCTCTCTAATAGTCTGAGACAAGTTCACTGAGTTTGTGATCAATTACTCATAGCTTTGGAGAAAAAGAACATGAAATGGCATTGCTCATCACCCCCACTTTCGTATTTCTGCCACAATAAATAGCAGATTCTGTTATCAAGAATGCAGATTGCTGCCCATTCATACAAACCTTTCATTGTTTATCAATAAAAAAAAGCATTCTCTTTCCCCGCATGCCTAGTGTGCACACCTATTCAGCCATCCAATAAGCCCAGCAGCTGTACTGCATTAATATCAGGTTCCCGCACGTTAGCTGGTGGCATACATACAGTTTCTTGCATGTTTGTTCAACATATTTCAATGTACTATGAATGTAGGAGGGTTAGGAAAAAAGAAAGTCTAAACCTCTATACAAAAAAAAAAAAAAAAAAAAAAAGCTTCTTAAGGGCAGCCAGAGAATTCTTGGATCTGTCCTGGGGTCTGCGTGACATTATCGCCATGTCTGATCCACCATTTCCTCACATTAAATTCCCGTAATGAACCCAACTCTCCCACACAGATGGCTTTGCTTATTTCTATATTACTGGAAACTGCTGTGGTCCACCCCCACGTGCAGGCCAGCCAGAGTGAAGAAAGAAAAAAAAAAGTCTGGACGGGAAGTTGTCACTTTCTCCTATATGCCACTACAGATATAAGTGTGTGTGTGTGTAAAAACAAAACTACTGGAACAGCCTCTGTGATCATTAACGTCATAAGAGCTTTACCCAGATTTTCTTTTTTAAATGACTGGAAAACTTACAATCCGGCAGTATCCAAACCACAAAATATGAGAGCTGTGCTCCAGATGCTCTTCTAGACTACTATGAATGGATGATGGAGACTGTAGTAAAAAACTGTAAGTCGACCAACTAATATCACTAAATAGATATCTAAATTTGCTACATAATTGTTATTATAGTTGCACTACAGTGGGATGAGGTGTTCAGGGTGGCTATTACTACTGTCACTACCAGTGCTTAAAAGAGAAGTATGGACTCTATATACAAAAAAAAATCAAATACTCACCTAGGTGGATGCAGCATCGATACAATGTTGCATCTGTCCACTCCTGGCTCTGCAATGTGAACTGAGCAATCAAACACCGCTGATCGCTCAGTTCTCCCCTCTGCTCGGAGCAGAGAGCTGTGACTGTCATTCTCAGGCTCTCTTCTCTGCCCTTCCACGCTCACTGGAGCACTGGGCTGTGGAGGGGGCAGGAGGGTCTGGCTCAGGCTCTCGGAGGATCGCTCTGAGACTGAGCCCGTTGCGGGTCCAGGCTTCTAGGTGGATCCCGACCAAATGGTCAGGATCTTTTAGGAGCCTGGACTGCCTCAGTGATGTCAGGTGACAACAGACAAGCACGCTGTCGGCTGGAAATGGGTCACAGAAGTGCAGAACAAACTGAACTCCTGTGATTCATAGGAGAAGTATTGCCAAAAAAAAGCTTTGGCTATGCTTGTCCTTTAAGTCTTTAGCTTGTCAATCAGAACCTGGCAATACATAATCATTCCCACTGCGCTTTCTGGATTGACAACACTGCGTCTGTTCTTGAAACCCCCCCCCCTACTGTAGACTGTAGTGTCTGGAAGACGGAGCACAAAAGACACAAATAAGGGATTTGGCTCAGGCAGGGGAGGAAAAGGAACGTTTTTTTTTTATTTACTTTATCAGACTTGTACATCACATAGTAAATGGATTTGGGATTTACACTTTCGATTGAGTGGCTAGAGGAAGAATTGCCTCATAACCCACTGTTCAGATACCAGACAGACACTGTTGCAGGAAAAAGTCTTTACATGGCAGCTGAATTAATAAAATGCAGCGGTAATGATGTTCATTATTCAATGTTCTCACCCCGCCCCCTCCACATGCGCACAGACACAAAGTAAATATCTGCAGGCTACAGATCTTGAAGTGTAGGAAAGTCCTTAAAAAAAATCACATAAGTGTAACATAAACAACTTCAAAATGTAGCCTGCACTACTCAGGGCTGTCATCTTTCAGCAGTTCTATGAGTTCAGCATTTCATAAAAGAGAGATTAAAATAACTGACAGAAGCAAGAAGAAACCTAGGCAAAGATCTTCGATTAAATTTGGGGACTATAAAGTAGACTGAGGTGAACAGACAAATTACTGCCCTTAAGGACTGCACTTCTACATGAAGTTCACATTTTAATATATCCTAAAGTACAACCAATAGCATTTTTTTTTAAATTTTGGATAGAGTAGAGAGAAATTAGAACACCTGTCAGTTTTTAATTATTGTTTGTGTCCCCGTCAGGAAATCACCCTATTTGCCAGATTACCATTATCATTGAAAGCAAAAGTAAAAGAAAATCCCAAATTTGGTTGTCCACACAAAAGTAATAGAGGGGAAATCTTCCAATGGGAACACTAATTCCCAAGTGATTCCGCTAATTTGCAGGTATTTCCTCTCGCTTTCTGTTTTAGCTATGGGACAGGAAGTGAAGGAAAAACCTTCCCAATGGGACACAGATGACAAAAAAAAAAACTGACAGGGTTTATAACCCTCCCTTATTCTATCCAGAATGAAAAAAAAGGTTTGCCTATTGTTCTACTTTAATGGATAGTATTAAGCAATGAAAAAGCATACCCTTCGAGTGGATTAACCACAAGGCAGTGTGGTTTATCCAAACCCTGAATGACTGCATTCTTGAATGATCCATCCAAACGAGCCACATTGATTTGCTTCTTATTGGCATCATAGCTTGTCCAGTAGAGATTACGGGACACCCAATCAACAGCCAGTCCATGGGCGTTAGGCAGATCTGAAAGTGTTATTCGAATAATAGATTTGTTAATTTGCGAGAAATTATTTAGCCATTACAAATATTCAACTTACAGCAAGCAAGCAGCTATCAAATTTACATTTAAACAAGGCTTGAAGTTCTTACCAGCAGACACAACAGTCTCCACGCCTGTGCCATTGATAAAAGCTCTCTTGATGGTCTGAGTACGGACGTCTGACCAGTAGATACGCTGTTCAAAGGCATCATAATCCACAACAGTGACATTGTCAATATCCGGGACAGTAAAAGAAATAATATAGTTGTAATATGGGTTGTCAATATCCACCCCTCGGATTTCCATCTGACGAGCATACAACAGGAACTTCCTAGACTCTGAAAAAGGTTAAAAAAATATATATATATCAAGTACACATTTCTATACAGGGCCATCTGGTTCTGTTGGTGAATTCTGCTAAACAATCCAAGTAGAAGCAGCATTTCCATTCTGCTAAGAAACAGATACTGTTTAGAATACCCTACCTGCAATATTTTTTTTTTTAAAACATTGCCCAAAAGAAACAAGTCTACAATATCTCTTTGGACAAAAAGGTGGTTGTGCTATAATCAAAATTATTTTCAAAGCCCAACTAAAGTAACCTGTAAATACTGTAAGCGAATCAGCTCAGAATGTAGCCAAACAATAACTTATCAAAATATTACTGTTTGTTTCACTGGATCTCTAGCTACTTTAGGAAGAAATGAACCCGTTCCCAGCAATCAGCTACACAGAAGGACCCTTGCTCTCTATGTGGAAGCACTGGTCTCCCTGCATCAGTTCAGCTTAAAGTGTTACTGAACCCAGGACCCTGCACTCACTATATCTGGTCTCCCAGAGTACACAGAACATGGAAATGCAGTTATTTTAATACCTCTTCTCATCAGCAGTATACAGCAGTCTTGTGACTTCTATCAGTGTCCAGGTGAGCACTGGTTAAAGCTTGTAGGAGGAGTTTCCATTCTCCACTGACTGTCCTATGAGGCTGCATGACCCCTGACCCACTGTTTGGACAGTGTGGACAGCTTTTTTATGTGGGTTTAATAACACTTTAATTCCTGCTGAGTTAGAGTTACAGCTGCACACATGCTTTGATGATTGGGAAAATCCAGCGGTGATCAAACATGGGGTGTGTCAGACTGCTAAAGGAGAAACGCACTATTTCTACACAGCTGCTTCTGCAGCTGACTGCTGAGGGACAAACAGATGTCTTCCTTAATCAGCTCCAACCCTGCCCCCCCCCCCCCCCCAAACTGCCCCTGTAGTTTACCAAATGAAAACAAAGCAAAACCTATCCTACAAAAGAAGACGCTGAACACGCGTCTTTCAAAGAGAAGTTGCGGTTTGTTTGTTTTTTTTAGAAATCATACTTACCTAAGTGGAAACAGCATCAGTCCAATGCTGCACCTGTCCCCCGCCGGCTCTAAGACTGGTAACTGAGCAATCAAAGACCGTTGATCAGTCAGTTCTCAGTGCTCCGTGAGAAGAGAGCTGGTGACTGTCAGTCACCGCTCTCTGCTTTTCCTTCCCCAGCACTCACTGGAGCGCTGGGCTGTGGAGTGGGGGAAGCAGCTGACTCAGGCTCTCAGGGGATCGCTGAGAGTCTGAGCTAGGTGCCAGTCCAGGCGTCTGGGTGGATCCTGACTTTAAAGTTGGGATCTTTCCCCAGCCTGGACCAGCTGAGTGATGTCAGCTGACAGCAGACATTAGCCCACTGTCGGCTGAAAACAGGCCACAGGAGTGCAGAATGAACTGCACTCCTGTGATCAATAGAAGAAGTACAGCCAAACGAGCTTTAAGCTGGACAGCATCTTGAAATTTTGCTCTAGTGAAAAAGGGGTTGACAGAAGGAACCCCAGTGGCCAACAAGGGACATGCTATCTGAAACTCTGGGCTGTTGGATAGTAGGGGTGCTCACAGCTCTCCCAGTGGAGTTTTCACACACTGCCCACTTCTCTAGCAGGGTACTTACTGTTTCTTGAGCAAGAAAACACTGGTGATGGAATCACTATTATTTTTTATTTATTTTTTTTTAAACAAAGCTTTTTAATTTATTATGATTATTGCTACAAGTACTTATATAGTGCCATCAATTTACGCAGCGTTTTACATATATATTGTACATTCACATCAGTCCCTAACCCTCAAGGGGTGTACAATCTAAGGTCCCTAACTTACATTCATACATACATATACTAGGAACAGAAACAAAACCTCCTGCATTCTAGGACTCAAAACAAGGGTGGAAAGGTGGAAGGAATCCTTGAAAAAAGTTCCACAAATGCATGGAAAGTTGTGCAGCACTAAAACAAGGCTGGGGAAACCCGAACAAAACTTTGAAATGAAGCAAAAAAGAGAGTGCAACCAACCTTGCACTTTACCTCAGTAAACTATGATTTTATTAAATAAAAAAAATATATATGCTCACAAACAAGGAAGTATAACAAGCAGGCCTTACTTTGAGAGTCTACCCTCATGATGTGACTCACTTTCAAGTTTCTTTGAGGATCGGTTTATGCTTGTTATAGTTCCTTATTTGTGAGCATATATATTTTTTATTCAATAAAATCATAGTTTACTGAGGTAATGCACAAGGTTGGTGCGCTCTCTTTTTGCTTCAATACATATACTAGGGCCAATTTTGACAGTTCTAACCTACCAGCATGTCTTTGGAGTGTGGGAAGAAACTGAAGCAGGCACAGGGAGAACATGCAAACTCCAGGCAGGTGGTGCCATAGTTGGCATTCAAACCCACGACCCTAGTACTGCCCGGTGGAAGTGCTAACAACTTAGCCACTGTGCTGCCCACAAATTTATTAAAAGAAACGAGGAGAAAAAAAAAAAACATAGTTGTCACCTGTGGCATGTTTTCTCCCCCCTCTTTTATTGTTAAGCTGGCTTACTTTTTGAATCCTTTGTTCTTAATGCTTACCTATAACCAAAAACCTTTTTTAGTATGGATAGAGTAGGAAATTCTTAAAACACCTGTCAACTTACTTTTTGCTCAGTCCATTGGGGAGACTTCCCCTTACTTTCTGTTCTGGAAATGCAGCAAGAAGGGAGAGAAAATGTCTCCAAAGTAAGGGAAAAAAACTACTTTTAGACAGCTGTCACCAGAGTTAGTGTCCTTACTGGAAGTTTTCCTCTCACCGCCTGTAAAACGTTGGATTTTCCATTGCATTTTATGCTAGTGCCAATAGTCACCAGAACAAAAAGTGAGAAAGGGAATCTTCCAACCACAGACACACACTTACAGGGGATCTTACCCTTCAAAAACAAAAAAACAAAACAAAAAAAAAACAACATTCAGGTAGAGATACATGTTAAAGTCCAAATGAACTATCTAAAAATGATTACTATAATGCAGTCATTATGCAATAATAAATATGCCTTCGTTTTTAGCTTTTTTTTCTTCATCTGCTTAAAACACCCTGGCTGACAGCACAATGAGAGGTGTACTATTGCTCTCACACACAGCAAGGGCCCAGTCTATCTGCCTACCTGTCCATTGCTCTAATCAACAGCTCTACTCAGGAAGCAACAAGAATGTTGCTTAGAACATGTTTTAATGGGGCATGCTAGACTGCAGGAGAACTTGTGTGAGTTGTGGCCTGTGCTGACGGCACAGGGGTTTTTAACCCTTGCTGTGGCACTTACTTGATAAAATACATCACTACATATCCAGCCTGATTACACTATAGTTAAGATGGTTCTTTGGTTTGGACTTTACATACATAAGCTTACCAAGGCAGGTCTTTTTGTCTGGAGAGAGTTTCATAAGATGTGGACACGCACAGGCAAATGTCTGGTTGTAGTTAATGAGGCACAAATGGCTGCAGGGCCCTCTCCCATCATTTTCTGCACATGGATTAGGAGCTGATCGTTTAAAATAGAAGAAAAAAAATAGTCACATTTTCTGAAACAACAAATACTATACTATAGGGCAAATAAAATCTGGAAAAACATCTATATGACCTCCCAAGTAAAGCATACTAAAGAAATACAAAATTTCTCATGTTGGAGCTGCCAGGTATTTTGCTCGTCTCCATATATCATATGAACCAACACAGACTCTGCCAGTGCAGAATTTTATTCATGGTAATTAATTTTATGTCTGTGGTATGACCATCAGTGGGTTTATGCTGCAAATGTCACCCTTTCTTCAAAAGATTTATAGGAACTTGAGTTGGATGACTACTTATCCTTCTAGTCAAGCATCACATCCAACACACACACACCAGAACACCCATAGCATGTTGAAATATGGAATTTTTTTAATGTATTCTGAGACCAAAACGATGTATGAGTTTACCTAGTGGTTGTCTGGATGGATGATAAACCTGAAGGTCAAAGGGCTGAGTGTTTGTGCGCTGTACAACGGTCACATTGTGGCCAGTCCACTTGTTTGCCTTTGCCAAGGTGTTGGTCCTCCAGTCTGTCCAGTACACCTCTCCACCATACAGTGTGACAGCAAAAGGATGTGACAGATACTCATGGCCTTTCAGTACTTCAATGTGTCCACTGCCATCATACTTCGCTGAGTAAATTGCATCTGATCTGAGAATTAAAAAGAGCTATAACAACGTATCATGTGTAGAACACACAAAATCAAAATTTCATCCTCAGTTCAACATTTCCCACAATAACAAAAGTCTTGAAAATGTATATTCATTTATCCAGTCATTCCTTTATATATATGTTGAGAAAAAATAACATAAATCATTCATAAATAACAAAAAAAACTGTGAATCTAAAAACACAGCCATTCTGTAGAATATCCAAACTTTATTGATAACATTCTGGAATTTGTTGAGAGGTTTGTACCATACTAATGTACACAAGGAAAAACAAGATACTGAAAATTTACACATAAATTAAGGTGAATCTGTGGTCTGGCTACGGGCAGTCAAGTATTTACGCTTTCCTAACAAGCAGCAAAGAATCTCTAAAGTGTATATATACTGAAAACTTAACTTTTGGATGGAATGAGGAAAGTTTAGAACCCCCAATAGGATTTACTGCTATCTGGGGCTATGTAAAAGAGATTTTGCCTCACTGTGGAAACTCTGCAATAGGAAACCAGACAAGAATAAAAAAAAAAACTGACATTGGTTCTATCATTCCCCTACATTTGTCTCTTTTGCCATAATTGAGTTTTCCCCTCACTTCTTGTTCTGGGGACAACCTTTTTTTCACCAGATAGGCAGTGAAGAAATCTCTCCAGCCAAGCCTCTGACTGCAGTAAAACCTGGCAGGCATTCTAATCCACTCCTGCTCTGTCCAAACGAAAAAAAAAGGTATATATACATTTTGAAACAAGCCTTTGCTGAACTTTGTAGTTGCAGGCACTCTGGAGTAATTAATCCAAAAATATAGAACATAGGCACTGTAATTTGATTCTGGTCAGTATCTCATCAGCTTTAGCTTACTCTGCTTCCTTTTTCAACAGTGACTTGAAAGTCTTCCAATTTTCCAATGTAAATAAAGAGCAGATGCTTGGAGGTGGAAGCACCTGTTGTGTTCACACTGGAGTGCTAGAAGGCTGCCCAGTCACTGCTGACAGGGGGGTACCAAGGTAAGCTAAAGCTGTGGAGTAACAGATTAGACCTTGGCTACTATATCTTTGTTATGAGCTTTGAGGCTGAGCTCCTTCATAATTCCTGCAGCTACAGAGGTCAGTGAGTGCTTGTTTTAAAGCTTATTTACTGCTTGTTAAGAATATGTAAATACTTGAAAGTCTGTTGTCTGACCACACGTTTACTTTACATCAATATGGTGAAAGACACACAAGCACAAAAAATTTGATTTATAATGAAAAAAAAGCCATTTATTTTGATAATGATATAAACAGAAGACAGGATTACATAACTAGTGTAACAGAGATGTGTCTTTTTCTGCTTTCACTCTCAGGTGGGTGAAGTCGAGACATTGTTAACATTGGACTACATTTCTAATGCGTCAAAGCACTGCATTAGTTACACGCCCATGTCATCTGTTTTATCAAGCAGTATAAAGTCCATAGACAGTCTTCTACCATATAGGGCATAAGGCTTTCAAATATGTTACGATAACTTTCTTTTATGTCACAGCATGTCCATTGAAATTAGGGCCATCTATGAACGTATCCCTAAAACAATACCTACCACATAAGGCATCTACAGTAGATAATGCCTTGCACTCTAAAGTCTAGTACACAGGTGCATATATTAGACCTTACATCAATGAAAGAGTTCTTTCATCTCTAATGTGGTTTTAACTAGACTTAAACTAGATAAAAAAACACGGAAACATTTCTACATTTGTAAATTAATATAATAATTTCTCCATTAACTTACAACTTACCAAAAACTACTATTATGTACTTGACTTTTCGTCCTATATCAGGCACGATAAATGCAAAAGTCAGAAAATAATATTGTTTAGTCATGTCTACATTAAGGCAACCTAGGAGGTAAATATTGTTTTGGGTTTTTCAAGCTTTACTGTACAAGTGAATACTAGATAAGCATTGAAGTTGTACCTGGCATCAATCCAAAGAATACGTTCTTCCAGATAGTCCACAGTGAGGCCATTGGGCCAGCCTCCTGACCCAGTCTCTTTATGTATGATCCTTCGACCCTCCCCACTCATGGATGCAGCTTCAATACGTGGCATGCCTGAGTCCCAATCAGTCCAGAAGAGGATTCTATAAACAGAAGCACAAGCCAACAATCTAATGAAATAATATTTCTAGTTGCATACTAGCCCTAAGCAATGACCTGTTTTTGGCAATGACAAAAGACATGACAAAAGGCAAATGACCCAGACTGGGTTGATCAGCCATTATTAGCAATTATTAGCCAACCCATCAGGCCCAGTCAACTATTTTTCTCAGCACAAAAATAAATGTATACCACTGTTCCATAGTGTGTATTCTTTTTCATTTAAATGGTACCATATTTTTTCTTATTTAGCTTGTTTAACATTCGAATAAAAAACAATTTGTTTTTTTTTAAGCATTTCTTGCAATCTTTCTGGACTTTTCCTTTCAGATTTTTTTCTGTTGAATCTGATGAACAGATTCTCATTAGTAAAATTGTCAAGGGACTCCTAAAATGTAGTATAGAGGTTTCTAATATATCTGTATATATCCAATCCCACACTTTATCTTTTAATAAAACATATAATATATTAATTTGCAGAATGCTACTGTTCAGCCTACCCTTTCAGTGGGTACCCCCTTCACTGCATGGGTAAATAACCAATTTGGCTTGGATGGGGAAAAGGATGGGGAAAAGGATGGGGGGGGGGGGGGGGGGTTGGAGTGGGGCTTTAACACTCATCCTGCATGTAAGTGGGAGGGGCATTTTGTTTATATCTATTACAAAATTAAATCATCATCATAAAAAATGCTATTTTTAAAAAAAAATAATAAATAATTTGGCACTTATTAACGTAGTCATATATGGTTTCATTCATCACCACCTGACCTTTTAGCAAAGGCAACATAAACTAATTAGTAGTATTAATGATTATACCTTGTGTTGACTCAAATGGTATTTTTTTCTTCTTGCTTCCTAGACAATACATTGTTTGGCAGCTGCAGGCAGACAGTATCGGATAATGGGGGCCTGTCAGCCCATCAAGCAGCCACATAATTATCATCCTTGCAAAGGTTCTAGTATACTTGTATAAGCTTTACCAATGAAAATATTTTGTTATGGTAGGTATAAAAAATGCAGCAATGTGCACCAGCAGTGCATACTAGTTATTAGCTTTGCTGTGTCTAGCACATGTTTAATAATGGCAACTTATTTTAGAGGCTCCAACAATGCCAGCTGATTATACTATTACATTAAATTATTCATTGCAATGGACAAAGCAGGATGTGAGATGGTGACCCCCATATTCTGCCAGAATTATAAGGCTGGTTGAGGTGCCGCTGGTTATGGAAATTTCTACCACTAAGCAAGGTGATAATCTCCCAAATGTCTTCTAGGGCTGGCATGAAATGAGACTCCAATCTGGTTCCTTTAGCTGTCTCCTGCTCTAGACGCCACAAGCCCTTTCCCTAGTGGCTATACATACAGATACAAAGGAAGTCAACGCTTGATGTTCTAGAATGGGGTGGCACAAAGACACAAAATCGTTTTGCATTTATAGACTTCTAGACACACCTAAAATACCTCAAAATGCATTCAAGATGTTTGCAGTGGTCACCAATGGGTCTTTACTCCTGCATCCATTATATTAAATATCCTTCTGGCAGGCACTAGTATACAGTGTCCCTACTAGTTGCCAGGCGGCAGAGTGCCCATGTGAGATGTACTCATCAGACATGGTCACTGATAAGAAAAAGTGAGAGCATGTATGCAAAGGCAGCCAATACATCAGTCTTTTTTTTTTTTGTTCAACCCATCTACTCTATGTGGGAGGGTGAATCCTTCCCGTTGAATTATTGTATTCTGACAGCAGGGAGACTTCTCCACCATCAGAATACACTTATCACAGCACTGATCGATTTGGGAAAAACTTGATGGGGTAGTTATACTTTAGTCAATCGGTAGGTGGACTGCCACCAGCCTTCGCATACAAGGATCGAACATTTTGGTCCATGTATTCCAGGTAAAGTGTTACTAAACCCAGGACTCTGCATTCACTATATCTGGTCTCCCACAGTACACAGAACATGGAAGTGAAATTATTTTAATAGATATAAACTGCTAAATACCTTTTCTCATCAGCAGTTAGAACAGTCTTGTGACTTCTTTCAGTGTTCAGCAGAGCACATATTAAAGCTTGTAGGAGGAGTGTTAATTTTGCTCTAGGAGGATCCAGAACCCCTTGACCTCTGTCTGGACAGTGCTGATTGGCCCTGTGCTGATCACCTGCACTCTTCCAAGGGAAAAAAAAAAAAAAACTCTCTAGCAATACATACCAATCTGAGCATGTGCAGAGTGACTCCACACAATATGCCTTATCAGGAGATAAGAGGGGGACACTGGAAGAAGGGGAGGATCAGAGAAGTCAGGCTCAATCAGCCTTTTTATACAATGCAGAGGATTAACCCCTTAGATTCCACAGTGAGTATAACAAGCATACTTTACTGTATATACAGACAGATTTTACTGTTGTGGGTTTAGTAACACTTTAAGGAATAATATATACAAATCAACAGTCTACACACACATTTACCTAAGAGCTAAACAAACACCCACCAAACTCATTATCACCATCCAGGAATGCTATGTTTAACAACTAAGTATCACTGCCATTATTACAGTCAATAGGTTCAATTCACAAAACTGTAACACATGGATAAGGAGCTTTATTTTAGCCCTGTGATTGGAATTTCCAAATCTCATTGGGCTTACTTAGACATATCTGTCACTTTTCTTAAGAAAAAAAATATGAATCATTATCCTGGTATGTTAGCTTTGTGAACTGAGCCTAGTGTCTGTATTGGAACCAGCTAAAATCTGTTTCAATTGAATTTGTAACAGTTGCAAGAAACTCCCATTGGACTGATCAGCAATATCATTTAAAAAAATCATTTTTTAAGACCTTGAATAGAGTGGAGAGGGATTAGAACTCTTGTCAGGCTTTGTTGTCTGTGCCTCTGTTAGGGAGGAATTCACTTTATTTGTCCTGTTTACCATAATCATCGAAAGTGAAATTTTGAGATAACATCAGACCAGGAATTTAGAATAAATTTTCTAATGGTGACATTAGTTCTGGTAACACCGTAAGATTCCCTCACTTTGGAGGAGTTTCCTCTCACTGTTTGCGACAGGAGGCGAAGGAAAATCTCTGCAAAGGGATAAAGATGGCAATCAAACTGACAGGAGTTATAACCCTCCTTTACTCTGACCAAAATGAAACAAATGCCTTTAGTGACACTTTGAAGTTCATAAAGCTTATTTTTGGAGTGGGCCATTGAAAACATGTCAGATATGCCAGTATTATGTATAATTCTAATGACTAAACTAAAACTGTAAAACCAAGGTTGTTCTGAGATCCATCCAAATAAAACAGAAAAACATGTTGTGCTTTCCTAAATCTGTTGAGCATTGCAAAATTAAGACTGCATTTTGCAATTAGTTTCCGTAAATGAACATTTAAACAAAGAAACTTGAATTTTGGCATCATTCAGTCTTTTACTGGATTTGTGTTTACAATCAGTAAGCATAGTGAATAAGCACCTATTAACCAATACATGACCTTGGCATGAACATTAAACTTTTACATCCTTAACTGTAGTGATGGTAGGTATTAATTTAGAGAAGCTGTAATCATGTAATTGGTGAATTACAGAGCATACTAAGTATACATTATATGCCATTTGTCCCTTATAAAGTTTATCTTATTTTCAATTCTACACCATTTAAGCACACAGCACTGCCCTCTACTCAGAACAAAGCCCACACAGGTCTGAACTAAGCCCAAGATGCCATCGGTCTCTGAAACAGAATATAAAAGGCAGAGACCAGACCCAGCTGAAGGAAGAAGAGAATTTATGCCATACGGTCTGGGGTGAAGCCCCTAGACTCACATCAAGCTGTTAGTATCTTTGGAATCACAGAATCAGAGATGTCCTTGTTCCTCACAATCTGAGTTTCAACAGTAGTAATGCCATTAAAGTCAGCAAATGTGAAGTGGGATGGCAGATCAGAAGATACAGATGATCTGGTAGAGCTCATAGAGCGTCTGCCATGAGTCTTACTAGGTTGGAGAACCACATTTCACCTTAGTGAATACAAGGTAATCAGTATGCCATCCAGCTTGACCTTTGAAGGAGAAGGGGAAGAGGGTTTAGAGAAGAAACGTGTAGATCAGGATATATTGAACCCACTGAACTACCAGAGCATCCACTGGTTCAGCTGGAGGTACCTGTACCTGGAGACAAATCTGTTCAGTTTTTCATTAAACCTGGGAGGCCAAAAGGTAAACATCTGACTTGTCCCACCTGGGATATGGCCTGGAACATCTCCAAGTGTAGGAACCACTCCCCGGGGTCCAGGCACTGAGGGCTGAGGAAAGCTGCCTGATAATTGTCTACGCCTGGATTGTACACAGCTGACAAGGCTGGAAGTTCTGCCCAGGGCAGGATCAGATCTACCTCTCTTGTCATGTCAAGACATCTGGCTTGCTCCTTGATCATTGAGGTATGCCAGCGCTGTGGAACTGTCTGACTGAATCTGGATCTGTTTACCCTTCATTATAATGGTCCAACACTGCAGAAACAACCAAACAGCCCAAAGTTCCAGGATGTTGTTGGGGAGATTCATTTTCTTTGACAACCATGTACCCTGCACTGACAGCATGCTCAGCTTGTCAGTGGGCAAATCAGGTAGAGAATATGCAGGAGAGGGCATGAAAGCATGTTTGTGCCCTCTGCAATCACAGTCATCAAATTACTAGGCTCATAAAATCTGGCATCACAATGGCAAAAACCTCAGCTGAAAGGAGAGAGGGCCCTGCCACACCTTATGAATTCTAAGAAGAATCTGAGCACACAACAGACTCTAAGATCAAAGGATAACAGGATACCAGGCTGCAGACATCTACACCATCAGAAGATGCGCTGCAAGCAGCCTTGGAGCCATTAGTAGCATGTGAGCTGGGGACATCAGATACAGTAAAACTCCCATATCTAGATTCAGACATGCTGGGACCACTGATTGTAAGAGGCATGATCTCAGGTACTCACTAAACCCAGAACAGCTGTCAAAGGTGAGGGAAGATGCCCCAAGCTTACCACAGTCATGGTAGGTGGGCAGCAGGAACAGACTGAAGACCAAGAACAGCATGGCATTTTTCAAGCAGGAGAAGCAATGGAGAGATACTCACTCAATGATGTATGGCAGAACAGAGTGTGGAGCGTGCGTGACACTCCACTCAGTGGATGACCTAAGCAATCAGTCCCACAAGGTTAACCCCCTCCATGGAAGAACAATGGGAATAAGGGCACCCAGCAAATAACTGTTGTAGCTCCCAATGCTCAGTCTGAACAACCTACTCACTAAGTGAGTCTTCAGAGAGGGCAAGCACTAAGGAAATGTCAACAGCTCTGGACCTAAAACTTTTAGATAACTTTTAGCATATTCCCAAAATCTGGAAAGAGCCCTATGAGGAACCCAGTGATTGAATATAATTTCCATGCAATCCCTGCATGTCCAGTCAAGTGGGTTCCAAATGTGGTACCTTGAATGCCATGCTAAGGGCGAAGAGTCAAAGTTCCAGTAAAGATGTAGGAAAGAGTATTAATTGAAGAAAAAAAAGGAAAAAAAAAAAAGATGTTACAAAAGAAAAGTCAAGTCTTAACACAGCAGAGCTGTAAAAAAAAAAAAAAAAGATCCATCCCTCCTAGGACACTGCCAAAAAAACAGGGATTGGGTAATCCTAAATTGGTCCAAAGTTTTTTGCTGCCAGTGTCCAATTGTATCCGAAGGTTTATAAGTTCTTGTGTCCATCAATGGATGATAAAGAAATCCATTTATTGCAAACAAATAAAATAAAAAGTACGTAGGTGCCAAAAAATTTTTTTTAAAACCATTTAAATTACAATTAAAGTGGTAAATATATATATTTTTTGCTACAGTTTGTAAGAACTTAACCTTTGTAGAAAGGCTGCTCCCACAGGATTAATTGCTCGTTTAGGTCTAGGGAACATGTCAAAGTACATTTACTTATCTGATACTCCATGCTGCTAGACTGGCCCCACAGCATTTTCTCCCCCTTTGCTCCAGCAGTCAAGATCCTGATGTCATCAAGAGCAATGCAGAGTCCATAGCCCTGTTCTGGACTTGCTGACACTGAGGGACAGTCCACTGCTGGAATGTGGGGAGCAGAGGACCAGGAAAGTAAAGGCAATTTTACTCTCCCCTACACTAACCAAGCAATTAACCCATGCAATGCAGGCACAGGCACACTGCAAGGAAAATGTTTAGGTTTCCTGGAGTTGGCCTTTAAAACATGGCCCATTTCCATATCTATTTTTATATAAGCATATATCCCTTTCATCATTAGTCTCTGCATGAATTATGCACACCTTACTTTGTATAGCAGATCCTTTTTGTGCTCATAAAACAATCCTCATTTACTCAAGTTGTCAGACATTATCCTACCACCACCAACACAGCCTGGTACAAGTACAAAAGGAGTCTTGAAAATATATCCTCCAGTATTCCTAACCAAGAGACTGGAAGTAAGTAGTTCACAGTTACACAGACCATCCAAGTAAGTAAAACAGTAATTGTTCCTACTGCAGCACTATGCAATGCGCTGGTGTAATGTATCAAGTTGACTGTAGAATAAAGAACAGGGCAACAAAGGGTGAGTGTATGAGGATTTCCTAATCTTCGCTGTTATAGTCCTTCCTCTGATACTGACTTTTCCTACGCTCTAAGGAGGATTGCACCCTATGATGTTTTCAGAAGTATTACTTGAGGCATGTTATGGGTAATATAGAATGCATACTTAAAAAATATCTTTTCTAGCAACACAATTTAAAAAACCGCCAGTAAACACTATCTGTATCTAAACTGTCTGCATGATAAAAGCAATGAAATGTCAGAGAAAAAATTCAAACACAAACTAATATTGTATCAATAAAACATGTTCAGTAAACAGCTTTACAATTAGGTTTGTGACTTAAAATTAAATTATAACTCAGGTGTAAATGTGCATGTCTGACTGTGCAAGTCATCTTTTCCATTTATTACGATTGTACAAAAAAAGAACCTTTACAAATACAAACCCATTTCGAGGATCCAAAGCAATGGCGCGAGGATGTTCAATGTCTCCAGCCAAGAGAGTTGTTCTCATAGTACCATTTAGCTTGGCCACTTCAATCTGGTCCAGATTACTCTCTACCCAGTAAATATTCCCAGCAATCCAATCCACAGCCAGACCCTCAGGAGTTGCAAGGCCATACTGGATAATGACTTCAAAACTGGTAAGCGCTACAAAAGCAAAACATTAGCAGATGGTACATAATGATGCACATAGAACTGCTACAATATAACATGATCATTTAAAGAGGAGCTCCACTAAGTGGTCTATCAATGCAATTCTTTATTAAGGGTTTGTTCACACTAGATGCAGTCCAGTGCATCTATAATCTGCATCAAAAATGCATGCACAGAATTCAACACTCTAAATTTAGTGTTTCAAAGTACCCTAACTCCAGACCCTAAACAATGCCTTTTGGGAATTTTAGATAATGTTACCCAAGATACATTTCTACTAGATGCCCTTTCTAAGGCCCTGTTTCAGGCACGCAAGACCATTCTTGTGCATTGGAAGTCGGAAATTCCCCAAACTATGGAATATTGGAGACAGAATATGGAAACCATTTTATGATATGATCGTTTAATTTACAAACATTATGGGTGCCCAGGTAAATTTGAGAAACTTTGGGAAGCATGCCTGGCCATTCTGGGTCTTGCCCCACTTGATTTGATAATACATAGGTTGCTGTAACTACCCTTTCATGATGTATTATGCCTGCTGCCTTTTTACAATCTGCCCAGGTTTACTTAGATCACTATGTAGGGAGATCTGTATACTCTATTCTATACGGTTTTAATGCTAAAGAGGAACCTCTGCTGCCCTATGCGTGGGATTCGTGTAGGACTCTGCTGCATAATGTCACTAATTTTTTGTTTCTATTTGTTTATTGGGTGGCTGGTAACACTGCAAATTTTCTAATTTTTGTTATTTTTATTAATGGATGTACCTTTCTGTTTTGTATTTGGTTATATGTACTGTCCTTTGTACGCCTTAAACACTAAAAAATAATACTTCTGATTTAAAAAAAAAAAAAAGCATGCACAGAGTTTTCCATGTATTCCAATGGTCCTAGTTCACACCAGTGCAGTGTGTTCTAGTTCAGTTAGCAAAAGCAGAACATGTTACACTTTTTCTGTATGGAACAAATCTGTAATGTGGCAAAATTAATAACGTGAAAAAGTTCATTTATTTCAGTAATGCAACTTAAAAGGTGAAACTAATATATGAGATAGACTCATTACATGCAAAGCAAGATAGTTCAAGCTGTGATTTGTCATAATTGTGATGATTATGGCTTACAGCTCATGAAAACCCCAAATCCACAATCTCAGAAAATTAGAATATTACATGCAATCAATAAAACAAGGATTGTACATAGAACAATATCGGACCTCTGAAAAGCATAAGAATGCATATGTACTCAGTACTTGGTTTGGGCCCCTTTTGCAGCAATGCGTGGCATGGAAGCTATTAGCCTGTGGCACTGCTGAGGTGTTATGGAAGACCAGGATGCTTCAATAGCGGCCTTCAGCTCTTCTGCATTGTTCGGTCTCATGTCTCTCATCTTTCTCTTGGCAATGCCCCATAGATTCTCTATGGGGTTCAGGTCAGGCGAGTTTGCTGGCCAATCAAGCACAGTAATCCCCCGGTCATTGAACCAGGTTTTGGTGCTTTTGGCAGTGTGGGCAGGTGCCAAGTCCTGCTGGAAAATGAAGTCAGCATCCCCATAAAGCTTGTCTGTGGAAGGAAGCATGAAGTGGTCCAAAATCTCCTGGTAGATGGCTGCATTGACCCTGGACTTGATGAAGCACAGTGGACCAACACCAGCAGATGACATGGCTCCCAAAATCAACACAGACTGTGGAAACTTCACACTGGACTTCAAGCATCTTGCAGTGTGCCTCTCCATTCTTCCTTCATACTCTGGGTCCTTGGTTTCCAAATGAGATGCAAAAGTTGCTCTCATCAGAAAAAAGGACTTTGGACCACTGAGCAACAGACCAGGTCTGTTTTTCTTTAGCCCAGGTAAGACGCTTCTGACGTTGTTTGTTGTTCAGGAGCGGCTTGACAAGAGGAATACGACATTTGAAGCCCATGTCCAGGATCCGTCTCTGTGTGGTGGCTCTTGATGCACTGACTCCAGCCTCAGTCCACTCCTTGTGAAAGTCCCCAACACTTTTAAATGGCCTTTTCCTGACAATCCTCTCCAGGCTGCGGTCATCCCTGCTGCTTGTGCACCTTTTTATTCCACAATTTTCCCTTCCACATAACATTCTATTAATGTGCTTTGATACAGCACTTTGGGAACATCCAACTTCTTTTGCAATTACCTTTTGAGGCTTTCCCTCCTTATGGAGGGTGTCAATGATGGTTTTCTGCACAACTGTTAGGTCAGTAGTCTTTCCCATCATTGTGATTCCTACTAAACCAGACTGAGAGACCATTTAAAGCAGTGGTTCTCAACCTTTCTAATGCCGCGACCCCTTAATACAGTTCCTCATGTTGTGGTGACCCCCAACCATAAAATTATTTTCGTTGCCACTTCATAACTGTAATTTTGCAGTGGGAGGACTAGCGCCCCATCATTGCTACAGTGGGAGGAATAGTGCCCCATCATTGATGTCAGTGGGAGGAATAGTGCCCCATCATTGGTATCAGTGGGAGGAATAGTGCCCCATCATTGGTGTCAGTGGGAGGACTAGCGCCCCATCATTGGTGTCAGTGGGAGCAATAGTGCCCCATCATTGGTGTCAGTGGGAGGAATAGTGCCCCATCGTTGGTGTCAGTAGGAGGAATAGTGCCCCATCGTTGGTGTCAGTGGGAGGAATAGTGTCCCATCGTTGGTGTCAGTGGGAGGAATAGTGTCCCATCGTTGGTGTCAGTGGGAGGAATAGTGTCCCATCGTTGGTGTCAGTGGGAGGAATAGTGTCCCATCGTTGGTGTCAGTGGGAGGAATAGTGTCCCATCGTTGGTTCAGTGGGAGGAATAGTGTCCCATCGTTGGTGTCAGTGGGAGGAATAGTGTCCCATCGTTGGTGTCAGTGGGAGGAATAGTGTCCCATCGTTGGTGTCAGTGGGAGGAATAGTGTCCCATCGTTGGTGTCAGTGGGAGGAATAGTGTCCCATCGTTGGTGTCAGTGGGAGGAATAGTGTCCCATCGTTGGTGTCAGTGGGAGGAATAGTGTCCCATCGTTGGTGTCAGTGGGAGGAATAGTGCCCCATCATTAGTATCAGTGGGAGGAATAGTGCCCCATCATTGGCATTAGTGGGAGGAATAGTGTCCCATCATTGGTGTCAGTGGGAGGAATAGTGCCCCATCATTGGTATCAGTGGGAGGAATAGTGCCCCATCATTGGTATCAGTGGGAGGAATAGTGCCCCATCATTGGTGTCAGTGGGAGGAATAGCGCCCCATCATTGGTATCAGTGGGAGGAATAGCGCCCCATCATTGGTATCAGTGGGAGGAATAGCGCCCCATCATTGGTGTCAGTGGGAGGAATAGTGCCCCATCATTGGTGTCAGTGGGAGGAATAGTGTCCCATCATTGGTGTCAGTGGGGGGAATAGTGTCCCATCGTTGGTGTCAGTGGGGGGAATAGTGCCCCATCATTGGTATCAGTGGAGGAATAGTGCCCCATCATTGGTATCAGTGGGAGGAATAGTGCCCCATCATTGGTATCAGTGGGAGGAATAGTGTCCCATCATTGGTATCAGTGGGAGGAATAGTGCCCCATCGTTGGTGTCAGTGGGGGAATAGTGTCCCATCGTTGGTGTCAGTGGGGGGAATAGTGCCCCATCATTGGTATCAGTGGGAGGAATAGTGCCCCATCATTGGTATCAGTGGGAGGAATAGTGCCCCATCATTGGTATCAGTGGGAGGAATAGTGTCCCATCATTGGTATCAGTGGGAGGAATAGTGCCCCATCATTGGTATCAGTGGGAGGAATAGTGCCCCATCATTGGTGTCAGTGGGAGGAATAGTGCCCCATCATTGGCGTCAGTGGGAGGAATAGTGTCCCATCATTGGTGTCAGTGGGAGGAATAGGGCCCCATCATTGGTGTCAGCGGGAGGAATAGAGCCCCATCATTGGTGTCAGTGGGAGGAATAGAGCCCCATCATTGGTGTCAGTGAAGGAATAGTGTCCCATCGTTGGTGTCAGCGGGAGGAATAGAGCCACATCATTGGTGTCAGTGGGAGGAATAGTGCCCCATCATTGGTATCAGTGGGAGGAATAGTGCCCCATCATTGGTATCAGTGGGAGGAATAGTGCCCCATCATTGGTGTCAGCGGGAGGAATAGTGTACAATCATTGGTATCAGTGGGAGGAATAGTGTACAATCATTGGTATCAGTGGGAGGAATAGTGCCCCATCATTGGTGTCAGTGGGAGGAATAGTGTCCCATCATTGGTATCAGTGGGAGGAATAGTGTACAATCATTGGTATCAGTGGGAGGAATAGTGCCCCATCATTGGTGTCAGTGGGAGGAATAGTGCCCCATCATTGGTGTCAGTGGGGGGAATAGTGTCCCATCGTTGGTGTCAGTGGGGGGAATAGTGCCCCATCATTGGTATCAGTGGGAGGAATAGTGCCCCATCATTGGTGTCAGTGGGGGGAATAGTGCCCCATCGTTGGTGTCAGTGGGGGGAGGAATAGTGCCCCATCGTTGGTGTCAGTGGGGGGAGGAATAGTGCCCCATCGTTGGTGTCAGTGGGGGGAGGAATAGTGCCCCATCGTTGGTGTCAGTGGGGGGAGGAATAGTGCCCCATCGTTGGTGTCAGTGGGGGGAGGAATAGTGCTCCATCGTTGGTGTCAGTGGGAGGAGGAATAGTGCCCCATCGTTGGTGTCAGTGGGGGGAGGAATAGTGCCCCATCGTTGGTATTAGTGACACAAATGATGGGGCACTATCCCTCCCACTGACACCAATGATACTTACCTTGCTGACTCCTGCTCCAGCCTGGGCTCGCTCTCTCCCTCTCCCATCTACAGCCTGCATACCTGGCTGCAGCAGCAAAATTTGCACTTACCTGTCAGCTGTCTTCCTTCTCTGGCCTCTCTCTTCACTCGCTCCTGCAGCTCCCTCGATCTTCTTTGATCTCCTCGCGCTGCCGCTCGGCTCCTCCTCTCCAAGCTCCACCTCCTCGCCGGTGATTGGCCGCCTGTGTGCCTCTCCTGAGCTACAGTTCCGGTGGCCAATCAGCCGCGAGGAGGCGGAGCTGTTGAGTGATCCCGGAGGTGTGGCCAGGTTACAGGGGCAGCATATCATCCCGCCCACAGATCGCCTGAGACAGGAGCGGTGTCTCGGTTCCTAAGACCATCGGAAATATGTGTTTTCCGATGGTCTTAGGCGACCCCTGTGAAATGGTCATGCGACCCCCAGGTTGAGAACCGCTGATTTAAAGGCTCAGGAACCCTTTGCAGGTGTTATGGCTTAATTAGCTGATTAGAGTGGGACACTTTGAGCCGAGAATATTGCACCTTTTCACAATATTCTAATTTTCTGAGATTGTGGATTTGGGGTTTTCATGAGCTGTAAGGCTGGCCATACACTATACAATTTCTGCCCAATTTCCTTTAGATTTACCTTCAACTAAGTAGTGCAAGGCCCTGCCTAATTGGTATACAAGTGTTGTTAGTTTTTACCTCCCATTATATGGTTTTTGGTAAATCTAAACCAAAAATCTCAAGAAAATTGTATAATGTATGGCCAGGGTAAGCCATAATCATCACAATTATGACAAAGCATGGCTTGAACTATCTCGCTTTGGATGTAATGAGTCCATCTCATATATTAGTCTCACCTTTTAAGTTGCATTACTGAAATAAATGAACTTTTGCACGATATTCTAATTTTTCGAGTTTCACCTGTATATTGTGGTGTGAAGTGGCTCTTAAGCTGAATTCCATTATCTTATTACAATAATAGATGCTAAAATTAGGGCAAGGCCTTCAGAACTCCATATTAAGGCCCCTGAAACCACACCAAAGCCAAATAAAGTTTTGTTTTACACCATTGTATTTGAACTTTCCAATTGCTATTTTACAGAGGCAGTCTCATAACAGCTGCCAAATCACTGGTGGCTGCAAAGCAATAGTTCTCTCTAAACATCAATGTTCAACTCTGTTCTAGGTCACCTTTCCTGCCACCTCATTCTCCAACCTTCACTCGTCACCTTTCCTGCTGCCTCATTTTCCAACCTTGACAAAGATAGTTTTCAGTAAAAAACATGGAAGTCACCTACAGTCTAACTACCTAGTCATATACCTTTCCCAAGTGCTTTGTAGGAAAATAAAAACACAACATAAGTGAACTCTGCAGTAGACCTACTTGTACAGGGCTAAGGAAGAATTAGCATTTTGTTTTCCCTGTACCCTCCTCCTTGTAATTGCCATCAGACTATAATTAGCATTAACAGCAAGCTCTGAATGCTAATTAACTCTGGTATCATGATGAATGTTTTCCAGCTAGGAAGGGTATCATTAGGCAGATCATGATGTGCAGTCCGGACCAGACAACACTCTAAGCAGTGCTGAATTGTGGTAATAGACTCTGATGCTTAATTATCACTGCTGAGTAACTTTTAAACAGTCCTCCTATGTGTAACCCCCCAATTTTACCTAATACAGCCCGGTTGGAGACTCTGCTATACGCTAAATAAAGATAGTATGCATACAATATGTATATTAGAAGTCAAGGCTAAGGCACTGAGAATGGAGTTCCACTTTGCCATTCTCTAGTTGTGTGATTTTTTTCCTACACGGAAAACATTTTGGAATTCTGTATCAAATCAAGTGAAACTTGAACATAGAATGCCTCCATATGTTTCAAGTGACCAGTCCACTGGAAATTTGTTAAAAAAAATATGCCTTTGAACTGCAACTAAGTGGGTTTTGATGCATTTCCACGGGTATTTTAATAACTCGGTCACTTGAAACCAAGAAGAGTTAAACACCATGGGGTTGATTTACTAAAACTGGAGAGTGCAAAATCTAGTGCAGCTGTGCATAGAAACCAATCCGCTTCCAGGGTTTTTTTTTTTTCTTTTAAAAGCGTAACTGAATAAGCTGAAGTTAGAAGCTGATTGGCTACCATGCAGAGCTGCACCAGATTTTTCACTCTCCAGTTTTAGCAAATCACCTTCCATCAGTATTTAAATGAATGCACATGGCCAGCATCAGGGTTTGCCAGTTATATTTCACAGAACATTAACATATTAGAATTATAGCCCCGTAAATAATGAAAACCCAGATCTGTAACAACATGTAGCACTTGATCCTTTCCTTTAATCTTTTGGAGATTTTGCTTTAGATATAACACATTTCTTGGCATTACTTATTTTCAACTTGATGTTTTGCTGAAACTGACAATTGCATACCCATCACTTTCTATTTCCCAAGTGATAAGAGTGGAGTCTGTCTGCTATAATAAAATGCTCATCCCAGCAGAAAACCCGCTAAAAAGAAAAATCAGCCAATTGAGCAAAATGGCATTTTTTGGGGCAACAAAAAGTGTACAGAATGCCTCCATTCTGCAAAAAGCAAAATTACTTATTTCTGAATGCAGGCTACCACAGAAAATTATTATTTAATAGCATCAAGTACCCACAATGGCTTGAGTAACAAGTGCATATATTTTATACATTTTAGTGAAAGTGGATTGTTTACTTTGCTCTCTGGTTAGTGAAATGCCCCTAGATACTTTGGCGTACAAAATGCTATAAACTGCATTATGATGTCAGTAAGCTATATCACACTTACCTCCACTTTCAGACAGCTTCCCCCGATATATTTTGTCCTCAACCACATCTGTCCAGTAGAGGGTGCTCTGGTTCAAGTGGAAATCCAAAGCAATTGTGTTCCTTAGTCCTGGTACAAGAACACTGTAATCACCTTTATTTAAATCTATTCGGCGGATTTCATGGCGGTTTGAAAATATGATGAAAGGTTTAAAGGGATCTAAAATATAGAAGAAGAAGAAGATAAAAAAATAACATTCCTTTTTACATATGCTACTCCACAATGGCAGGACTGAGCCTTATAAAACAAGAAGGAAGTACCAAAGCTCTTATAAACTGTGATCATTTTTTTAAAAATGTATATTTGTTGATTAATATGGTTCAGGTACTATTTCAGGTACTTTTCAATGGTGATAGATTAGTTAACTCTGGAATAATGTGCAACAAAATTATGAAACCATCTATTATTGCCTCTCAGCATTTTCTTCCAAAGGCTCAATACAGCGATATTTCAGTTATATATGGATTCTCATTAGCTAAGTACCTCCTGGATTTCTACAGGGAGGGATTTCAATGGTGGGAATTCTCCCTACCATTACACCTGGTGTTTTTTTTCCCATCCCTGATATATTCTTCATTTTACAAAGTAAATTAACCTACCTACTGTCTTATACCTAAGCAAAGTCTTAGGCCCCTTTGTAATTGTTTTGGTCGATGTGCAAACTCTACTACATAAGTTCCCCAAAACTATCAGTTGGTTTAACCTCCCTAGCGGTATGATTATTTCAGATTTTTGGTGCTGAAAGCGGTACCATTTTTTTGCATGGAAATATGTATTTTTTTTTATTGTAGGCCTGTAATTTAGGAATAACTCACTGAAATCTGTCCGAACAAGAGTCTAGTAAACATTCCGGACATGATAAAACTTGAAACACGAAATCATAAATTATAATTTAATAAATAATCATAAAAAATAATAAATTTAATTAAATAATATAATCAAACCAAAAACACTGAAATTTGAAATATAGCGCCAAGTTCGCACATCGCTGAGCAAAGTCGCAGAATCGTTTTCAGTGTCTGATGCCGAATTTCCCCACGAATCATCACTCAATACTGCAAGTGGTTCTGATTTACTATCGCTGTTTTCTAGCTGGTCTAAAACCGCTTTTGACATAAAGAGCCGCTTTTTGGACGCCATGGACTTTTCTAAGTTTCCAGGCAGAAAGAACAGTCAAAATACAGGCAGGGGACAGGACAAAGCAGTAGGGACAAAATGTATGTGAAATGTTTTGAAACAGCAAAGTTTTACTATGTAATAATCATTTTTTAAAAAAAATGAAATGTTTAAAAAAAAATTTCAAATTTGCCGCCGTACGTCCCAACGTCACAGGGACCGGAACACGGAAGCCGGATGCCGACATCGGCCGGAGGAGATGGCCGGGGACGCTGCAGGGGACGCATCGTGGGAGCGAAGGACAAGGTAAGCTCTGCAGGGAGTCCTTATGCAACGCTGCATGGTAAGCCAGAGTGTAGCTCGAGGTTACCGCTTTTGGTACTAAAACTCTACCTCGAGCTACACTCAGGAATACCGCCAGGGAGGATAACACTCAAACTAGTTCTGAGATCAGAAACATTAGAGTTGGTGTTTAATTTATATCTAAATATAAGTAAATGAAAGCAATACTAAATCCCCAAATAAAAATATTTTAAATCGCAGATCACCAAATCTTAGATGTGGTGGCCGCTTTAGTTTTTTAAGCTTTTTTCCTTTATTTTCAGCAAGTGATCCAGCCAGGGTGTTTTATTTTTCAACTTCCTTTAACAGATCAAACTGTCCAGACAAAGTAGCAGTTAAGCCCTTTCACACCTTTCTCCAGTGTTTTTGGAGGGACACTATTCAATTGAATGGACTGCCTTCAGCTCTGCTAACAGTTTGTCCCATTACAAAACACCTGTTTTTTGTCACATTTAGGGTGCAATTTAGAATGAATGTCACCCATCTGTGCATAGTGCACTTTGCCACAATTTTAGCGAGGTGCGGAATTATGGGCAAAATCACACGATTCTGCCTTATATTCTGAGTCACTCAGATGTGAACAGGGCGTTAGAGGATTTGTATAAACTGTTGAACACTGCAAAGTGTGCTTACATAGATCAGCTTTCATTCATTTATGTAAAACCTTTATCACAAAAGGAACAAACTGTTGCTGCTTAAAAAGTGTTAGTTGGTGTTCAGCTTCTGTTAGCCAAGTCCATCTAAATCTGCTAGTGTAACACTACACTGCGCCAATATGGACAATGCTGCCATAGTGAAATAAAGGAGAAAAAAAAAAGAATAAATTTAATGCAGACACCACATCTAAGGTAGACTGCAATATATTGCTGGCTTGTATTTGGGCTTAACACCACTTTAAATTAAATCTGGGTGTTTAACATACAGTATCTAAAAACCAAAGCTTTTTTAACCTGTTTTGCATAGAGTGGGAAATTGCCCAAATGTCCCCATTGGGTTCTAGTGCCCATGTCACTATTTAGATTTTTCAGCACTTTCTGTCCAGTAACATAATCAAGGACAATAAAAGAGGGTTAATCACCCCAGTGCGAAGAGCAATATAAAATGAAAGATACACACTTTAAGAAATTTTAGTAAATATGTTTAAATAGCTTGATATCTTATGAGAAATGTTTGAAACTGCCTCCTTTATATGAAGCAATTCTTAATATTGTAAGACAATAGCTTATTTTCAAACTTTGTACAACTGTTCACAGAACAAGCACCTACTCATTTTAAAAGAAAAATAAGATTGTCAAAGTTAAAAGGTATACAAAAAATTGCTGGAACTTCACCAAGTTATCTTGGACATTACAGCAACAGCTTATGCTTACTTCCAGCAGTATTGAGTAGTTACAGTCTGACATAAGAACCCCTATGTTAAACAAAGCACCAGTACTTCAAGCAAGCGAATGTAAATTAGATTTAATGATCACATAATTTCGTGCTGCTGAATCAAAACATGATGGTCATCGGCTGCACTAAAGTAAGGCCAGCTGAGTTCTGAGTTCTATGGAAAATATCTAAGCTATGTTGAAGTGGAGAAGGAATTAAGTCAGAAAACATACATATTGGCATTCATAGATCGCCGCAGTGCTTTGAAAAAGCAAGAGAGAATTCCAGATGCTTAATCACCTTCCAAAAGCAATAGTTTCAATACAATAATGGCTCGAGCTGGGCAGATTGCATCTTCCGTAACTCTCTTTCGCAAGGCACATGAACAGAAGACATGAATAGAGGGGTATGAGGACTTTACCAAATATGTAGATTAAGGTATGGCTTTAAGCTTTAGTAGATGGTACAACTGAGATGATGAAAGGGTTATACAGGCACGGACTGTTTGAATGCAAAAAAAAAAGAGAAAAAGTGCTTTGCACATCTTTTGAAAACCCTGATCTTGGCATCCATTCCTCAGCACAATGGGGCTATTATAAGGGCCTGTTAATATGCTGACTGCGCCTCTCTGAGGACGACAAGAACTGGATGAATGGCTGTGTCACTGTTTCCTTTGGCACACGTCTGGAGCACACTGAACTCATTTGGATAGTACCAGTGCTCCCAGGTCATGGGATAAACAAATTCCCCCATGTATAGAAACTGTAGTACAGCTTCAAATTGGGTCATTGCTGCTCTGGAAAATGTATTGGCAACACAGAGCTATAGCATGATGAGAAACGACAAAAATATGAACCAGGGTTGGGTTTGTTTACCCTCTGTTGGTGAAAATTCCAAAGTAGAAGCCCACGAAACTGGAAAGTTTGGCTGTCTAAAAAGGTCACCAACACATTAAATGAACAGCTGCAGTAGATTGTTTTGTACTTTGAGCCAATGTCTATGAAAACAACTCCTTGGATTTACCATCCTCAGTGCAATAATGCTAAACTTCCCAATTCAATAAATGTGTAAACATTGCAGACCCAAGCCAAAGAGTTACTTCATATGCCAACGTGTAATTGTAACATGAAAGAAGATAAAAAGCAAAAAAAAAAAAAAAATGGTGGAATTTATTTTGAGATAATACAAAACATATTTAACTTTTACAGTGAGGCAAACTAGACTTTTGCCTTTACAGTATATTTAACAAGGACAATGTAAATGTATTTCATAGAAACACAAAATAATTAAGGTAGAAGAAGACCAAGTGGTTTATCAAGTTTATTCATTTTTTTACTTTTTTGTAGAGATTTGGGACTAGGTTTATCCAAAGCATGCTTAAATTTACTTACTATTGATTGACTTGACTGGGATTGATTTACTAAAGACAAATAGGTTATTCACTTTGCAAAGAAAGTTGCTCTTTGCAAGAAAAGTTACCTTAAAGCTTGGTGAATGAGGTGAACCTATGCTGACTTTGATCATCAAATCATGTGTAAGTAAAAGTATAACTTCATCTGCCTTGCATGTGATTGGGTACTCTTTGCGAAGGGAAATTTCACTACATTAATTTTGCTCTAATATAATAATTCCATTCCATTCCGGATAATTCCATTGAATAATACAAGTTTCCTGTTCAAAGTGCACAGCCCATTTGCCTTTGGTAAATCAAACCCTACTATCTCTGCTGAAAGTATGTTTTTAATATTAAAAATACTGCCCTCCTGAACTTTATTCACAGCTTTAAAGTATGTAAAGGTTTCAGACTTGTCAACCCTTTCCCTTCTTTTCTCAAACCTGTGCATATGAATTTACTGCAGCCTTTCCTGATATGTTTTATTCCTTAGACCTTTCTCTGTTTTATTTCCTATCTCTGAACGTGTACTATCTTACATAGATAAGCGGTTTAAAAAAAGGTACAAGTCCATCTAGTTCAACCAATAAAAGGAAAAAAAAATACAAATCTTATGTACACAATACTATACCCACAATTGATCCAGACTAAAAACCCCAATAAAGCATGAAACTATTTTCTACAGCAGGGGAAAAAAATCCCTTCCTGATCCCCCAAGAGGCAATCAGATATTCCCTGGATCAGCTTTACTTATAAATATTAGTATCCAGTTATATTATGTACATTTAGGAAGATTCCACGGCTATTTTTAAAACAATCTACTAGGCTGAGCAGAACCTCTTCTTGAGGGAGTCTATGCCACATTTTCACAGCTCTTACTGTGAAGAAGCTTTTCCATATTTGGAGATTAAATCTATTTTCCTCCAGACATAAAAAGTGCCCCCTTGTCCTCTGTGATGACTTTAAAGTGAGTAACTCTACTTCAAGTTCATTATATGTACCACCTATGTATTTATACATGTTGATCATATCCCCCCTTAATCTCCTCTTCTCAAGACAGAGGAAATTCAGTTCCTGTAATCTTTCCTCATAGCTGATCTCCTCCATGCCTCGTATCAGTTTTGTTCCCCTTCTCTGCACTTTCTCCAGTTCCCCGATATACTTTTTGTGAATGGGTGCCCAAAACAGAAATACATATTCCAAATGATGATTTGTACAGGGGCAAAATGATATCTCTCTATAGAGTCTATACCTCTCCATACAAGAAAGGATTTTGCTCACTTTGGAAAACGCTTTGGTTAAACCTCATATTTGCTCAATTAAACAGTGTATTGAGGTCAGCTTGTAAGTCAGAGACATCCTCTAAGGATGTTATTCGACTGCACAGCTTGGTGTCATCTGCAAAGACTGAAATGGTACTTTTAATTCCAGACCCTATATTATTTATAAACATATTAAAAAGTAAGGGTCCCAACATTGAACCTTGGGGTATACCACTGATAATCGTAGACCATTCAGAGTATGAATCATTAACCACTACTCTCTGAATATGGTCTTTAACTCTGAATATGGACATTAACTTATCAATGTCTCCGTGATAGTGAGGTCCCCAGAACTAGACATTGTTTTCTACATGAAACCTAACAAATATTCTATATAGGTGAATCAGGTTTAACTTCCTCCTGCTGGTGACCCCTGTAGCGATGCACTTTAGAATTCTATTCTCTTTCTCCAATGCCAAGCTTGTTTGCTCATTTTGCAATCATCTGAAATCAGCACCTCCAAATATTTTTCTCCTGTAGCTCTGGTCAACAGTGTATCCCCCAATATTGTACTCTGTCAGAGGATTGTAATAGGGCTGTTTTTATCTAAGTGCATTATTTTGCATTCAGAAATGTTAAACTGCACTTTCCACTGCTTTTTTGTTCCACGTTACAAAAACCTCCATGAATATCAGCATTATATTACACCTTGCCCACCAAACTCTCAGTTAATGTATATCCCTTTGTAATGCCTATAAAATGTGTTGGCCTTGGGCCCTTTGTTTCTTGGGTAATTTTTACAATAAAGCATTGTCGCCCAGATGCCAGGGGCATGAAAAGTGACTTGATGTCATTTCTTTAGCCAAAGGAACAGAGTCACAAGATATTCTGCTGAAAGCAAGATAAAAAAACTTGTTTATGGAATGAACCGTGTTTATGACATCTAGTAACCACCTCACATTAGGAGCTAAAAACCTGTTTAAGGACATCTAAGTTAAAAATCCTTAAGTCTTGGGGAGATGAAAAGAGGTTTTAGGGTAGATAAGCAAAAGTGTAACTTTTCAGATAATGACTATGGTGGTTGAACATGACTGTTATCCTCGCGGAACCCTTATGCTAGCCCCTCCTGTGGTGGGTTTGGTGCCTCCCACTATTGGACCGCTTCCAGAAAAAGGGTTTATAAGGTGGTGGTCCGGGCAAGACCAGCAGAAGCTCCCCTAGTGGCCAGAGGACCTGATCTCTGATCAGATCTGATCTGATCAGAGCTCTGATGCTGGGATTTTTACCAAGGCTATATGGGCTCACCGACTGGTCGCGCCTATGGCTTCTCTGTGACCCCCTGAGCAGTTTGGTTCCGTTGGGATTTGTTCCTCCCAGCTTCCACATAGCTTTGGTAATGTATTATATTTATGCTGTGTCAAATGATGTGTCTATTTCAAGCTGTAATGCTCACATTATTATTGGTGTGTGTTATTATGCAGACTGTAATGACTATAAGTTATATCCTCCTGTGTGTCATGTGTTAATAAAAGTGAAGGTTTTGACAGTACAAAAATATTGCAGTTAGATTCTGTTATTTCTTGGAGTACCGGGTGAATGCTATGATGTGCCAGGGCAGGTATTCATTTGGTAGATGGTCTTTCACAATGCGTAGAACATGTAATGGTTTAAATGCTGATTAAAAGTACCAGCATGACTGCATGTTGATTGTGTGCATGTATAGGACTTGTTTTTAGTAATTGCACCCAGCATCACTATTACACCCTTCAATCAAGTTTTTCAAAATGCAGCTGAAAAAATTAGCAATAGAAGATGAATTAAAAGAAAAAATAACAAAAACAACAACAGGGCTGGATAAGACAGCAAGGTGTGAAACTGAGAAGGGTGCATCAGGGACACCAGGAATTGAGCCCTCTGGAGATTATGTGATTCAAAATTAGGAATATCTAGGCTCCAAACTCTGACCAGCTGTCTCCTACTACTCTTGCATGCTTATCAAAGAAATATCAAAGATGGAAAGTGAGCATCTATTGATACAGATGATTTACCACCACTCTTCCTGTCACCACAGAAATTTTGCCAGGAGTACTAACTCACAAAAGGAATTGAAATATCAAGTCCTATCAGCTTTACTGATTGTATGTGCATGCACCGTTTAAGGAGATCTGTATGTGAAACCATATTAAATGCTTTGATGAAAGCAAGACAGATTTTACCCACTGCCCCACCTTGATCCAAAACATTTGTGATGTAGTTAAAAAAAAAAAAAAAAAACCTGATTAGTCTAATCTTATCTGCCCTCAGTAAAGCCATATTGCTCTGGGATCAGCAAGTTGTCTCTTTTAAATGTACTAATCATTAATTTTAGGAGTAATTAATTGTGCTTCTACTGATGTTAAATTCATTCGCCTATAGTAGCCAGCTTCTTCCCTACTACCCATTTTGTGGATAGGTATAATGTTAGCTAGGTGCCAGTCATCTCCTTTATTATTCATGTACTATACTACTTTTGCTTCTATCACTTATAGTAACATTATTACATTTCCTTAATCCTAAATACATGGAAAGTAGTATACAACAAAAATCCCATTTCAACTAGTCTGCCCTTTTCTACATTTTGAGGAAGCCATCTTAGTCCCATTTAGTCTAGGTTACACTTTCTTATAGCTATTGTGGCTACTTGAGCCGTGTGTAGAAGGTGACAGAAAGTGAAGTTTTTGGTTTATTCTTTATTTCTTTCATGCTTCAGCGGACCAAGAAAATGGGAAAAAGGGACAATACTCAGAAGAGTAAACCTGAATAGCCTACAGCAGAATCAATAATACATTAAGTTCTGCATCCAAAAGAAAGAGGAAATGGATGGGACTTTGCAAGAGAAGGAATAAGTAGTTGTCACACAAATGACATACTTAGAGGTTCAGATGTCACGATTTTATTGAAGATGCCTAAATATATATCTTCACGATTCAATTTCCAAATGCATTTTAAAAGAAACACACATTGAGCTATTTAAGTCTATAGTTCTATAATCTCACCAAATTATCTTCAAGGAATGCAAAATTAATCTGTATTTGAAAGTATATATCTGGACCATTTCAATAGCAAAATAACTAAAATACTTTACTATAGGTGCTTGCATTTTATAATTTGAAACCTAAACAGAGAAAAAAAATAAGCTCTGAAAACCATAATATGGTTATTCTGAAAAAGAATAAGAATCACCATGAAGCAAAATGTAACGGATAATGCAGTGAAATGCACTCTTTGGAAAACTGTATTATTGTAGTAATTGTATGATCAGTGCTGGCGAATATACAGTATACTGGTCAGTATACAGTAAGAATGAAAAATACATTTGCAGCAGTTGAAGCCATTTGCACACATACATATATATATACGGTATATGTTATGTACTCACCTAGACTTTTGCAGGTGTCATGGTCTGGATCTAAAACCCAGCCATCGTAACAGGAGCACTTCACTATAAACTTCTCCTGCTCACACCTCTGGCTGCAACCAATATGTTTAGGGCAATTGTTCTGGATCTGGCAGGTCTTGTTGTCAGGACCGGTTTCCCATGCCTAGAGGACAGGAGCATACAATCCCTTCCCCAGGGGCAACTGTGCAGTTGTGGCTGCATCCACCATTGTTCAGTGAACACTGATCTGTACAAGAAAATGTAAAAGACAATAGGCACGCAAAGTGAAACAAAGAAAGCTCATGTAAATATATATATTAAAATTACTTAATTAATATTTCCTAGCAAGTAAAAGACAACAAATCAGAGAGAGAAAATGTTAAATAATAATTACAAATTCTTAATCTTCCCACTACCCAGAAACCGAGTAAAGGAATCTACCTAATGATTTTAATTCTGGTATTTATACCAAAGTGCTGATTTATCATAAAGCACCCAATAGAGTTTATAGATCCATTCAGCTCAGTCCCTGTTCCTCAAATGAGCTTGCACTTTTATATCCCTACCACACTCCCTGTCACACAGTTTTAGAAGAAGCTAATCCCCTACTACTATGTTTTTCACTTGTGTGAGGACGCCAGGGCACCTGACAGAAGCCCCAAGCAAACATGGTGAGAATATACAAATAGCATACAGAACACAACTGGAAGGAGATTAACAGATTTAAACAAAACGGCAGATAGGAACTCAACATTTGTTGACTCAGCATTACCTCAATGGTTTCATTGGATAATGTTATTGTTATGGCACATGATGCAATGTATCTGAATCAGTTAAAATGGGAAGGATAGGCACCATGACCATGAGAATATTCACTTTGCCTTAAACTGGGTGCTATATTTTCACCACTTTTTGTGTAATAAAGTTGGACAAGTGCGCTTGTGTCAGTTGGTAGCTTTATATCTCTTATATATGTTCTGCTGTTTTTTTGTCATTACGTGGTTATGGTGCTATCTGATATGGCAATGTAACGCTGCCACTTGATAATGTTGTTTATACTTTGTCTTTTGTAAAACACCTTTCAATAAAAATGATTAGAAATGGAAAGCCATTTGTTTCTTTTGCTGTGATTTTGTTGAAAGTATTTTTCTTATTGTTACATTCACCTATATACATCTGTGCAATGATTTTATTTGGACTTTTAGGTAATGTCTTATTATTATGCATTATTTATATCCCAAAAGTGGCATGTTATGCATCCAAAATATACATACAAGGCCAGTGAAATGCAGACATAGAAGACTGTCCTTTTCATAGACAGAATGTTTTAATAGTACAGGAAGGAGCGTATGATTGACAAGCTTGGAGGCAAGCAATTAAGCTATTTAAATAACTTTATGCAAAGGCAATATGTGAAAGAAAAAAAGACAGGGACCTGTGTTCTTCCCATATGGAAATCAAGAATACCAAATGTATGCATCATGTGACAATCTCAACAGACAGATGACAAGAAGGCAGAATTAACCCAATCTTTTTGCATGGAGATCCACATCTAATAGTTACTATTCTGCAACTGCATGTGTAAATCTTTAAGATCTTGAGAAGGAATTGTTCCCAAATACATTCTCCACTAAAGAGCAATATATACAATGTTTTACAAAAACATCCTTAAACATCTGAACTTAAAAAAAATAAAGATTTGCAGACACACAGTGCAGAATAAGTCAATGTAAGTTAGTAATCAGTAAGATCAGCTGCAGACCACAGGCAGAACTGGTAATAGTCATTTTCCTTCTGCATGGCATTTTGGGCAAAGCCTCAACAGATCAGGTCCTTGTTAATATAGATGAGTGTATATATACGAGTTTAATTCCGGATTTCTTGCTTACAAAAACTTAATGAGAATCACTGATGCATCCCTCCACAAACTGATAAAAATGTTCTTTGAATCTCTTATCTTTTTATGTGGGTACACTATCTGTATGAAGATTTCATTCCTAGAATGAATGCCCTCACTCACCAACTTCTGATGCCAAGTGATGATACCAATCTGATTTAACTGCAGAAGGCATAGGGTTTAAATAACCTCCCTTCCTCCTTACAAGAGTAAAACTGTTTAGTAATTCACTATATATTGAATATTACCTTCAACTCTACAGGTAATTTACCGGCAGAACTAAATATAAACACTAGGAACTGATATTCTTCAATAAAACTTGCTTCTCCGCTATATTTTGTTAGCTGACTGCATAGAGTGCCAAAGGCAGGACAGAGGAAGCTCTTGCTGGTTTATAGGGAAGAATATATTTTCTGATTCAGGTCAACTCAGCTATAGGGAATTGGTCTATTCTGAAACCTTATATTAGATGCAGATACTGCTTAAATCAGCCATAAATGGTTCAAATCTCTGCCAGTTCAGCAAGGACCAGATGAGATTGGAACCATGCATTGGCAGGCTAGTTGTACCCAAGTCGATCCATCAATCAACTTGGGTATAACCAGCATGTCAGATTTTTACATGCAATTGTTGCCAGTGGCTATAGTCCCTAGCAATAATCCCTGTGTTCTCCTGGCAGGGATGGCTCCTCACCCTGTAAGAACACAATAACTCTGCGGGAAGCATTCCACCATCAAGGCTGACTGAATGGAGTGAAAGGAAATTGCATCATCTATGGCCTGCCTCATCAGAGCCATTTTCTAAAGCCAACATTTTAATGGGATTAAAATGTTTGGGAATTTAACACCTTCCCGCCTGGCCTATAGCAGATTGACGACCGGGTGGGACACTCCTTCTTGTGACTGGGTGCCATATGGTGTCCTGTCAAAAAGGGTGGCGTGATCTGTCACCGGCTGTGTCCACAGGACAAAGCTGATGATATATTACAACATCGATAAATTGCCAGTGTCATGTGACCGCTGTGACCAATCACAGCAGATCACATGTCAACCGTATACAATGGATGGCTGTGATTGGTCAAAGCAGTCACATAGTACAGACAGGGCCCATCGCAGCCCATCTGTATAATGTGATGAGCTTTGCCCAATCACAGCAAATCATAACAAAAAACTGAATTAATCAGTTTAATTCAGTAACAATGATAGCGAATATCAATGAAATACATTGGTATTAGCAATCATAATGTGTAAAAAAAAAATCCTCATCACTTGCCCAGAGTAGTTCAATGTTACTATGGGAACATTATAGTGCTTTGATTATGATGTGTTGAATGAAAAAAAAATTGTAAAAAAAAAAAGAAAAAAAATCATGTAATAAAAAAACATTTGAAAAAAAAATTAATTTTTTTTTTTTTACATACTGTCATCAATCAGTGTCCCTGATCACTGACACACCAGTTATATATTAATGCTTTACTGGACTGCTGACAATATGTTAAAAATAAATAAATAGTGATTTTTTTTTTTTTTTTTAATTTCTACATTTTCAAAAAAATAGTTACAAAAAATTACAACCTCCAAAAAACTCACCATGCCTCTTACTAGATACCTTGGACTGTCTATTTTCCAAAAATGGGTAATTAGGGGGGTACTTGTACTATCCAGGTGTTTTTGGGCCTCAAGAAATTAGATGGGCCGTCAGTACATCTGGATTGATTGATTGTCAGATACAGTATATATACCATGGTTTTTGGACTCTATAACTTTCCTACAGACTAAATAATACACACTAATTTGGGGTATTTTCACCAAAGAAATGCAGCAGAATACATTTTGACCTAAATTTATGAATAAATGTTATTTATTTGCAAAATGTTATAACAGAAACAAAGAAAAATGCTTTTGTTTTCAAAAGTTTCATTTTTTTTTGTTTATTTAGCAAAAAATAAAAAACTCAGTGGTAACTAAATACCACCAAAAGAAAGCTCCATTTGTTTGAAACAAATGATACAAAATTTCAATGGGTACAGTGTTGCATGACCAAGCAATTGTTATTCAAAGTGCAACAACACTGAAATCTGAAAATTGGCCTGGGCAGGAAGGGGGTAAAAGTGCCCGGTATTGAAGTGGTTAATATTAACGGGTTTCTTATCCCACTTACCACACAGTTCTCCCTCATCAGAATCATCTCCACAGTCATCATTGCCATCACACAGTTTCTCAGGAGGCAGACATATGGAGGTGTTGTTGGCACAGGTGTGAGATGGAGGTTTGCACACTAACATGTCGCAGTTCTCTTCATCGGAGTTGTCCTCGCAATCATTATCGCCATCACACACCCAAGCTTTACTAATGCACCTTGCTGTACAAAAAAAAAAAAAAAAAAAATAATGAATGATACATACATTAACAGCATTCATTAAAGTACAGTCAATAGTGCTCATTGTACTCTGCTATATTCCTTATACATTTTTTACATTGCCTGACTATATACTGCAAGTGATCTGAAGACTTATATTATATATAGGATAATTTAGAACCAGTTGCATTTCATAACAACCAATCAGAAATCAGCTTTTATTTTTCTGAATACTGTAGACTATAGGCCAACTTTTAATTTGTTGTCACACCACTGAATTACAATATGTAATTATAAAAACCCGTCAATTAAAAAAAAAAACCTTTGTATTTTCCTAAATAGTCTATGGCCTGTCTTGGAACAGGCACTGTAGAGAAACACAGATCATATTAGTTATAGCACAACTAGAATTCAACATGTATGTCCTTTGTCCCTGCTGTCCCTGAAGGACTGGAATATTGGCCAATATCTAATAGGTGTTAATAGTTCCACGGCAAATGATACTACAAAATACTGTTAGTAACACAGTGAGATTCCTTAGCGCCCTATGTAACTATCCTCACCAGAGTCCTTGCAGCCAAACTTGACATTTGGGTCACATGCGTGTGTTACACCGTCACAGTTCTTCTCATCACTAGTATCCATGCAATCTGTATCTCCATCACAACGCCAGCGGCTAGGAATGCACAGCCCATCCAGACGACACTGGAATTCATCAGTATGGCAACCACCAGGTGGACGAGTTGCTGTTCACATGGTGAAAGATGGAATTCAAAATTGTCCAATCACAGGAAAAATACACATGCACATTGTTCAAGATTTAATTTAAACATTTTAAAATGACATTAAAGGTGAAATTAAGACAAACAGTTACACAAATGAAATACATATATGGGGCTGTTTTACTTGCAAAGGATTTGTATTGTTGCCTATCCTCTCCTACGATTTACACAGCCTTACCACACAGCACAGCCAGAATGGTGGCCTGACTCTACTGCAGCTCAGAAATACAACTAGGTTCTTCGTCTTGCCCCCCAAAACGTGAATAGACAGTGAAGGAGAAGCAGCAGACTCATGAACTCATCCCTCTGTCATGCATTTCAGGAGGCTGATATAAAATCAATTTCAGGTACTCCATTATTGTTTAAGTAGCATTAATAAGATAGGGAAGTATATCATATTTACTTGTTTTAAACTTTTTTTTTTTTTTTTTAACATTTATTCATTTACTTTCTGGTTTGCAGGCATAGGCAAACAAAGTTGTACTTCCCAGGAGTCTTCAGGAGGGGAGGAGGGGCTCTCAGTTAAGCACACCCTCCTTCCTGTATGCCTCAGCTAGGGGCAGTTTGACTCTAGAAAGTAAATGTATCATCTGCCTTACTCAGGATAGTCATGGCCAAAAATGCTGGCGGGGGGTGTTAAAATGATTTCTCAGCAAAATAAAGCATGAACGCATAGATGGATAGGGGAGTTTGCTTTTAATAATAAAATATATTAAACAAAGTTTGTGGTTAGTGGTGCTTACAGTAGACACAGTGCAGGTCTGCATTAAGTTTTTAGTTAATTTCTCGGGTTTGTTTTTGTATCATCAGGCAGACAATCCTGACTCCACGATGGCATAATACCTCCAAGTAAGTCAGTGATAAAAACCCAAGTTTTAAAAAACATTCAATTGCAAATGACATTCCTCAGCAAATACAGATCATTAAACTAGAGCATTGAAAGCAGGTCAGGCACAACAATTATTTTTCAGATCTTTGCTGACACATTAAATAGTACTTCTGAAATACTTTGTTTCAGTAGTAGTGCTGGGTGTGCAAATGCATTGCCATTAGTGTCAAAAAGTAGTTGTAAAAAAACAAATTCCACATTTTCAGTGACAGAAATATTTAGGGTGCAACTTGTAACATGCTCCAGACCTGAACCCCGCACCTCAATTTTCTCCCTCTCTGTGAAAGGGGGTGGAAGATCCCTTCCCTACACCCACTGTCACATTTTTAAAACGGTGCAGCTGTGCAACAATCTTTGCATGAAAGTCCCATCTTCCACTGTGACAAACCGCTTTAGGTTTTCAATGGACCGCAAGCATGTGTCACCACCCCACCTCCATTCTTTTCATAAGTCTATGAATGAGCATTAAAACACTGCACTGAGTCTTCCCTGTGTGCTTTCCCCTTCTGTAATCCCAACAAAACACCTTTCCAGGCTACAAAGTCTGAATCGTTTTAGACTTGCTGCATTGTGCAACGTAGTAGTGCCTGATAGGATCAAAGTGCGCAACCTCCCATTTTCACCTTCTGCTGCATGAAGGATTATGGGAAGCTTATATAAAGATTAATGAATGTACTTAACTATCAATGTTGGAATGTATAGCTTTCCAAGCATATACAAAATCATTAAGCAATGCTGCTAAAAATCTCTCTTCCTTATTCCTTTTTCTTGATGGCTGTCATCGCAGGTTTCAGCCAGTGTAAACAATGTTTTGCTTAAATTCAGCATGTCTGCAGCCGAGTTCTCATCAATAGGATTCTGTGCAATTTTATGTCTTCTGTGCAAGCAGCCATACAGCAGGATTTCTATATTGCACAGCTGTAAACACTGGAAAGCAGACTGCCCACTGCTACTCAATTCCACTTAGTCTACTGAAATCAAAGGTTCCTTTATTGTTCTCAGTCTCCAAACCCTTTATTTAAAAGGACAACTATAGGCAATTTTATTTAAATTTTAGATTGAGCAAGGGAGGGTTATAAACCCTGTCAGATTTGTTTTTCCATTTTGGAGATTTCTGTTCACTTGCTGTCCCATAGCCAAAAAAGTGAGAGAAAATCCCTGCAAATTAACGGAATTCCTTGGGAACCCCAAGGTCATCAGAACTAGTATTCCCATTTCCCCCCTATCACTTTTCTGGGAACAACCCAAAACTTGGGATTTTCTTTCCTTTCAATGATACTGTTAAACCAAACAGAGAGGGTTAATCTTGATAACATGGGCACAGACAGCAAAGACTGACAGGGGTTCTAATCCATCTCCACAATACCCCTCCCCCCCAAAAAAAAGGTTTTGCCTCTAGATATACTTTAAGCCTTCCAACGTTGAAGACATTACATCAAACTGATAGTTGCTCTTACTATTAATGGGAGCAGAAAGCAGAGAGGCTCAATGTAATCAATGCTAAGTTTACACTGGCAAGGGCCTGTACGGACAGCTCTGAATGCACAAAGAAATGAAATGCCCCCCCCGCAATATGTCATTACACTTGTGCTCCACTGAGAATTACAAGTCCCTCTGTCACGGTAGTTTCTATTCATTCACGGGTTTCTGAAAGGACCATGCCAATTTCATATCAGAGAGGAGCTAGCAGGGAGAAGAACCCTTGGATTCTGCAAGCAATTTGAGGGTGAGGGAGCTGTGCACATTAACTATATTTCATGTTACACCCAAAATTTGGTTGTAACATGAAAAATTCTCAGAAGACTGAATTTAGCTTTTAAAGTGTTACTAAACCCACAACAGTAAAATCAGTCTGTATATGCAGTAAAGCATGCTTGTTATACTTACTGTGGAGCCTCAGGGGTTAATCCACTGCATTGTGTAAAAACGTTGTTTGATCCTGGCTTCTCTGATCCTCCCCTTCTTCCAGTGCCCCCCTCTATCTCCTGCTAAGACATATCATGTGGAGTCACTCTGCACATGCTCAGTTTGGTAAGTATTGCTAGAGAGGTTTTTTTTTTTTTTTTTTCTTGGGAGAGTGCATGTGATCAGCACAGGGCCAATCAGCACTGTCCAGACAGATGTCGGGGGCCTGTATCCTCCTAGTGCAGAATGAAAACTCCTCCTACAAGCTTTTACATGTGCTTGGCTGGACACTGATAGAAGTTACAAGACTTCCTCAGTATACTGCTGACGACAAAATGTATTTAGCAGTTTATATTTACTAAAATAATTGCATTTCCCTGTTCTGTGTACTGTGGGAGACCAGATATAGTGAATGCAGGGTCCTGGGTTTAGTAACACTTTAAGGGTTTAAAAAAAAATACACAATTGAATTAAACTGTTTTCCAGCCTTGAGTAAAGATTTGTCTTTTAAAGATATGTTAGAATACTTTATTCCAACATTTCTCAGCTTTGTACAGTATGTTCATGTCTGTACTCAGCCAAAAAAGCCATTGTAATTCAATTGATCTAGTCCGTGAAACCATGACCTAAGTATGAGGATTCGTGATTATCTCTATTCCCCTTCAGCTGAAATTGTTTTTCTACTGGCAGCTAATCAGAAATTGAGGGATAATGTGATTGTATCTGCAAAGATTATGCAAAAGCCAACTTTAAAGCAAAATGTCTGATTTCCACTCGGAGTTTTCATAGATGCTATTTAGGAATTTTCAGAAAGTTATTTTATAAGAAAAGAAGCAACTAAAAGCAACTATATACAGGTACTATTAGGTAGGATAGCATGAGGAATGGCATGGTTAAGGCTAGACACTGCAACATAAATACTAACATATACAACAAAATATATGGGCTGTACAGGCATATTGCACAATGTGGTTTCTCACCTTGATTGGTGCAGTTGGCATGGGTTTCATCACTGTAGTCCCCACAGTCATTGTCCCCATCACATGTCCAGTGTTCTGGGATGCAACGGCCACTGTTGCATTTGAACTGGGTGCTGGAACAAGAGTGACTGCAGCCATCCTCGTCACTGTTGTCTCCGCAATCATTGTCTGAAGGTAAATATCAATAGTTAATTAACAAAGACAACCAAGGAATTCTTCAGGTAAGGGTAAAACAAAGCAAGCAAGCTGATTACAAATAAGGTTGCAAAGCACCATAGGCATAGGAAGCACTAATATTTTAATGAAGGAACGCTGTCCTAAATCATTCTTACAGTGTACCTGATTGATTTTCTGATAAAGATAATATACTTGTAAATAAACCAGATTTGCAGTGAGATGATATCATGAAAGACGTTTAGCAAAACTATTAATTTTGTTTTGACTTGACAGTAATGGGGTCCAGCTTAAATTAAAGCTCATGCCCATTTTAGATACAGTGCCACGAAGTTCCTCTGGAGGTCCCAAACCCATGCTACTCCCCTCATTTACAACCATTTGGAAGGCCAGAGAATACCATCTGAAAAATGAATGGGCCTATGCATTATTCCGACAAGGACATGGCCAAAGAAATTTCTTGGCAAATCTTGGAATAGCAGAGCTGAAAATGTCAGTATAGTTTAAATTGTATCCTGAACAGTAAAGGCAAAGCATGGAAAGCATGAATACCAGAAAATACTGACTTCTGCAGTGAATTTACATTTAAGTTGGAATTCAGCCAATTTTTTAGTAGAGTGAAGAAGAGTTGGAACCACTGCTATGTTTTCACTCCTCCCTCTCTCCCTCCATTTCTATGAAGAGGATTTGCCCTCACTTCCTGTTCAAGTGGTTGTGTTAATCAGGACAGGACTTGACAGGAAATCCCCAACAACAGTGATTTGAATACCAGTGGATACCAGAAATTAAATTTGTTAGCCTACTCTAGCCAAAACATTTTTTGCTGGAAATAAACATTATTTAAAATATTGGTTTCTAGTGTAGAATAATAGAATTACGAAAACTTAATGACATACAGGACAGAACATGCATTAAAACACAAACACTGCAAAGAATTTGAGGAAGAAATGAACTTTCTCAGAAGTCAAAATGCACAGGCAAAAAGTTAAAAGCAATAAGAGGTTATTCCCACCCTTATATCATATTACTAAAAATTTACTTTATTTAATACAGTAGGGAACCTGTCCCTACTACTGGTGACCATTCTCTTAGGCTGGACATACAGTATACAATTTTCTGTACAATTTCCTTTAAATTTACCCTCAATTATGTAGTGCAAGGGCCTGCCTAAATGGATACGCCTGAAAGTGTTGTTTAGGTTTGACCTCATATTATATGCTTTTTTGGTAAATCTAATGCAGGCCATACTGTACATGGGTTGAATTCCGAACAAATTTTCTTTAGAAAATCGGAAATTGTGTGCATTTTGTAATCCGATGGTGCCAACATTGATTTCGAAATTCAAACAACCAAGCCTTCAGTTTCACCATATGTTGTTACAGAAAATAATTTTCGTGGCCAAGAATTTTCTTTTCTTTCCAGGTCATGCTCATTTCTTTTTCGTTTATATTTCTCACACGATTCTCCCATCATTGATTTAAAATTCATCAATGTTTCAAAAAATTTCCAACATGCCCGATCACTCAAATTTGATGGCCACACAAATTCGGCCTTTTCTGTGACCCACTAATGGTGCAAAATTTGAGCGAACATTTTTAGAAAAGATTTTCAAAAGAAAATCTTTTGTAATTCGACCCGTGTATGGCCGGCTTAAAGGAACATTGTACAAGAATAAATGTAAAAAGCATATAATATGAGGTCAAACCTAAACAACACTTTCAGTTGCATCCAATTAGGCAGGCACTTGCACTACATAGTTGAAGGTAAATCTAAAGGAAATTGCACAGAAAATTGTATAATGGATGGCCAGCCTTACTTCGCACTGTCCCACCAAACCTCTAATCATTAGATACAGCTGGCACTATCCATGTCAGTAAAAAGCAGGCACCTGGGCTTAATTACAAGCCAAGGACACTCAAAGCTGATAGCTCAGTTTTCAGAAATTGTTGGCTTCAAATATCTCTAGGGAACACCAGAGATGACATACTGCCCAGACGTCATGGCCATTATAAATCCTTTGCATGTTGTTAAGTCTTACCCTCCTGTCCCCCAAATTAATCCCCCCTAGATTGTGGTTTCCAAAACATTTTTTCATGTGTTTACAACTATCACAGCCTTTGTAGTGTAATACTTAGATGCACATACAAACTGTTTCAGCATGCTCCGTGTGGTATCTTCCAATGGTAGCTGGCACTAAAATATATTTTTCTACAAGGCAATCCTGCAAAAACATTCTACACCCAACAGTGTCCCACCAATAGTAACGGAACATGTAACACCTGCACTTTATGTTCTTTTTGGGAAACACGAGTGTACAATAAACAGATATTTGGGAAGCACAACTTTTTTTGGCCTTGTTTGAGGGTGTTGAGCAAGAAACTATCATTAGAAAATCTCACCACTATAATCTGCAAGATGTAAGAATCCAAGGGGAGATCCAGAACTTAAATATCAGTTTTGGTTACATTTGACCTTTAATATTGGAATATTGGTGATGCAAGCAATGATGATGTACAATGTAGTTTTAAGCAGGGTGTAATGTCCTCTAACCTGTTGCTCCGAGTTCTGGCACATTGCCTTATTAAACTTAAACACTGATGCCACTAGGAAATCTTAGCTGCCTACAAAACAGCCAAAAAATTAGAAGTACCAATGGGCAGACTCCACAAATACCATTAGTAAGCAAGCAAGAGAATGGGTTTTCACCTGATCAAGGATCACTGATGGGAGCTTGTCATAACAGATAAATGAGCACTGCCATTGGTGAATTACATATATATAAGCAAGAGGCCCGGAATAAGCATGTATGCAGAAGAGTGAGCAACAAGGGATTAGCAAGTTCCAGAAAAATTATGCCATGACAGCTCCCATAGTTCTGTCATGCCAATAAAGCTAAATAAGCATTGAGAGACAGAGAAAAAACAAACTGTTGAAAAGCACAACAAAAGGCCACAAAGATAAAGCAATGTTCTTTGTAAAAGTATCAAGAAGGTAGCAATAGAGAGTGCAAGACAAGAAAAATATCAAATCACTTGATAGCAGATATCCCCAGTTATTTAATAGATAAAAAAAAAGCAAGGTTGACATGATGTGAAAGAGATGATTAACTGAAACAAAGGCTTAGAATTAGGTGTCAGTAGAGAGATCAGTCCCTGGTTCACAACCTCCACCCCATCTCAGCCAGAGCAGAAAGAGGCAGAGATATAGCAAGCTCTACCAACTACAGAGAAAGTGAATACAGATTGCATAGATCACTACATGCACCATATCAGATTGGAAGATATCTCATTTTATGCATGGGCAGGCCTTAATTACAAGCTATCTCGTCTACTGAGCACAGTATTTCCTCTGGATTTACAGCAAGCCGACTAATGAATAAGCCACTTCTTTCTCTAAGCTATTTCCATCACCAACAATGACTGATTTGCTCTCAATAATTCTAATTCCTCTTTGTAGTTTAAACTAATTCCTTCTCTAAAACAGGTCACTGGTTGCATTACATAATAACTGCAACAGCCATATGACTGTAGGAAATATAATTACCTGTAACAAGAACAAATTTGGAAAATGAAGGCCAGCATCCCCCAAAACAGATATTTAGGAATTGAATTATTGCCAGCAAGCTAAATCACATGCCGGCATCTTATGTTTTTCAGAAGTTTCAGTGGCAAGAAGTACCCACCAGAGTGACTAAAGCCGGTCTTGTTGAAGAAAAAACTGGGTAAACTGGGATGCCATAACTGCCTGGATGGTCATTGGAGCACAAAGTAATTTATAGGTTCAAACATCTACTAATCTAGCATAGTTAGCAAGCTTGCCGCAATGAGTAGGCAGCGTCCCTCAGCATTTACTATACTGAATGGTGAAGTGCAGCTATTGGAACTTACACACTAAAGAGTAAATAAAATAGAGATGAGCCTGTGTCCAGTTCAGACATCCAATTATGTGAAAGGGAATGGGATTGCAGGCCGTACCCCCCCCCCCCCAATACCAGAACATTCCCCAAATACGACCATTAAGAAAGAAACCATTAGGCCGATTGTGGTGAGAAATGGCCACGGCACTTTATTGGTGTTACACAAAATAAACCATTTACAAAACTACAATAATCGTTGATGAAATATAATAAAACACCTTCTTCTGGCTCAGTTATTGGAACTCGAGCCATCACATAAAACATCTGCACTTCTGAAAACGTCCCCCCTGACTCCAAGGTGACAGCACCACAGAAAGTGCGCGCGACAAAAAAAAAGGGGGGGGGGGAGCTCTTCTGCTTGCAGGCTGGCCACTGACCCAAATGATCCAGGTGCCCCTTATATCCTGTCAGCCAATGCTCCAGACACTTCCGTGACTTCCGATTGGATCCCAGGAATTCTGCTTAACAAAATTTAAAGGGGCCAACACCAAACTTTCCCACACATAACAAACCCACCATTTACCACTACAAACAAGCCCATTTGAGAGGGGAGGGGGCAGGGGGCGGCTGCAATCCCACGAAAGTGGTCCCAAAGGTTTGTGCCCATCTTTGCCATTGTTTTCACATCAGTTTACATTTTAGCAAATTTAAGCTCAGGGAAGCTTCAGCCATTTTTTCCCTTTAGTAAATTAGGCTGTATTAGTGTTTATAAGCAACAAACATCGGCAGTGTCTGCTGAAGCAATTTTCTAGTATGCTGTAAGAAGCCTGTTGCTTGAATGTACAACCAGCTTGGAGAAACAGCAATTAACTCAAGTTGGTAGGGTGAGGCCATGGAGTTGTAATGTTACCCTAGATCCTTTAGATAAAATGCAGAAAAATGAATTGTTTGCATACAGAGCTGCTTGCATATGTGAAAAAACAACATCAATTTTATCAATGTCATCATCAGACAGCACACGAAAGATGAAAGCTGTATGATCAGCACAGCTAACACTGCCTGGGCCATAACTATATAAGAATATCATATAGATAATGAAGGTGCATGTTCATCAGTGACAAAATGGGACTGGTGACCAACTCTCACTTTTTTCCAAAAAGGTGTAACACCGAGCACTAAAACTGTCTACTTTGGATTCCTGGAATGGATGGCAGACCTATCAAACAAATTTACCAAAATCAATTTATTAAAATTACAGACAAATTGCCTAGTTACAACTGAAAGCCCAGCCCAAGAACCTTTCAATTTGCTTATCTTGGATCTACTCTAGATCCTAAATAAGCGCTGCAGCTGCTGCTATCCCTAGCTGGCTGTATGGTGCATGTTGACCTATGCACTAACCGGGAGACATTGGACAGTTCATTTCGTCAGAGCCATCCCCACAATCCTTTTCTGCAACAAAGAGAAACCAACCAAAGACAAGACATTCAAGACATTAAAGACACAGAACAGAAGAAATCATACAGAAACTATTACAAATAAAATACACTGTAAAAGTTGACACGTGGTTATTAATCTATTAAATGTAAGTTGTGTGAAAAAGAATATAAATAGTGTAAAGGAGCATGACGATGAGAAGGGACAATGAAATAACACAAAAAATGTCTACATATACATGCTGGATTTTGTCAACATTTTACCACATGAAAGCACACTTAAAGCCGACCATATGTATAGGCATATTTAAGCAAATCTGTTTTGTAGAGGAATATCTTGTGTTTATTAAGACATGTTCATAGTTGATTAGGGGCATATGGAAAACTTAAAATAACATTATAAAACGAGGTCAATCTGTCACCATGGCTACTAGCCTGGATTTTTTTCTAAAATGACTAGATAATTATACTTAGAAACATATATCCCTGATAAAATAATATACGACAAAATATATAGTGGGGAATGGCCTATGATCAATCAATATGATGTCTCGAATTTATAGCAAGACCCAATGTTTTACCATAAGCATTGTTAAGCACTGGTGAAGTGTAAGAGACAGACTGAAGAATGAAGACGCAATGGGGTTTATTTACTAAAGCTGGTTCACTCAGAATCTCATGCAGCTGTGCATGGTAGCCATTCAGCTTCTTACCTCAGCTTGTTTAATTAAGCTTTAGTAATAAAACCTGTAAGCAGATTGGTTTCTATGCAGAAGTGCACAAGATTCTGAGCGAAACCAGTTTTACTATATAAACCCAAATACCCTGTGTGTTTACTTAGAAGTCAAATTACATGGTCAGCTGAAACAAATTGACAAGTCTGCTTGTGGAAAATGTGGGTAAGATCACTTAGGCACTGACAACTTTGGTCTTATGGGACCCTGGTGATGAGACCTACCCCAGTCAACTTCTCTGGCCCTGCTGCTCCTACAGAACACAACGTAAATGAACAATCTAAGAAGAACATGTTTTAAATAATTCTTGTGACAGGGGAGCCAACCTGGAAACAAGTGGAGGCATCTCACCATTGGATCAGTAAACGAATTGGGAGAAATAATTCAACTAACCTGTATCTACCAAATACAATCTTTTGGGTTTATTGTCCCTTTATTTGACCTTCAGGCTTGTATCAGAAACTGCACCAATTGCAGGCTTCTTGGTAGGTTTCAAAGTTCTTATCGAGGAACCCTCTCTCTAATGTTTCAGCTGATTCAATTAAAAACTATTCCTCATAAAAAGCATGGGTAGGAATAATACTGAGAACAGAAAACAAGGCATTACTTAGCAAAGCAGTGTGGGGCTTAAGTCTGCTCAGATGTCTAAAAAAATAAAACATCTTGATTGACTTCCTAGCCATTAACGTCACATAAAAGTCAACATTTACCTTTGGGTAAAATTGTCCTACATGACAGGCAGTCATGGGAAGTCTGCACTTATCCTAAGTTTGTATATGACATAACAGACTTCACTTTTCATCAGTTTTTAGCAGTCAGAAAAATGAATGATTTTTGACTGCTTGCTGTGGGTCATTTTGCACATCACTTTTAGTCACATTGTGAAGGCCAAAATTAACAAAACAGATCTTATCATCAGAATGACAGGACAGTCTCAAGCCATTCTAAATGAGAAGAGATGATATGAAAAGCTGAAGGACAAACAACCATTCCACTTACCATTATCACAGCGCCAGTTTATGTTAATGCATCGGCCACTGTTACAGGTGAACTGAGTAAGAGGGAAGCAGGTTGGGTAAGCTGTAAAGAAACAAATGCTCACATAAATTAAAGGAGAAAAATAAAACAAGCTGGAAATATTGTAGATTTCCCTCAGACCTGTTGGAAAAATGGAATGCTAGATAAAACTTCAACATGCACCAATAATTCACTCATGATAATACCTCAGTTAGGCAAGTCTTTACAGAGGCACTCTACTTGAAACTTGTATTTTTTTTTAGTTTTTGTATGTGCAGAGCAGTTACCTTTTTTATACGATTTTTAATTGCTGTCTGTGTCCTCTTTTGTGATTTTTATTCTGTCAGTCAAAATGATTTTATTAAAATTTGGCAACTAATTTACTATTGTTAAACAACATTGCCACCAATTGGACATTTAGGTCTAATTCCCAGAATTGCATATTGGAATATAAATATATATATATATATATATATATATATATATATATCTCAATCACACATACATGGTAGAGGAGCAAATAACTTAGAGAAGAGATGAAAATGATTCTCTGATTCTCCATCCCGATGCAGGTATCTTCCTGGATGTATGAACTCCAGCCTTGCACAGGAATTTTGACTTTTCTTAGACTTTCATATGCTTTAAACATGTTCCAAACATGCAATCCAAAGTACTAAAGCCAGGAAACCAGTATTGTAAAAAGAAGGCTAGCAAGAGCAAACCTCAAATTTCTCTTATGACAGTTGATCACAGATTGACAATATCATGCTTATAAGGTCTGCTTGCTGTGAAATATATATTTAACAACCAAGCTCATCAACAAAAGTGATGGTGACAGGACTGGGAATTTAACTAGCAACACTAGCAGGGGGGGTTTAGCAGATACAGTGGTTTTTTAAGGTTTTTTTTTCTTTTTAATGAAAACTGAAAAAGGGACGACCAAGCTTGGCAGTCCTACAGTTTGTCACAAACCCGGTCACTGTCACTTTTGTATCTGGAACATATTGGTCTGCATGGTAATGTAGAGAAATACTTGAATAATACTATGGGAAAAAATTAGGAAATACATATACTGCACAATATCATTAAGTGCAGTAACCCAATACCGTGATCAAAATGTAATATTTTTCAACACTTAAAAGTAATTAAAAAACTAACAAAATTGTAAATACAAGGCACAAAGTGAGCTGAGAGCATACCAGTGCTCACTAATACAACATCACACAGCAACTAAACAGAACACAGACAAGTTGAAAGGTTTTTTTTTCTTATTAGACCTAAGTGTGGTCACCTAAATTTGGTCAACTACCACAAAATCTTTACTTTCAAACTTTTTTTTACATATTTATTGTAGGATATTTAGATTTTTGTACTCTTCAACATAAATTTTGTAGATTTTAACATAATGCCAGCTTTAGGTCTGACATATTCAACATCTCTGAACATCACTATCTCACTAAACCCTTCCCATAATAAACTGTAGATCAGCCATATGCAAAAAAGGTGGACCTTAAAAGGGAATGAACGGGGATAGGCTAAGTAGGCAGGATTAGTATTAACCTTCTAAAATACTCCAAAACATTTGGACTACAAGAAACAGATGCATGCCAGTCCCATATATCTGCAGTTTATTTTCTCGACCACTACTAATTGCTATTTTAGCTTTTTTAAAGCAAGACTAGAGTGACTGATAGACATGTGCCCCTTTACTGGTTCTGGAGCTATAAAGCAAGGTATATTCACCAACTAGAACTAGAATGTGAAATAAGGGGTGTTAACTTCTATTGGGGATTTCTAATTCCAATCTATGGCCTAATGACACAGCTCTTCTCAGATGCTTAGGAGACAAGTCAGTAAAAAGGAGAATAGAAAAATGTACCGTGAAGGTAAACTGCAAACTTAAAACATTCAATATGTCTGTGAATCAATCATTTATTCTGCTACTTCACATAAAGTCAATATAAACATTTTCAGTATGACATGTGGTACTGTAGTGCTTCTAAAAGTTAAAGATTTATGCACACAGGGTGGTTTTTGTAGCCACTTTTAGGGGCGTCAGGTATTTTCTTTTTACTGCTACCAAATGCCCCTCCATGTTATCCTATGTGTCCATGCACAGAAGCTTTTAGTGGCAGGGGCTTTTAGAGGCAGGAAAAAAAGCCACTGCCAGTGCACCCAGAAGCAGAAGAGTTTGGGCAGAAAAAACACTTGAGTGCTAAAAGCTGCTAAACGCGCCTAAACGCTAGACATGTTTAGTGCTTGAGCATTAATTCATTTCAATGGCCAGAATAAATTATTTATTCTGGCCAATGAAATTAATTAACAGCCAAGAGCTTGATGCCTGTAAAAGCTTTAAACACTTTTATACGCATCAGGCATTTTTCCTGCAAAAGCGCTGCTGGCTTTTAGGAGAGGTAAATAAACATCCTGTGTGCATGAGGCCTAATTATTTAAATGATCATTTTTTTCCAGTACTTTCTTTTTAAACTCTTGACAGTGTGGGGCGTAGTTCAATATCCCCGTGGGACTGAGCAGCAGGCAAATGGCTAAACACAGAGATGAAATACATATATGGATGCCATTTAACATTCCAAAGAACTTCTATTTCTGTTTCTTGGATGAGTTATGTATTTCTTAAAATTCATTCTTGAGATTTTAACACTATAGACTTGGCTTTTGTTCTACTGCAGTTAATGCAAAATAAACCATAGAATTTAAATTATCTTTTTTGCTACCTTTTGGACTGCAAAAACAGCGTTGTCACCCTAAGGCCTCATTCACATGAGGGTACCTATCTGCACCACCCTTGTGTGAAGGGGCTATCTTCACTAGCGAGGGATGCACAGATGTTCCGTGCAGACCCTTGCAGGCAGCCTGTTCAAATCAACAACTGCCTACCTGGATCTACACAACTATCCATGTGCCAGGAGTGTGCAACGATGCAGGTCTAATGCATGAATCAGGACCTGGTAATCTTGCCAGTGACACACTTTCTGTCCAAGGCCTTATTCACATAGACATAGTGATCATCTATACCTCCTGTGAAGGGGCCCTCTAGACCCACATAGGACACCCAAATCATTGACAGATGACCAGCTGTGTGAAGCTGCACATATCTCTATGCACATCCCAGAGTGTTGAACTTTGCTTTTTGATCTGTGCATTAGACATGAACGGATGCACACTCTGGGATGTGCATAGACATATGTGCAGCTTCACACAGATGGTCATCTGTCAATGATTTGGGTGTCCTATGTGGGTTTAGAGGGCCCCTTCACACAAGGTATAGATCATCACTATGTCTATGTGAATAAGGCCTTGGACAGAAAGTGTGTCACTGGCAAGATCACCAGGTGAAAATAAAGGTTAAAAAAAGAGCCACTACATCTAAGGACTGGTATGCTGCAATAAAATGTATTTTTATTCTTGGCTCTAGTAATACAACTATGCCTTGTCCCTGTTCCCAGCTTGTGAATGGTCAATGAAGAAGCAGCACTAGACTAATGAATTCATCTCCGCCACTCTACGCTCTCCTCCTACCAGCAAACCCTTTGTTAGCACAGGAAAGTTTTAACTCAACTGCCTGCATCCCTTTTATGCTACTCTCTCTCTCAGTTTGAGAACAGCTGTACAGAGACAGCCAGAGGCCGATACCAAGTCAAATTCATACACTAGATGCCTATACAAATACACATTTTTTTGAGAACTTAAGTTTTTACCTACTTAACCTCCCTAGTGGTCTGCTTATGTCCATATTTCTGTGCTCAAAGTGGTACATTTTTTGCATGGAAATATGTATTTTTTTTTATTGTAGGCCTGTAATTTTTAGGAATAACTCACTGAAATCTGTCCGAACAAGAGTCTAGTAAATATCCCGGGTAGGATAAAACTTGAAACACAAAATCATAAATTATAATTTAATAAATAATCATAAAAAATAATAATATAATAATAAATTTAATTCAATAATATAATCAAACCAAAAACACTGAAATTTTAAATATAGCGCCAAGTTCGCACATCACTGAGCAAAGTAGCAAAATCGTTTTCAGTGTCTGATAATGAATTTCCCCACAAATCATTATCACTCAATTTTGCAAGTGGTTCTGATTTACTATCGCTGTTCTCTAGCTGGTCTAAAACCGCTTTTGACCTAAAGGGACGCTTTTTGGACGCCATGGACTTTTCTAAGTTTCCAGGCAGAAAGAACAGTCAAAATGCAGGCAGTGCACAGGACAAAGCACTAGGGACAAAATGTATGTGAAATGGTTTGATACAGTAATGTTTTACTATGTGATTTTAGTGTATTTAGTGAATGTCACGTTTTGCCATTTTCAAATTTCCCGCCAGTTCCATCCCCCGTACGTCCCGTCGCTCGCAGGGGACAAAACCCAGATGACAGATGCCGGCATCCGCCAGATTACATTGCCGGGGACACTGCAGGAGGGACATCGCGGGAGCGCAGGACAAGGTAAGTGATCGAGGGATCATGGAGCAGAGCCGCATGGTAAGCCCGAGAGTAGCTCGGGGTTACTGCTTGTGGTACTGAAACTTTACCCCGAGCTACACTCGGGAATACCACTAGGGAGGCTACACAGATAGAAAGATAGATTTTATTTATTTTATTACAGGTACTTATATAGCGCCATCAATTTACACAGTGGTTTACATATATTTCTTATTGCCCTACCCTCGAGGAGCTTACAGTCTAAGGTCCCTAACTCACATTCATACATACACATATTAGGGCCAACTTTGACAAATTAACCTATCAACATGTCTTTGGAGTGTGGGAGGAAACCAAAGTGCTTGGAGGAAACGTACGCAGGCACGGGGAGAGCATGCAAACTCCAGGCATGTAGGGTTGTGGTTGGGATTTGAACAGACAACCCTAGTGTTGCCAGATGAAAGTGCTAGCCACTGTGTTGCTGATAAACTAATATACAGATGAAGCATTCTGGTATGTAACTACATGTTTAGGCATGCTTTTCCAGCCCAATTGGAAATTGTAGTTCTGCTGGCTATCAATCTTTGGTATTACAATATATGCCTAATTAGTGATC